GTTTTTAACATTAAAGCATGAAAGCCTTTGGAAAATCATAGCAAAACCTCCTCAAAACAATCACAAAATTATAGCAGTAAAAGAGCAATAGCTGTATGTACACTGAAAGCTCTTAATTCAGGCCAGAGGTACATTCCTCACTGAAAAACAACACGCTATTCCTCAAAGCACAATTTGAAACACCTAAGTTCTGAAGAAAGTAATCCATAGCTCTGAACGCAGACACGGCAGTTAAAAGAGCAGAGAAAACACTGATTTAGAGACAGTACCAGCACCTGTATAATGTGTGAGCTGCGTAAATCAAGGAGCAAAAGGTGAGCGCAGGCTCTGCTGCAGCACAAGGCTGGTGACTCGGCCACCAGCAGAGCCTGGCAGCCACCTGCTACCCAGGGACATGGGGACGTGGTGGCCCTGCCAGCAAAGCCCAGTGCTCGACTTGCTCAGTGCCCCGCAGCCATGGAACAGGAGAGAAGCAAAACTGCCTTCTGTACCCAATTCTCCTCGAGTAAAACACTCCCAACTGCTCAAAATGAGAAATTCTAAACTAAGAACACCACTTTCATTCAAACTACCTGTTGGCTTAATTACCATCAACTGCAGCACCTGCACAGATCCCAGCGCTGCCATTTGCAGGTTTCAAGGCATACCTAAACTTCCCTCTGTTGCCCTGGAGGTTTGCATTTCATTCTGCGGACCAGAACCACTGCATGAAAAGTATACAAACACCTCAGTTTGCTGCCACGATTAAAGTACTACTGCCTCATATCAAATAACAGCAGGCTTGGGAAGAAATAGTCACAGCAGCACGCTCCAGGACCCTGGAAGTGCTTCCGCCCTCATCTGGACGCAGGCACCCTGCCCTGCAAGGGAGTTCTAAGGTGATCAAACAGCAAAGCACTAATGGCAATTCTCCTGATTTTGGACAGAAGGGGCACAGAGCACGACAGCCCCTCACAATTCCCTTCCTTGCAAGTCACACCAGCCTAGCTCTGGCATCCTGGGACTGGCTGGTGATGCAGCCATGAGAAGCATGGGTTGAAGCAGTGAGCATTTTGCCCAGAGCAATGGGACTAAGACCAAAGGAATCCCAGCCTGGACACAGCCACAGTACCCATGAAACATGGCATATGGGGTCCATCTTCACACACATTTCAGAGCCCCTGCACCCCATGAAGTGCTAATGGGGTCCAGGCCATCTTCCTAGCCCAGTGCTTGCAAGGAAACCTACCTGGGAAACTGCAAGTGTTGATTTCCTCCCGTGCCTGGTTCTAAAATCTTGTTCTCAAGCTGGGCAGAGGCACATGGCCCCATTCTTCTGAGGGAAACAAGCAACACAAGCATGCAGATCCCTTGAGGAGAGACCCACACAGGTGCTCAAACAAAGCTACATGCAAGGAAGGCTTCAGAGCAAGAGTGCTCAATGCAGCAGTCAACAGAGTGCAAAACATGAGCAACTCCTCAGAGCTGACACACAGGATTCCCAAACAAAGGGAAAACGTCCCCACCTGCTAAGCAACAAGCATTCCCCTCTCCCACAAAACCTGCTCCTAAATTGGGCTTAGTAACACCTCAGATGTCAAATGAGTCAGATGGGAGCTGACACACACGTTCTGACACCGACAACACACCGGGCAAACCCTTAAACTGTCCTTCATGGCACAGCACACATACAAGCACAGGAGCACCCTGCACTGGCTTTAGGCAGCCCCCTCCCCACAGCACAGCCAGCATCTCACCCCTGGCAGAAGAGCCCCACAAGGGCTGTGGCACAAGCTTACCCCATTTGGGGGCAGGTTTTGCTGCTGCACCAACAACTCCTGCCCAGGTACGTCCTGCCCTGCCGCCCACAGTGCTCCTGCAGGGCTTCACCTCATCTCACATCTGCATATCAGTATGCGGGTTCACACAAAAGAGCTGCAAGCGTTGGAGGAATTTATTAAAGAGAACCCAACTTCAAAGCTGCAGGTATGGTACAAATTTGTTGCATTCTCCATTCATTGTGCTCATTCAGGAGAAAGAAGGGCAGCCTCAGGGGAAAAGTGGTATTTGCATCTGCATACAGAGCTTTCTCTGGATGCTGTTAGAAGTTGCTGAAGTGTTTGTCCAGGAGAAACCCAAAGCAGGCAGAGGAAACAGCTCCAAAAGAGAAAAATATATATATATATAAAATTCCAGTTCATTTCCCCTGAACGCTTTACGTGGGGTCGTTTCTGGTAAATACATACAGCCAGGAGCTCGTGCAAGAAGTTTCAATGACAATCAGGAATTTTCTCCAAAGATCTGGAAATCATGTTAAAAAAAAAAGGCTAGTTCTATGAAAAATCCCACACAGCTGAGCGCCCTCATTCCATGGGTGTGTGATCCTGAAGGTTCTCCAGCTGTACAAAGGAAGGATCTACTGTGCATGCCAACAACACAGCTTCAGCTACCTGAACAGAAATAATTGCTGCTAACAATAGAGAAACCAATAGCTATAATTATAAAGCTGATTAGCGTTACAATATTTATCTCAAGGCACAGAACTTTGCTCAGCAGTTTCTTTTCATCTAGACCAGCCCTTATCTCGCAGCTCTGGCAAAGGAGATCAAGCTGCAGCAGAAGCCCTTTTCCCATGCTCCATGAACATCAAACTCCAGGTTTTGCCCCCTGGGCTGGCCAAGGGAGAGGAACAAACAGGCGGGGTCACTGTCACAAACCTCCATCTCTCTGTCTCACACCAATCTGACATCACACTGGCCAGTACTGCTCCAAGACAGTGACAGAAAAGCACTGACTCTCAAACCACAGTGATTAGAAACTCACTGAGCTCGCCCATCCCAGAGTAGAAACAGGTGTAAAAAAACTGATCAGACCCTCACTGCAGTGCTGCAGCATTGACCAATGCAGATGACTAACAAATCACCTCAGCTCACTCTGCCAGTTCAAGTGATTAACTAAAAATGCTCTAAGCAACATGGACCAATACATATTTCTTGCTTGAAGCTCATTAAAAGCACATCTTCAAAAAACAACAGCAACAATGCAGCTGTCGGAGCAGAGCACAGAGAGGATATTATTCTGCTGCTCAGGATTCAGCCAAATAAGACACACGGGTTAAAATGAACTGTAAGTGTACAAGTTGAGCTTTAACTAAATTTATTTCAAAGTGCTGGACTGGCAACCAGTCAATGGTTCACCAGACAGACACTCAGACATCAGTTCACCTGATCGTGCTCCTCTGATCCAGGAGAGGGCTGAGCAGAGAATGAGGACAAAATCAAAAGGAACAACTTCCCACAGGACTAGATACTAGACACTTATCTAGCTAAACATCCAAGTACTTCCTTCATGCCACTCTCTCACATAAACAACTGCTGTTACTGTGTCAGACACTGTGTCAGCGGGGATGGGAAGAAACAACAGATTCTCAGTCTGCGGTAACACGTGGCAACGCACAGCCAAGAGAAGCTGCATCTGCTTCTCAGGTTTGCAGGCGCAGACACAGCACGCGTTGGGCCACACACGCACCTCGAGCTCCAGGTCAGCAGACACAGTTTGAGCCTTCTGCCCAGGAGAAAAAAACCCATCCCCCCCCATGAACTGCCGAGATGAGGAAACACGCTCCATTCTCCCACTACCTCGTTCCATCCCCACTCAGAGAAGCGCCGCACCATCCCAGAAATACCTCCTCCACCTCCAGTTCCTTCTCTGAATCTCAGCTCTCCAGCATAGCCCTCCCTGCACCCAGCACGCTGCCCCTCGCACCCTCAATTCCATCACACCCCCAGGCCCGCACAAACCTTCCTATCGCATCTCCTCCCAAATTCAGCACCCAACGCCCCGCCTCCTCACCTTCCTACCCTCTGCTGCCCCAGCGCTTCTCTCTGACACCACGCAACGTCCACTCCCCCCAACCCCCCTGAAACCCCACACGGAGCCCTCAGCTCCAATGCTCTTTGCCCGTGACCCCTCCGGGCCCAACGCTTCCCCATACGGCCCTCGGCCCCAACGGTTCCTCGCGACTCCGCCGTTTTCCCCAACACTCCTCAAGCCCCACCGCTCCCTTCAGCCCCACGCGAGGCCCCCGGCTCCTCGGAAGGCCCCACCAGCCCCACGCAAGGGCCCCCGAACCCCACGCGAGACTTCAGATCTGCACACGAAGATCTCCCAACCCCACACAACGCCCCGGGCCCTGCCGCTCCGCCAGCCCCAGGCTGCCTCACCAGTACTTGAGGATGGCGGTGACCTGCAGCGGGTTGGGCTGCTCGGGGTACAGGCGGCGACACTCGCCGTAGATCCCGTGCAGGCCCGGCGGAAAGAGGGACGGGAAGGAGCCGGAGCCCGTGCCGGAGCCCGCCCCGCCCGCGGGTGCAGCCCCGCCAGGCCGCGTGCCCTCCATGGCCCGGCGGCGGCAGCTCCCGGCCCGCTCCTCTCCCGGTCCGGCCCGGCCCAAACGGCGCTGCGGGAGGAAGGGGGCAGGCCCCGCTGCCCGGGCGACGGTGATGAGCAGCGCGGCTCCGCCAATAGCAGAGCGCGGCGCGGAAGGCGGCCGCGCCTCTCTACCCCCGCCTCCGCGCCGCGCTGTGAGCGCGCCCCCTTGCGGTGGAGAAGTGGCAGTGCTTCAAGGGGAGAGGGGCCGCGGGGGAACCGCGAGGGACGTGAAGGGGTGCGGGGCTGTGAGGGAGCCCGACAGAGCCACGGGGCTGCACGGGGCGTCCTGCAGTCGCGTACAAACGTGAAGCTGACAAGCGAGCAAGGACTGCCCTCGAACCCACCCCCGTCGGTAAAATGAGAAACGGTGAAGCCAGGCCCACGCCCCGCCCCCAGCACGCCGCGCTTCCTGGCGGGAGGACACAGGGCCGACACGCACTGACGTCACGCCGCTTCCGCCTGCGCCGTGTTTACGTTTGCGCCGCACTACACTTCCCGGCATGCCCCGCTCCCCGCCTCTGGCCCGGGACTGCACTTCCCAGCGCGCACCGCGGCCGCAGGAATACATTACCCAGCTGGCTTCGCACCGCCCTTTTGCACATGCGCCGCCGCCGGTTGGGCTGTTGCTCCCTGACGGGTGACTGCGGCGGGTCCTCGCCATGGAGTCCTACGACGTGATAGCGAACCAGCCCGTCGTGATAGACAACGTGAGTGTGGGCGGTCGCGAGTCCCGGTGCCGGGAAGGGCGGGGGGGCCAGCCGACCGCGATCCCTTTGTCATCGGGGGCGGCCGCGCCCCGCCCGCCACCCCCCCCACCCGGCTTGGCCGCCGCCTTAGGCCCTCGCCCAGCGCCGTGCGCTGCCTCCTTGGGCGGGGTGGGGCCAGCACAGTTAAGCAGCCTGCGATTGGCTGGGACGGCCACCTGTCACCCCCAGAGGGTCGCTGCCCCTCACTGATGGGGAGCGGCCCCCGCCGCCGCCGGGGTGTGTGCGGGCTGTGAAGGGCGGCGCGCCCCCATTGGCTGGGGCGGCTGTCAGTCAGCGGGATTTCCCGCCACTACCTGCTGGAGCGGGGCCCTTCCCGGCACGCCCTTGCGGGGAACACCTGCGCCCATTGGCTGGAAGAGCCGTCCGTCAACAGCGGCTGCATCCTGGCTCCGCTGCCCCGCTTTGTGCCCTGGGGACAATGGGGCTGCTTCCCGGCGTGCAGCGGGCCCCGCTTGACCTGACTCCCGGCATGCTCCGGGCGTGCTCGGCTCTCCTCGCAGTGACCGCGCAGTGCTTCGCGGCCTCGCAGGCCCCGCCCCGAGCCGGTGGCGCGCCCGGAGGAGCCGCTCCCAGGGCGGGTTGCGTCAGCACTGGTCTGACAGCAGGGTGTGGTGGTGCAGATGGCCGCCGCCGCTAACAGCGTGCTGCCTCAGCGCGGGGCAGGCCTGCAGGGTTGAGGTGGATGAGAGCGGTTATGTGGGGTCCTGGGGCCCTTCGTGAGCAGCCCTGTAGCAGCCTCTGGGAGGAAGGGTGACAGAAGAAGTGGGAGGAGGGAAGGGGTGGAACATCCCCAGGAGCCTCCTCCACAACGGCGAGCCACAAGCTGCCGCTCCTCCCTTCTGGCCCCATTGGTGCTGATTCACATTCTGCTGTGTAAAAGGGCTGGTGTTTGTGCTTCCTTCATCGCCTTCCTTACTATGGAATTCTGTGGTGATTGTTCTCTGCTCTGCCCTCATGAGGCCCCATCTGCAGCTGGGTCTGGGGCCTCCAGTACAGTAAGGATGTGGAGCTGTTGGTGTGGGTCCAGAGGAGGGCCACAAAGATGCTCAGAGGGATGGAGCACCTCTGTTATAAAGAAAGGCTCCAGGGTGACCTCGCTGTGGCCTTTTAGTACTTAAGGGGAGCTTACAAACAGGAGGGAGACCAACTTTTTATGTGGGCTGATAGTGATGGGCCAAGTGTGAATGACTAAACTAAAAGAGAGGAGATTTGGGTTAGATGCCAGGAGGAAATTCTTTACTCAGAGGGAACTGAGGCACTGGCGGAGGCTGCCCAAAGAAACTGTGGCTGTCCTGTCCCTGGAGTTGTTTAGGGACAGGTTGGATGGGGCCTGGGGACACTGATCTGGTTGGTGGTAACCCTGTCTGTTGGAGAGAGAATGAGCTGATAGTGTCCCTTTCAAGCTAAAACATTGTATGATTCTCTTACATTTGTTGTGAGCTGTATGATTTGTAGATCTTTTCAGGTGAAGTCAGTTAACCTCTTTATCATTGATCCGATTCTTCTCTACAACTTGAGCTCTCTGAGCTTTAGTTTTGTTTCTTCTTCTGGAATCACAGCAGGGAGATTGTTGGAAACTGAAAGGAAGAACTCGGGCTGATTGTTGATAGAAATGAGGGGAGTAATGCTGACCTGCTGTGGTGCTGTTACCAGCTAGCTGCTGAAGTTGCTTCCAGGCACTGTGAGGATGAGTTTATTGTGGTAGGGTCACATAATAGCAGTCTGTCTCGTTTCATCCTGACTTAGTTACTTAGCACTACTAAGTATTGCTAAGATTGCTTCCCCCTCCCCGCTTCAGGCCTGAAGAAGGGCTCGTGCTGCTGGAGACTGACTGCATCTTTTAATTTAACAGCTGGTCTTACAAAAGCTTTGCTTGCATCCTTTGTAAATGAACCTTCCTCTCCATGAATGAACTGCAGAATGAAATGGTTATGAGATCTGCCCTTAATGCTCGCAAGCCGAGCCTTGCGGTGACATTGCATTTTTATACTTGGGAGTTCAGGCAAGATAGGAATTGGAGCTGCTCAGAAAGATGCTGCTGCTTCTGTTACATCAGCAGGGCTGCATGTTGGGGAGCTGCAGGCGGCTTCTTGAGGCTGAGCGCCCTCCTGTCTCGTGTATGTGTGTGTAAGGGAGGATGGGGCTGGGGGGACTGAGGTGGTGAACAAGCCTGGGCCCCAGCCTGCTGTGCCAGAAAATGCTGTCGGGTCTTTGTAGTGCAGAGATAGAAAACGTCTGTGCTCGGTTTGCCTGCAGGCATTGGGAGGCACAACAGTGCTCAGATCCCCTCCCATCACTTCTCAGAGCAGCCTTCATCTCCAACTCCAGGAAGGAGTTTGGAGCACCTGACATACTCAGTGTCTTTGAACTTCAGTACTTAAATTTTAAAATGCATAACTTGCTGGGAAGCTCACCAGGATGTGCAGAGTAATTTTTGGCCTATTATAAGGAAGTTTTGCTCTCTGCATTAAAACAGGAGCATCATTGTTCTCCTGAAACCACTTCCCAGCAGCAGACTTGTGCTGGCTGTAAGATCAAGCATTAGCTGGAATAAAATATTCAATGAGCACAATATTCTGATAGTGCCTATCTTATTGCAGTTGATTCATTATCATTATTTTTATTTTTTTAGCTGTGAGACTTGACACAGTTATGTGATGATATCATGATGATATTATGATGATATTATTTCCCAGGCATGATGTTATTTATAAGCTGTGACATGGAAAATCACAATATTGTTTGTCTTGTTCCTGGCTCTGCTTTGAGGTGACTGGTTGGAAGGCAGTGTCTGCCTGGGGGGCCGGCTTCTTACCATGGCCAGTGCTCTTTGTTTCACCTGTGCCTGTTAAAGCTGATGCTGGGAGCTGTGACTGGTGCCAGCTTGGGGTCCCAGCACTGCATCCCTGTTACATCTTTCATAACCAGCCATGTGCAGTTGCCAGTTTTCCTGGTATTCCTTTTTGCAGATACATCTCTGCAAACCTGATTCTGGCTGTCTTTAGGCAGGAGCACCTGTGCTCTGGTGGCAGGGTATGCCTGCTCTCTGCAAAGCTGGGCGCCTCACCTGAACCAGCTGACAAAAGGAGCTTGAGAATTAGGCCCTAGACTGTGTACTGCAGTGGCTGGCTGCCCCACGTTCCTTTCTGCTGAGCCTGTGCTGGCTGCTGACTCCTCTCACCATGAAGCAGATGGCTGGGGCTTTCAGCATCCCCTGCAGCCAGAGCTTAGCTGCACAGCTCCATGCGTGTGAGTGATATTGACCCACGTGGAAGAGGTGGGAAGGGGGAAGCAGTTGAGGAAATGCATTGCTGTTCATTTTAAAACACATATCCTCAGAAACAGAGCAGTTCTGCTGCAGGGCCCTTGAGAGTGAATGGGCACTTCTTCTGTCACTGGTTTCAGTGCAAGTACGCCTGCATTGCTCCCAGTACGCTCTTCTTTCAAGAAAAATTGAACAGAAGAGCTTGCTCCTGTGGTACTCTGGGATTAGCAGTGAAATGCCTTATCCATGGAAATCTGCTCCGTACCTAAACTTGCGTGTTCCTGCAGGCTCCTTGTTGCTGTGAGATTGTTGTGCATGGAGTGGGTGGGAAATGGAGTGGGTGAGGCTCAGCCTGGCCCCAGGCTGGCAGTTGGTCTCTGGGATGTGCATGGGTGCTGCCAGCAGGGACGGGAGCAGTGGTGCCGAATTCTCGGTGCTGAGTCTCTGCCAGGGCCTCCCTGCAGCTGCTTTAACACTCCGTGCCCACAGCCTGCACTGCTTTGTGTGGTACAGAAGGCTTCTGGGTTTGCTCCTTTCTGACTGCCATGCCTGATCTCAAGTTCTTCTTTGTCCCTTTTAAACAAACCCTGTCCTGTCAGCCACTTTCCCAGCCTCCAGCCTTTCCTTTTGCAGTCTGACTGGTGTCTTTGTTGCTTTCAGACTCGAGACCCATTTAGTTCCCCCCTGTTTAGTGTCTTTACTGGTCAGGTTTCTGTGACCTGCCACCTTAGTGCCAGCTAGCTTATCCCCTGCTTGAATTTCTCTTCCCTGTTTCCACTGCAGCTTGTTTCATGCAGCCTACTGCCAGGACGTCCTGGGACTTGGTGCCTTGTGTGATGCCTCGCTGCCAGGAAGGTGCTGGTTACTCCCCTCTAGTGGCTAAGCTGGTCTGCTGACACCTTCCCATCCCCAGCCCCGCTTGTAGAATTTATTATCCAAGCTTTATTCCTAGTAAAAAGGAGAGGATCTGGCAATGCTGTTCTGTTAAAATTTATGAAGATTTCTGAATGAATGATAAGCTCATATGTTTGTTTCTCCTACAGGGTTCAGGCGTGATTAAAGCAGGTTTCGCTGGTGATCAAATACCGAAATACTGCTTCCCAAACTAGTAAGTACTCTGCTGGTCTTGATCAGTTCTCAATCCATTTACTCATTCTTAGATATGTAGAGGGAAAGGGTGGTCCAATTTTATAGCAGGAGAAAGAAGTTTAGCTTTTTCTGCCTGCTGTACAGAAGCATTATGGAGAAAAGGTCTCCACTGTTAAACATAGAGATTTTTCTGGGGGAAAAAAAAAGAAACATAAAGTGTGTTTTATGTCATCCCCCAACCAAAGCTGTAGGATCCTTTAGTCTTGAGACACGGGGTCAAAAAAGACCAAGTTGGGTCTTGAGGTGTGGATCTCTCCTTTTGACATGTCGGCTGAAGTCTTGATTCTTGCCATTCTTCCTTGAAAGTTTTCTGCCAGGTTTATTGGAAGGACTGCTGGATCAGGAGCTATTCAGAGCAATGCAGACTTGTCTGTATAGTGAGGTGGGGTGTGGGACTCTAGTTGTTTCAGCTGACCTACGTAAGGTCAAGCAAACCTGAGTGGTCTGTCTGCTCAGACCACTGCTCAATCTGGCCATGTTTACTCCAGGCAGTGTTGGAATCCTGAATCACCAGGGAAAGTGTGGCCAGACTCAACTGGCGCATGTCCCATTATTTCAGAAATGTCTGCAATTTGCTCCCTTCGCTTCCGATTCTGAGATTAGTTTACAGAGCAAACCTGAGTCTGTCCACACTTGGTACTGCCCTCAGGCTCTGTTCCTGCTGTTAGAAAGTGCTGACTGGGGCTGACAGGAAGAAAAGCTAGTAAAATGTTGGATGTATCAGAGTTGTCTCTCTAGAAGCATTTATACTCTTGTCTCTGTTCCAGTGTGGGCAGACCAAAGCACGTTCGTGTTATGGCTGGTGCTTTAGAAGGAGATATTTTCATTGGTCCAAAGGCAGAGGTAAGAAAACCTGTATCACTTCACCTCTCCGTGCATCTTGCTGTGCTGCTGTTAGAGGGGCTGTAGCAGTTGCACTTTAAGCATGTTAACTGCTGTGCTTCCTTGGTATCAGGGTTGGTCAGAAGAGCAGACTAGACTGTCACTTCTTTTAAGTGTGTCCAAGCTGAAGTGGGAAGCTTCACAAAATTCCTGTGTCAGCCTGCTGATCACAGACCTCTTCTCTTAGTTTCAATCCACTTACCCAAGTCTTTTTGTACTTATCCTTTTTTTGTAGGCTACTTTGAAGTCTGTATGGTTACATCTCCACTTTCTTGACTGGGAACTTTAGAAATGGACCCCAGTTGGTTGCCCTTTATCTCCCTGGTGTGGACAAGAAGGTTGCTATCTGCAGTGCTTCTTTTTGTCAGCATGGTCTCATAATTGCAGTGAGCCCAGGGAACTACATTCCCTGCTATCACCCTGCTATGTTTTACATCATGGCAGAGCTGGTAGAACAAAGATAATGTTTGATAGGTGTCTGTGTGGCTCAAAACATGTTAGGAAAGTGCTCTGCAAACGTGTTCCTCCTTTCTATAAAAAGGCCTACTGAAATCTCATGAATACTTCTCTGGAAAAGTGCTTGTGGTTATTGTTCAGTCTTTGTAGTGTATGTTAGAGACGTGTTGCTTTTTAGTGGGACAGACAGTAATTGAGTCTGTCAGATTAATTTGTTGTCGAAATGCTTAGAAATGGAGTTGTTAGTTTGTGACAGGTATGCTGTATTGTTTCCATTTGCTCAGGAGCACAGAGGTCTCCTGTCAATCCGATACCCGATGGAACATGGCATAGTGAAGGACTGGAACGACATGGAGCGCATTTGGCAGTACGTTTATTCAAAAGATCAGCTTCAGACTTTCTCGGAGGAGGTGAGATATCTCACTGTGTAGAGGCACCGGTGTGTTTCCTTTGTGTGCATAACAGCAGGAGCCTTTGAACTCCAAGAGGCAATCTAGGGCTCTTCCTTTGTTTTTCTTTCTAAACTCACCTGTTGTTCAATTATGTTCTTTTCACCTCTTATGAGATACTACACAAGAAATGTCCAAGCAGAATTTCTCCTCATGTCTCCTGTATATTTGGCCTGACTCAAAATCTGACTTGCCGAAAATCAATTGTTATTCACTCCCTCTCCCTAATGATTGTGCTCTACACCAAGTGCAGCTGACTGTTCTTGTTATGTCTGTACATCGGGCATATCCACTCAGCAGTGACATAATCTGGTCTAAAGAGGAAGAAAGACAGTCATGCATTCTGAAAGAAGCTGGCCAAAAAGTTAGTAAAAGACTGAAAGCAATAGGTTGTGTCATTGGTGTAGGAATATTTCTGCCTGTATAAAATATGGACTGTATGCTTTCACCCTTTCTAAGGCTGCTGTTTTTGTTGCAAATTGTCTTCCTTTTGAAGTGATTTTGATCATCCTTCCCAGCAAAGGCTCACTCACAGGGTGGACTCCCTAAAATTTCTTTATGGCTAGACCAGAGCCCTATTGCTTCTCCAACCTGGTAGAGATTATGCATGCTGTAATACAGCTCACCAGCTGCAGTCAGTCCCTACTGTGTGTCCTGTTGTACTAATGGTTCCTAAAGAGGAAAAATTAGTAGCCATTCTTGAGAGCATACATCTAGCTGCATCCTGGTTATTACAGCTTGGTTCTTTTTCCTTACCAGCATCCTGTGCTGTTGACGGAAGCACCACTGAACCCACGTAAGAACAGAGAACGTGCTGCTGAAGTTTTTTTTGAGACCTTCAATGTTCCAGCACTATTTATCTCCATGCAGGCTGTGCTCAGTCTGTAAGTACCTCTCATCTTCGATGTGCACTTGCAAAATGTTTCTTGAAATCTTTTCTTTTTCCCCCCACAAACAAACAGAAAAAAACGAACTGAGAAAGACCACGTTAACATCTGTCTCGTGTCCCTTTGCCAGGTATGCTACTGGGAGGACCACAGGAGTGGTGCTGGACTCTGGGGATGGTGTTACCCACGCGGTACCCATCTATGAAGGCTTTGCCATGCCTCACTCCATCATGAGGATCGACATTGCAGGCCGCGATGTCTCGCGCTTCCTGCGTCTCTACCTCCGCAAGGAAGGCTACGACTTCCACACAACCTCAGAGTTTGAGATTGTGAAGACCATCAAGGAGGTGACATAGTGTCTGTTTCTGTGCTTATCCACAAAGATTTCTGTTTGTTGGAAGTCATCGCTCCCTAAAATGTAGTGGGAAGTGCCAGCCTACCTAGCTCTGAAACTCGCTCCTTTATCTACCGAAGGGAGGCTAGATGTAAGATGACTAAGGGACTGGAAAATCCCTCATATGAGGAGGGATTGAGGGGGCTGGGGCTTTTGAGCCTGGAGAATAGAAGTTCAGGGAGGATTTCATCATTGTATATTAATATCTGAAGGGAGAGAGCAAAGAAAACAGAGCCAGACTCATTTCAGTGATGTCTGGTGACAGGATGGGAGGCACAGGCTGATGCACAGGAGGCTCCATCTGAATGTAAAGGAAAGCTTTATTTTTTTTTAATGTAAGGGTGACTGAGCAGCAATTTTATCAGCTCTGATATCCTTCACTAGTATTTGCCTACTCTTCAAGCGAAGACTTTAGAAAATCCTTGGTAGTTTGGGATCGCAAATGGATTGCTGCTGTTCTTCTCTCTCTGTGGAAATAATTCACTCACGGTATTCATATTTACAAAGGCTTTCTTTTTTAATGCAGTGTTTAGTGGCCTTGTAGTTACGCAGCAGTTACCTTGGCTTCTCCTGTGTTCCAAGAGAAGAGGGCAGAGGTGGGACAGTGACCAGTAGCTCAGCTGGTGACTGCCCACCGTGGCTTTGTGGCATCACAGTTCTCATACAGACAGGTTGCGCTCTGATTTCAGCAAGGCTTTGTGTAGCTTAGGGCTAGCTATGCATTTGTGCCTTCAACGCTCAGATCAGTACTGCTGATGCCTGTCAGTTACTGCCATGCTGTTGGCCTCCATCACAAGCTTTAACTGCTGCAGAGAACTCTGGGCTGTGCCAGCAGCCAAGGCTGGAGAACATCAATGAGCTGTTCTTGAGCCTGTGACCTAATGGGAAAAAAAATGTGATGGAAAAAGCTTGCTTGTTCTGCACGGCTGCAGCTCACTGTGGCTGTGCAGGGGAATGAGAGCTCTTCTGCCTGTTGCCCAGATTCTTTGAAGGAGACCAAACAGTGGAACAGGTTGTCCAGAATAGAGGATGCAGACTGTCTCCCAGTGGAATTGCTCCTAGTGTGATTGGATGTGGTTTTGGATAACCTGTTCTAGGCTGATCCTGCTCCAGTAGGGAGATGTCTTCCAACCTCAACTGTTCTATGATTCTGTTAGATGCACTTTAAATCCCCAAAAGGTAACAATTTCGAATAGAAAAGCTTACCTATGTAAGAAGAATTATGGGCTGCTGGAGCAGTTTGAAAAGTAAAAGGGTTTGTTTTCTTTTTCCTGTAACTTAGAATGTGGTGAACAATAGGAATTGAGCTGTTTGGGCTATGCTAGGAAATTTTTGCTGCTAGCTATTAGTTATTGTTTCCTCTGAAACATAACAAGGGACTTTGTTCAAGCTCCTAATCTCTTGCTAAATTGCCTAAACCCACCTCTGTAGGTAGTTAATGCCATTAAAAGTGTTTTAGATGCCTGCTTTGCTTTGTACTATGAAAGGTTGAAAGTGCTCACAAGGTCATTATCCCACCAGTGCAGAGGGAGATTACTTCTTCAGCAGTGAGAGACAAAAACAAAAGCTAGAAAAGTAGTGACTTCAAACCGTAGTTTGAAGAGCAGATAAGGTATTTTTCCTGATGTGAACCCAAAATGTCTTTTCCTCAACACAAAATAGTACTGAAATTGGTGTCTCTGTAGTGAGAAAAGTATTTATCAGAGGTCTTTGGCTTTACCCTCCTCATTTCATTCTTTCTGGCTCTGCTTCTTCTTCAGCGTGCCTGCTATCTGTCCATAAACCCCCAGAAGGATGAGACTCTGGAGACTGAGAAGGCTCAGTACTACCTGCCAGATGGAAGCACTATTGAGGTTTGTAAAAGATGGGAGATTTAGTGCAATGTGGGGTGAGACAGGATAATTTTAAAGACCAAAATGCATCCCAGGTTGTTGAGCTGGGGCACTAGAACTTTTAGGGAAAGAGAGCATTATTAGAAATGTTACTAATTCTACTGGAATTCTTGGGTAAGAGTAAAGCATGACCATGGAGTCTGAGAACTGTTTGAGTGCAGATTCTGATCTAGTACATCTTTATGTGGATCAGGTGTGGAGCGTGGGTTGGTATCTGCAAATTATGCTGTGGTTTTGTATGTGGCTTTTTTTCTGCCCAGATGAACAGAAACTACTGGTTTGAAGAGTGACTTGGGAATATTCTTTAATAGATTGAGCCTTCTGTAGAATGGTTGAAAGAGAGGAAATACAATTCTTACCTCCAGTACCAGAGGTGGATCCGTTTACTTCTCAGCCATTGCCCAGCTGTATGGAGCTGAGCAAATTTCTTCATCTCTTTCATCTGCAGAATAGAAATGGCACCTTTGCTGGAAGCTGTAGGTCGAGATGGTGGTCATTTGAGAGCTAATGATGTAGCATGAATGTCCAAAAAAGCTTTGTTCCTCTAAAGTTTTATCTCAGAGAGAAAGACACAACCTGGAGGCTGTAGACAGTGAACTGTAGCACACTGCTGTCTTCTCCCCTCTGTGCTGACTTCTCTCCTTGCAGATTGGCTCTGCCCGCTTTCGTGCCCCGGAGCTCTTGTTCCGGCCAGACCTGATAGGGGAAGAATGTGAAGGACTCCACGAGGTGCTCGTTTTTGCCATTCAAAAGTCAGACATGGATCTGAGGCGAACACTTTTCTCCAACATTGTGCTGTCTGGTGGCTCCACGCTTTTCAAAGGTTCCTGTCTCTTGTTTTTCAGTGGGTTGTAACTTACATCTTTTTCTCATCTCGTGTGAAACAGGGGAGATAACATCCAACTTGTCCAACTCTGTTCTCAGGGTAGTTACTGTGAGAAGCAGGAGACTGACCCCTGCTCCCGAATTTTCTGAGCCCTAGTCATAACAGCATACATCTGGTCCCTATGGACATAGGTATCCCTTAAGCACAGGCAGACAAATCCAGATAGGTCCTAGTTTTCCCATTCAAACCCTGCTCTGCTGTACGGGTTCACACTGTTAGCAGATGGAACTCGGGATTTTGCTGAAGGGTTCAAACTGCTGCTTTTTTTGTCTTGTGCAGGTTTTGGAGATAGGCTGTTGAGTGAAGTGAAGAAACTAGCTCCAAAGGATGTCAAAATAAGGGTAGGAGCATTCTCTTGGGTGTTTATCACATACTGTGTGTTGCTATGTGATCTTTGCCCTCTTAAAAAAAAAAAAAAAAAGCCATGCTAAGAGTGTAGCTGCCACGTGGTTCAAACCAGTAACAGCCTTATTGTGATAAACAGTTGTTTGTTTTCATTGTGGAGAAGGTAGCTCCTCTCACAGCATGATTTCTGTTCAGGATCTGGTCCACAGTGGTTATTTTGTGGGGGACCTGCTGGGTGTCTTTTTAGTGGGAGAGATCATACCTGTGTTAGCTGTTGGGAATTCAGGGCAGCATGCCAGGAGGAGCAGACTGTAGTTTGAGGTGGTCCTGACTGACTCTCTTCTTCTCCTAGATATCAGCTCCTCAGGAGAGATTGTATTCTACGTGGATTGGGTAAGTGGTGGTGGGTCTTCCTGTGGGAGGAGGGCTGGAGAATTGCAGCCTGTTGGCACTTTCACTGTTGTTCCTGCTATTATGGTGTGTCAGAAGGGCATTACTCCTCAACCACGTGCTACCCAGCCTGGTTAGTGAGCCTCCATTCATGCTGTCAGCCCCATAGCTCTTTTCATCCTTAAGACACCTGCGAGACTGTTTTCTGTGTCTTAACCAGTCCTAACATCCACAAAGAACATAACTCATAACATTAACATAGAACAAGCTCATTGGTAACACATTCCATAGGGCAGAGGCAGTAGGTATGTTTTTCCTCTTGTGTACATCTTTGTTGCTCATCAGAACTAAACTCAGCTCCAGAACTGTAGGAAGTGAGACCAGTGAGATCCCATGTGAGGAGAGCTTGCTGGTTTACAGCAGTGTCAGCATGGTGTTTGTGAGATTGTGGCTTATGATAGGCTCTGTAATACCAGCACATTTGAGGCTAAAAGGAGGAGAGGTGACTGTCTAGGGAGCATTTCTTTTGTAGGCAACCAGGAGCATTGGCACCTTTAAGTGTGGAAGAGTTGTACAGCAGGAACAGCTCTTCCCTGCAGAGATGTAGTGACAGTGTCCCCAATGTTCTCCTTTAATCTATCATGTCTGTCTCTCCCCAGGGGCTCTATTCTGGCCTCGCTGGATACTTTTAAGAAAATGTGGGTTTCAAAAAAGGAGTATGAAGAAGATGGAGCTCGTGCCATCCACCGGAAAACCTTCTAGCCCTGGGACCTATCCTCAGTCTCCTCTGAAGACTCACTTCAGTTCTAAACTCGCTTTTCTGAGTCCGAGTGTCTGAGAGCTGCCTGTATGTGTGTGTGTGCGCCAGCATGCCCCGACGTCACTGAGCAAAGACAACAGCAGCAGGAGGGTTGGATTAGTACTAACTACTTATTTTTTTTTTTATTTTTGTTGGTTGTTTTTTTTTTTAATGGAAAGGATGAAATACCAGTCTGCTTTTCTTCAGAATGGCCCCTTCCTTTTTCATTTCAGTTCCTTAGTTTCTGTGTTACGATCACATTTGCCACTGTAAAACAAGCAAGGAAAAAGAAGGGAACAACTTAGAATCTGCCTAGCAAGTCAGAAAGGAGCTAACCACTGCAAACTGCTCACGTAGGCTTTAGTCAGCCTGACTGCAATGCCTGGATTGTCTGGAAATATGTAGCTGAAGCTCCATAGCTACTTTCTTCCTCAGCAGTGTCTCCACCATCAGTAGACTTTTGAAGTTGTTTTTAATGTCTTTTGTTTTTTCTTAAATTGAAAGAAAGCACATTCTGAACAGTTAAGCCCATTTGCCCCCACTATTTTCAGTGTGTGTGTGTGAGTGTGTAACTTCTCAGACTGATGTGGGGTTCTGTGCCACAGCTGGAGAAGATGGTGACAGGACTTAGTTTGTATTGCATGGAGTAGAACAAAGCAATCTCTAATCGGCTTTCATTATGCTAGACGGTTATTCTCTTGTTCCTTCTTTTAAATACCTTTTCTTCTCTGGAAGCAAGCGCCCCGGAGTGGGAGTGAAGGCACTTGAGTGTCCTCCCTCAGCCTGCCAAGACTTACAGCTTTCATGTTCTTTCTCTGCAGGAGTTGGGGCTGCTTCCCTCCTCCTCTGCCACGTCAGGGCAACGGAATCGTGTATTTCCAGCCAGGCATAACTCTTGTGTACTTCATCCATTCGGGGGCAAAATAGTAGTTGGAAAGGTGCATTGTAATGTAAGAATTGTTTTATTTATTGAAATCTCTGAGGATATCTCAAATACTGACCATAGCACCTGGGACTTGTTCTTTGGGTCTTCTTTGAATACCTGCTATCCAGCTGTCCATTGTTTTATGTTAACACTGTTTACAGCACACATGCTTAGCATAATAACTAGTCAGCCCTGCTACAGCACTCAGTAACTGTTTTTTAGGAAGTTTTGCTGTTCTCTATGAATACACTACGTGAGAGGACAATAAATTGTATCAGTATGTGTACAGTGATGTGAGCAGCAAGCTGTTGCAGTGGCTGTGTTCTGCTGTCCCACTGAGCTGCTTATGCCTTTCTGCTCATCTACTGGCTGCTCGTCTGTAGCTGCTGTTTCTACAGAGATTGGAAGGCCTCCAGAGCAGCTTGTGTTGGGTTGCAGCACTGTTAGTTGTGAGTGTTCTTATGCATTACTTGGTGCTCATTTGCTTCACCACTGATTTTCTGCAGTACCTGGCATTAGCAGTGGGCCTGGAGTTGCTTGGTGGCAGTTCCTCTGTGTTCCCCTCCTTTCTCCTCATTTCCACACATCACCCTGGGGTCGCTCTCCAGAGCCAAGACAGGGAAAGAGCTGGAAGGCTGCAGCAGCCCTGCTCCAGAGGCCTGGCAGAAGCCTGTGCACTGCCCCATCAGGCATGAATGTAAGCAGGTAGCGTGCTGCTCCAGCTGGAAGCACATTCTCAGGGCTCACTGCTGGGCTCGGAGAAGTTGGAGGGAGGTAGGCAGATTTGGTGGTCTGTTCCCAGCTGAGGCCACACTGCTCGCTCTCCTCCTCCTGTCAGAACAGATTGTATTTAAGTAAGAACAAGTCAGAGAGAGAAGAGCTGTCAATGCTCAGCCTTGTTCCGACAGAAGATCGTGGCAGTCTTGCTGATGAGCTGCAGCATGCAGAGAGAAAAAAATCCTCTCTATTCACTTATCACATGCCCCAGGCAGTGCCAGTGATCTCTTCCCCCTCCCCAGCTCCTCTGCTGGCCTTGCAGAAGCAGCAGTGCTCCATTCTGTAAACTGCAGTGACCGGACAGAAAGGTGCCGTCTCCAATCTAGCGTTCATCTGCCTCACTGTTCCCTTGCACCCTGTCCAAACCATGTTGCCTGGTGGTGCCCAGCATACTTAAATAAAGTCATTCATATACAAACCTCAGGCCTGCTGGCCTCATATTCCCCCATTTGCATTTTTAATGAGGTAACAGTGTGTATTTCTCTTGCCTGTACAGAACTTGCTGCCTAATCCCTCCATGAAAATACATCTATGATCCAAAACTGCCTTCCTGGCAGTCTGTTGTGCTGAGGTAGGACATTCCTGGCCTGTAACTGGTCTCCCTCTTACGGTCCAAAGCTGCTCTCCTTAACAACCATTATTCTCAAAGTCTTTGTCACTGCAGCCAGGTACAGAACAGTTGAAGGGTAGAGAAACTGTAAGAGAGTAAGGAGGGCTGCCCTTAGTGAGCACAGGTCAACAGGAGTGATGCTGCTGGCATGGACAGAGGTGGCTAACCTATGTGCTTGCTGAGAACTCATCAGCAAGCTTTGCTCCCAGGACAGGCCTGAGGGAATGGGTATGTGGTTCAGTGTGCAGGTCTGCACCTCCCCCCAACCTTTGTCACCCAGGGTCTTCAAGAGCAGCAGGGACAAGTGACTTACCTTCCTCCAAAGGCAGTAACTGATTTAGCCCCAGCACCCAGTCTCACTGGAAAGGGATGCCTACTTCACCCTCCACTCCTTTGATTAATCTCATTTTCTCCCATGCACTACAGATTGCACCCCTCTACCACTGCATGAACCCAGAAATGTCAGATCCACCTGCTAGAAAGTCACTGAGCAGGAACACATTAGACCTGGTCCTCAGCCACGGACTGGCAAAGGCCAGAGTAAAACTGCCATGCATTGCTGTCTTAAGACTTACACTGCCACTATTAGATAGCACATTCCTGACTGTCTACCAGCTGCAAATGGGTCAAGCAGCATCGTGAAATAACTCCATTGCTCCTACTTCCCTCCCACCCCACCAAGGGACACTGCACCTGGGGCCTTGTGTGGTTAGCTGAGCCCACACCAGGCCAGATGGGGTGGCTGCCAATTCAAATGAGACCACAGCAATACAGGAAAAAAATCGTATTTAATTTATGAAATGAATAATCATTCTCAAACTTTGTTAAAATCTACACAAATAACTTATGATTGAACCAGTAAGACCAACAGGAGCCTCACAAGAGAAATGTCTTGGTCCAAGACAGGAGGCAGCCATGTCCTGAGGCAAGATAGCAGATCTGTGGGCTGCGTCTGCAGAGGGAACCTGGTACAGAAGGCCTGGGAGGTGACAGAATGGATAACAGCAGTAATGTGAGCGAATCTCCACCTCCTGCAGGAAGCACGGGGCAGTGCTTACCCATCCTACTTCAGCACATCATTTCTGCCTGCCCACAGCAACCCTAAGACTGAGGAGACACTCCCTCATTTTGAGATCTCTGGGTAACCATCTGCCCCATCTGCTCCCAGACAGAGGAGTCCAAACTTTCCCCTCTCCTTGGCTCCATCACTCAGCAACCAGAAGAATTTATCACCAGTGAAGCTGGTGAAAACTTTTTGAAGCACAGAAGATGTCTCTCTCCTCGACAAGTAAAATCTCAGCCCTGTGACTGCTCTATGTTATGTCTAACAGGCTTCTCAATGGAATAGAAGGCACAAAAGCATGACCTGCTGTCTCCAGGCTGAGTCTCCACCTGCAAGAAGGGAAGGCACTGAGCTGCTTCACGCAGGCAGCAGTGTCAGCCTTGGGAGGGGAAGCGTTTTGTCCGCTGTGTTACAGGCTCCTTCCCCGATCTGAACCTACCAGCTAACATGGGAAGCACTGCTGTAACAGTGCTCACTGCAAGGGGCTAAGGAGGGAAAGGATGAACACCAGCAACAAGATGCCATGAGACATCCAGGTTCTGAGCCCAGCACCTCCCTGTGCAAGGCCTCGTAGGAGGGAGCCTTGTGTTCTGTGCAAGATATTGTCCCAGAAACAAGCCTAAGAGCAGATTTGGTCAAACAACCTGGCATTGAATGTGAGAGAGGTCTTTCCAGCTACTGAGAAGGGGCTTCAGGGTCTTCCCATATCACCTCTTCTTCTGAAGTTAATCCTCCTTTGTTACCTGGTCCCTGAAGAACCTCTCCCTCCATTCCCAAAAACTACAGGGCTCTACAGGAAAGGCTTCCAGTTGCTCCCCCCTTTCTGCTCTGCCTGAGGGGCTGTGGGTCAGAGGTATGCCCAGGTTAGAATATCACACCTGGGATGCAACCCTCTCTAGCACGTGCTGCAGACCTGCCCTAGAATTCTGCTTTCTAGGACCAGCAAGGCCGGAATGCTCTCACTGCTGTAGCCAAGTGACCTATCCCAAGCCCAGTACATGCTCAACACTCCTCTGCTTTCCCCGTGGCCACCTCCTGGGATGAGTAAACATCAGCATCACAGCACATCACAGTTAAATTGTAAACATGGGGGCTTTCCCAGCCAGCAATCCCTTCACTGTGCCAGCAGTCCCACACCAGCCTGGAACCAGAAGCACCGCCAGGAGCACAAACACCCCTAGATCATTTTGATTTCTGGTGCTCGGCCTTGGCGCTGAGCCTTTACCATCTGCAGACGCTTCCCATGCAAGCTGAACTGAGACCAACTGAAGAGCTGCAGCAGTGCACATGTGATGGGAACAAAGACGAGGAGATAAAAGCAGCCCTGGCGGAGAGTTGGCTCCAAGACTGTATCAGATTCCAGCTTCGGCTGGGCGCTCACCACGTTGCTCAAGGGGTTACGCTGGAAGATGTCATGGCCTGGGGTAGAAGAACAGTCTGTTGAGATGGGACACTGGGAATGCTCCTCTCTCCCAGTGACTGGGCTTGGAGATGCGGAGACCGGTCCCAGCCTCATAAGTGAGACTCTGCATCCACCCAAAACACTGTGGAGGGCATTGAGCTCACAAGTCTGCCCTCTCCTACCGCAATGCTTTCTCAAGGGCACTTACCTGTGTACACAGAGAGCAGCCAGGTGCCTATCAGGGGGGCGAAGGTCTGTCCTGGCTTGGTGACCAGAGCAACCATCCCAAAAAGCAGCGCTGAAGCTGCCTGCTTTCTGCGGTTCAGTACAAGATCCTCATCCACCAAGTCAGTCACCACCAGGTTGAGCAACTTACAGGTCCCTTCTGTGAACACCCGGTTGCTGCAGGACAACAGGCAAAGCACCAAGAAGTTAGAGGAGTAAGTAGGAGATCAGAGAAAGTGGAGAGAGAGATTAGAAAGGTTCCCTAACACTTAAAATAACACTTTCAGAAATCCTGGTTACTGGAGAGGAACGCTTCTAGCAATAACAGCCTTGTGTGCCTTCTAGTGATGCCTTGGACCTGCCATACAGAGAGGCCTGGGGATGAGACACTGGGCTGGGACTAAGAGGCAGCTGCAGCACATCCTGAGGGCAATCACTCCATGCAGGCTGCAGAAAAAAAAAACAGGAGCTCAGCTCAGCAGCTGGCATGGGCTGCTACCAGGCAGCCACCAGCCCTGCCAAGTCTTTGTCCTCTCACATGGCAGAGCCCGAACATTGCTGCCTCCCTCACTGCTGCCTGCACAGCCTGCAGATTCAGCACTGACTAATCCTGAGCTGGGAGCTGCTAGAAGGAGACACCAGAGCTGGAAGCCACAGTGACCCTGGTTACTCTTCCCTCTGGGAAATGGGGACAAGTCACTTCCCTTCCCAGCTGCCAGAGAGCAAGGGAAGCAAGTGCTGTGTGCATACCTCGCTATGAAGATGCAGAGCAGATACACCTGATCAGGTCCTGCCAGGAGCATGACAACACTGAGAGCCAGCTTCAGGAAGAAAAGTCCTCGGACTACAGCATAAACACCCCAGCGGCGGCAGAGGGACAGGAAGTAGAGGTTGTTGAGATGGGGGGCAATGTAGGAAACACCTGAATAGAGACAGCAGCACAGAAGCTTGAGAGAGTTTTAGTATCCACTATCCCCCCAGGACCCATACCAAGAGAGGATAAAGCTTGCCAACATGGGAGGACAGGTGATGCAGAATACCTAACCACCACCACCACCCCCCCTACACACACACACACACACACACAGAGAGAAAGCAGGGGTGCTGGTAGCAGATGCATTCAATTGTTTTTGTGGCACAGCACATACACTTCCTATAGAGGGAGGCCCTCTTCACCAAACTCAAGCAAGAGTTTTTGCCCAGTGTCATACACAGGCTGGGATTCTGTCTTGGAGCAGCAATGAGACTTGGACAGTGTGACCAGAACTGGCCCGCACAAAAACTTCCCAGGGTGACAACAGCCCTACAGGATGTCTGCCACAGACCTGAGGCAGTCTGGATGCACTCCATATGCCATAGAGAGGCACTAAATTAGGAGCTGTGCTCCCTGCTCATCTTTGAGCTGTATCTGCAGACATGTCGTACTGAGAACAAAATCTATGTGGAGTTGCAGAGTCTAGGCAGGATCCAGCACCTCACGCTCTCCACCACTAGAAAAAGACTCCACATTAGTTTTATTGTGCCCAGGAAAGAAGACTCAAAAGTGCCAAGGAAGCTTATGAGGTGTATGCATGTGTGAATCTTACAGCCCAAATACCTGTTTGTGAGCACGCTTCTCCCCAGCTGAATTTTACAAAGAGACAATCCAGACTCAGGCCAGACCCTAACTCAGCTGTTCCCTCCAGTCCCTTCTGAGACTCACCAAGGAGGAAGGATCCAGTAGATACAGAGATCTGGTCTGACAGCAGGTGCTCCAGGAACAGGGGGAAGAAGTTGCTGTTAAAGTGGCAATGAAAAACCTGTGAAAGCAGTGCACAAACAAACTGATAAGCAGCAACAGTAGTAAGACTGAACAAAAAAAGCTAACAGCCTCCTAGACTCTCATCTTAAGAGATGAGCCTTATGCCAAAGTATCACGCAGGATGGGCCCCAAGTACTTTAGCAGAGCAAGAGCTTGGCTATGGAGGTTATGGCATGGTAGGCTTTGAGACCACAAGGCTGCCTGGGGTCAATACCACATCCCAGCTGCTGAAGCATTCCTCACTAGCAAGCTCACAGAGCACACATGCAGTACACAGCACTGATGGGGCAAGCAACAGCAAGGAGGCGACGACAGTGGCCACCTTGCTGGAGAAGGAGGCAGTGGCACAGCAAGTGGGAGCAGCAGCCAAGAGGGAGACCATAAGAAGGCTATAAGGCCCAAACACAAAGATGCAAACCAGCATTAAGAGCTTGCCTGAGGGGAACCGATTACCCATGGGGAGATGGAGCTCTGAGTTCAGCACATTAAGCTCAGGAAAGCTGGGCAGGCTGACAGCATTTGGTAGTAATCGATGAAGAGAATGAAAAATAGAAATTGCAAAAGCCAGATGGGAGGTAGATCCAGCTGGATGTAGTGAGAACACCGACATGAGCCTCGGGAAAGCCAAGCCAGCCAACTGTAGTCTGAACTCTTCCCATCACAAGCCGGGCCTGGTGTTTCTGCATCCCAGATGGGCTGTGCAGAGCTCAACCAGTCCCCTGTAACTGAGCCTGCACTGCAGAGGAGGGAGCACCACACAAATGTGACCTGAGGACAGTTCCTGAACAAGCAGAGATAATGGCTACCAGGTAGCTGATGGATTATACTGTGCAAGGGCAGGAGGCTCTGAAAGCAAGCAGACATCAGAAACTCCCCGTCCTTCCTGGAAAGCTGGCATGCATTTGAATCACCCAACAGCCATAACCAGTCTTCATCCTCCAAATCCCAGCACGTCACCACTGCACCTACCTGGATTAGATTCATGCAGACAAACCAGAGGAAGTTGCGATGCCGAGAGAGCTGCTGGAGATACTCAGCCAGGGTGATCCTCTTCTCCTGGGGAACAGAGGGTTTCTCAATGTATAGCCTACAGTGAGAAAGATGAGAGGAAGTAAAAAAAAAAAAAAACAAAAAAACAAAACACTAAAATTCACAGCTGTGAATCCTTTACCACAAGCATAGAAAAGCCTCTGTGGAGATGCAGAGCTGTCCCTCCTCAGCTCTCATTCAAACCTTCCCTCTCCTTGGACCAAAACAGCAGAGTCCACAACAATGTGAGGACAACACTCTAGAGATCTTCCAAATAACATTAAATCCTACAATTTCTGTTGATAAAAGCATTTGTGCATCAGCCACTACACTCCTACTCCAGATCCCTGCAGTTAGCTCACCTGGCAGATCTCATCAGGATCTGCTGTGTTAGCAGAACACAGTGCTAGTCTCTTGTTATAAGCTACAAGTGAGGCAGCCCAAAGAAAAGCAAAGGAGCTGAACTAAGTCATGATGCAGCTGGTTTCAGCAATATAACCAGGCAGGCAAAGTGAGCAAGAAGGTAAGAGGTATCTGCTTGTCCTACTCCACAGGAAATGGGCATTGAAGTGGTCTCATGCTCAAGCAGGAATACTTTAATGATAAGCTGCTTCTGACATATTGCCACTCACAGGCCTCAGTGGGTGCTCTAGATATTAACTCATTTCATGTTCCAAACACTGGATAGACCACACAGCAGGTCAGGGCTCTGCCTCCAGTTTGGGCCGGTGGTGCCACAAGATAGTTTTGTCCTGTTTTCAGAGGGCCTTAGAAGCCAAAGTGACCTCAGCCAGAGGTGATTCTGAAAACTGTAGCAACAGACAAGAACCACAGATAAATAATAATGGTCTGCCTTGCCCTGGATCTTCCTACAGTTTGCTGCAGTACATAACAGGACTCTAAAGACGTAAGTTAAGCCTTCATCACCTGCTGGAGAATTGATGACACGTACTCTTTTAAGGTTGATTCCTGGTCCCCTTTTGCCTTCCCATCAGTCTCGAATCGCAGGCGGAGCAGCTGTGTGGACAAGGTAAAGCCAACGATGGAGAAGGCAGCCAGCACGATGCAGAATATGCGAAAGGAAAAGAAGTCTTCCTTGTTCCATACTGCATATGACATGAAGACAGAGAGCGAGCCTATGGCACTGAAGAAGGAGCAGTAGAAGTTGAGGCTAGTCCTGTCTTTTGCTGAAACAGCCAAGTCTGCAAGCAAGGCATTGTGATGGAGGTCAACCATGGTGAGAAAGCTGTCATACATGCAAAGGCAGAGAAGGAACTGCAAACCAGGATGAGCCCAGGCAACCCAGAAAGCCAGAAAAGAGATGGCAAAGAGGGGGCCATTGTGGCTTAGTGCCCTGAGCCTCTTCAGAACTACTTCTGGGGAGGAAATCTCTGCTCCTGGCCTGTAACAGAAGACAAAAAGCTTTAGACTCTTGAACAAAACCGAGCACAATCATGCATCCTTTCTCTCTCAGAAAGCTGCTTATGATGCCCAGACATCAATACAGCTTTTGCTCATTGAACAAGTACCCACATCAGATAACTTCTCAGCTAGTCTGTGAACTCACAAAAAGTATGGGTGCAGGAAGCATGAAGGAAATATCTGGGGTTTTTTTCCCTCCTCTAGAGAGTAAGGAGCTCCCTGATAATTCAGGTGGTGCTGCGTTATTTCAACCAACACTTAAACCACTGTCACGAGATGCAGGAAGCCACACCATGATTGTCATTAAAAGCTTGAAGTAAGCACATGAGAAATGCTAATGGCCAACAGGTCCATAATGCAAAGAATTTGAGAACAACTTTGAGGCACCCCAGGTGGAAATAATTATCCTTTCCCACCACCAAGCTTATTTTTTTTATTTAGAACATAACTTACTGCTGTGTACTAAGGAACACCCTGTCACTCAGCCAGCCAAACAGAGGGTCATTGAGGCTGTTCCAGATCAGAAACACCGTCTAGGAAAGAAACAGAACAGTGAAACAAACCACAAGACAGCTCCTGGAGAGATGCACTTCTGTTACTGAATTGAGCAGTGCTGAGTTTGCACAGTGAACAGAGCACAGGAACCTCTCGTGCACCTCCTCTGCACCATCACCACTGTTTAATTCCCCTGTGACAACAGCCACTATCAGAGCAAACCCAGTGGTTTTTCACACCAGTAAAACACTCCAATGTACCCATAGGAACAAAGTCCCCAGGTTTCCTATCCCAGCTTGTTTTCTGTTTATGTAAGCAGGAAAAACTGCAAAGCCCAGATTAGCACTCAGAGGACTCCCTTGTTTCCTTTTCAAAGAAGAATGCAACTATCACAACAAACGCCCTGCACACAACAAGAACCAGTCTGAGCTTCAGAGAGCATTACAAGAGTAGGAATCCATGCAAAAGACTAACCTCTCCTATCCAAAAGGACAGTTTATCAATCTTGTAAACAGAGACAAAGGTGTCCACGTAGTAAAGGAGAAATACATTGTGCAAAATGGAAACAAACAGCGAACAGGACCCATAGATCACTGCAGTGGGCAGATGGAAGAGACAAGCCAGCAGCCGCAACCCCATGACGATGGGGTCAGCATCCAACTCCACGGATCACCTCCATTTCAGATGGCATGTCTTCTCACAACACCTGCTACATCTTTGCTGGGGCCAATCCATCGTTGCTCCTGTAAAAGAGGAAAAAAGAAATAAGCAATACAGATTCAATTTATTACATGAACTTAGTTGAATGAAATTAATTGATAAATCTTTGCCAGCACAGATCAGAATTAGTGTTGCTTTGAGGAGTTGTTCAAAAGTGGATTGGATGGGATTTATGAATGCAGCTGTCTGCTGCACTAAAGCTGTCCCATTAAGCTGAGGCCAGGCTCAGGGTGCAGCTGTCTCTTTGTGAGCACACTGTCCCTGCCCTGTCCTTTATACTTTAATGTTCTTTGTCAGCTGATTAGTTCCTTCCATCTCTTTAAAGGCAAGGTTGCAGGAACAATCAAGCTACGTGGCACAAACAAAGCAGCCTTCAGAAAACAGACCTGGCCACTGACGTTTTTAGGTACCGTGTAAATTTTCAGCCAAATAAAAGTGACAACAGCTCTGATGTAATCGCACACATGCATGCTGCTGTCCCCAGGCAGTCACAGCTGACTGCACCTGGACTCACTCAGACAGGAGGTATTTATGGCAAGTAGCATTGCTGCTTTGTGGTAGGAAGAGACACAATCAGAATCTGATGGCACACGGCAGACACGGTGCCATCATGCAACAAGGGCTACCCAAAGTCAAGTAGCAGCTGTCCAGCACATCTTGGGACACCCTGAATGTTGAAGCTGAAATAGAGATGCTTCAGCTAGGCAGCAATATGTATGGAAGCAAAGCAAGTGGAAACAGTAGTCACGTCCTGGAAGAAGCCACTGTATGTTCACAAAAGGCTGAGGCAGGAGGGGAAGGGAGGGAAGGACTGCTCAGCCAGCACCAGCCACAGCTCATGGCTAGGAAGCCCATCCCCACAGCAGGACATCTTCCCATGACAGAGGCCCATGCTCTTCAGACTGAGCCCCCTCTCACACTCCAGCTGCTACAGACCTAAGGCAAAACATAGGACACCTCTTTGGATGGATGCATTTAGTATCTGGTGAGAAGTGAAGGGCTCTTAAATCAGCGTCAGTCAGCTTCCCAGCCTGGGCTATCCCAAAAAGCTCCGTTCACATGACAGGTGACAACAGGGTCGCTGCCTCAATGCTGCCAGAAGCAAAATAAAGGAGCTGATGACCCTTGCAACTGCCAATGCAGCCCTCCAGAGCCAAGCACCCTGTTCAGACACATCACAGAACTGTTTCACAACGCAGCGTGTCTGGAACAGGAAATGACGCACCAAGTCAATCCTCTGGGCTTGCAACATCAGCCACAGCAAGCCCATGCAGAAACAGCAGATCAAGGGAAGAACAGCTGGGTATGAAAACTGATGAAACTCCAGTTCCATTCAAGCATTTCCCAGAAGCCATGAGTCTGACCACTTCTAGGCAAGATTAGAAAAACAAAAGATATCTGTCTGCTCTGCTCGGTCCAAGGAATTCCTCATAATTAGCCCAGCAGGAGCAGGCACAGCAGTTGTTCCAATCAATTACATCACTAGATTGAAACGGCACATCAACCCTGCTAAAGTGACAGACTCAATTGGATCCAACTGCAGAGCTCTCATGGGACTAAGCCATCACACCACATCCCACCACACCAAAACCCACAGCCAGATAAAAGGATGACGCTGCTCCAGAGGGACTTCAGCCAGACAATGAACAGTTATAGGTGTAATTAAAGACAGACATGCTGACGAGCATCAAAAGGAAGTTGCATTCCATATGGTCATGAATTGAAAAGGAATCAAGAATTTGTGATGGATAAAGGTTAAGAAGAACAGAGCTGGGGCAGCAGACCCACCCGTAAGCCCTGTGCCTCTCACCACAAACTTTCTGCAGGGGACTGGCTCAAGGGCACGTCATGCCAGCATGTTCTGGGCACCTGCAAGAACAGGATTGAGCACAAGGCACATAACATCATTTTGGACTGTATGAAAACTCAGTGTGCCCAGATCTCTAGCACTGTATGCATATCTAAGCCAGCTATGAGGTTACTGCAGAGAGGAGAGCAGAAGAGGCCAATTGAAGTGATGCAGCAGCCACTGCTGGAGGAAAGACTAAACAGCTGGGAGCCATCAAAGCAGGGTCAAAAAGCTCAGGACACAGAGTCCCAAGCAGAGTGGGTAGAGGGAAAGTGGAACAGATCTGTGCCAGGATAAAGTAATTAGCAGGAAATCAGTTTTGAGTACCTGGAAATACTGGCAGGTACCAAATGTCTGAGATGTGCTGTCAAGTGAGGTTGCAGGGGTGGGTGGCAAGTTGAAAGGATTAGACAAATTCTTGGAAAACAGCTGTATGCAATACATGGAAGGAAACAGTCAGGGAAATCCCCTCTAGCAACCTTCATGTGAGAACTGTGCATGCTGGTGGTGCCCCAGCACACCTCGTGCACACCCAGGAGACTCACAAAGTAACAGCAGGGAGCTGCTCTGCAGTCACACCAGAACTACAGGGAAACGAACACCCAGAGCTGAGCCTGAGCTCCTCACTGGTCAGCCCTGAAAAGTTCTCTCTCTCTTCTACTTCCACACTTACAGAAGTGATTAGCTGCTTTGTTGCTGGGACAGAGGCAGGGCTAAAGGATATGACAAACCTGCTAAAAGCTCAAGTGCTACTGACAGCGAGCGGTACATCAGATCCAGCACGGCCAGCTCTGATGGCACAGCCATTACCTGCACACTAACATGGACTCGACTTTGCTACTCGAATCCTGTCTGAAAGCAAAGCCAGGCTCAGTACTTGCACTGCACTCCGCACACATCCCATCTGAATGGCACTTCACTGAGCACAAGCTGCACGCACCACAGCTGCTCAAGTTTCCAGAGACACCTTGTTTTCTCATCGGTACCATGCAGTGCTGTTTGAAAAAGGTTACATTCCACTTCTTCTCGTCCTTTTCCCCAGTAACTCCCCCACAGATGTGCAACCCCCACAGCCAGCTGACATGTGTAAGTCATTTCACTTTGTTGAGATAGTTGTTAAAGCTTTTTTTTTTTTAAACTCCCTCATCTGAAAACATGCAGATGAAAAGAAACAAATTACAGTAGCCATAAAAAAGCAGATTTTGTCCCTACATCCAAAGCACTGTGTTATTTAAGCTTGCCACAGTGGTATTTTCATAACTTTTTTCCTTGGGGCAGAGCATTAGTCATGGAGTATTTCAGAACTTTTCAGAATTAGGCTTTAAGAAGTAAGGGGGAAAGGAGTTGCAAGAGGGAGTAATAATGCACAGCCATAAAGGAACAAGCTCGTAAATTAGAAAGCAACCAGCCTTTACTTCAGAACGCTTCCACCTCCGCATCTGACATCTGGCATTGCTCCTGCCAGTGACGTCTGCAGATCTTATCTTTTTTGAGGAGGATGTTTGAACACCATCTACCAGGAAAGCATTTGTTTGAGCGTGCTGACAAAGGGCAGCTGGAAACACATTGCAGTTTGGGGCTGTTACATCTGTTTTAGCTTCCTAGTCAGTTCACAGCTGGGTTCACAAGCTATTGTGCCCCACCACAACAGCAACCCTTGGGCTTGGAACAGACCAGCTCCAGCACTGGAGCCACACATGCCACACCTGAAGCCACTTGTACTGAGTTGGCAGCAGAACCATGCATGGGCATCTTGGCCCAGCCCAGTCTTTGAAGCAGGGCCAGACAATTCCTGTACACTGAAGTAGCCATCTGCAGACCTGACCACAGCAACAGCAAGACTTTCCAATGCATTCTCCACTATGTGAGCAATACAGGAATATAGTAAATATCTCAATAAGCCTGCCCTTGCTCCAGCAGTCACCACAGTGCCTCTGCTGCATATTCTGGAGTTTGGGAGGCTTACTAGCTAAGACCAGCTCTATCTTTCCACACCCACAACACAAAAGACCCTCGGATGGGATAAGCAACTCCAGGGGGACTATTTCTAGATATTCCTTAAGGTCAGACATGCCAGGGTTGCTGCTGCTGGTGGTGGTCCAACCCCATTCCCAAAGAAGCCAGGCTGGAACCAGAATGATGAAGGAGCTGCTGCTCCCTGCCCTGATACTGCACAGCATCAGGTACATTAACTCCTTCCAGGCCCCCAGGATGAAAGGTGACACCTTCATCCAGAAGCAGCACAGTTATGGACTTCTTCACCTGGACAGGATGACCAGCCAGTGACAAGTTCTTTCGGTGAGCACTGACCTCAGGTCCCCTGTTACAGGTGGGTCTATCTGCAACACCAGTTTGTCAGCGGCACTTCTAGAATTTTAATAACTTGTTTCCTCAGATAATCCACTTGCTAGAAGTGGGTCTCTATGGGGCACAAAATACTGTGATATGTAGAACCAACCAACAACAGACTCCTAACAGCCTGGTATCAAAGGGTAAAGCAATGAAGCCACAAATTCACCACCTCCTGGGCCTGACAAGGAAACTCACCACTCTGATGAGCCCCGTGGGGGTGTTTCCCAGCACTATTTACCAATTCAACAATGACAGATAACATCACACACAGTTTGGACAACACCCTTCTTGTTACAGGCAATTGTGTGCCTCCATCAGATGCTTCCATCCCTCCTTCTGAGTTCATGCATGTAAACAGAACGACCCTGCAGACAATAATTAGATAATTAACATCTCAAACCAGCTGGTAGTTCCAGCAGCACCGTGTTCAAGCAGAGAACTGTAGAATCATTAAGGTTGGAAAGACCACTAAGGACATCCAGTCCAACCATCAGCCCACCCCCCCGCGGGCGCTATAACCACATCCCTCGGTGCCACACCAACCCTTTTCCGGACGGTGACCCCGGCCACAGCTCATCTCCCCCGCAGCTCCCGGAGAGGCCGAGCGAGGCCCGGCCGCGTTGCAAAGCACAGGCCAAGAAACGAGACGTGAGAACCCCCAGCTCCACTGCAAACGAGCACGCACCGGGCCGGGGTCGAGCCAGGGGCTGCACGGCACGGCACCACTCCCCACCCCACAGCCACCCCCCACTCCCGCCTACCTGCGCTCGGTACCGGCGCCGCCCCACCGAACCGCACACCCACGCATGCGCACCCAGCAGCTCCTCGACCCCACCCCGACGCCATCTTGTGCCCTGGCGAACGAAGCCACCCCTCCCGCCACCGCCATCTTGTTCGAGGGCAGCTCGAGGAAGGGGAGTGGGAAATGACCGCCTCGCTGCTGCATTTGCGTTAGCCCCTCCCCGGAGGTGGCTTCCACGGTGGGACGGGCTCCGTAGGGCCCTTCTAGCCAGGCACGCTGTTTGCTCTATGTCTGCTCGGAACGCGGCGTGCCTGGCCTCCAGTCGCCATGGAAACGGCGAGCTCTGGCCTGAGTGCGTCCTTCCTATCGCCTTCGTCATCAGCTGCATAGGAACACCTTCCAACGTTCGTTTTACATTGCGTTGGCCAGAGCATAAGAGAAAAAGAGTCTGCAATTGTCTTCTACAATTCCAGATCAACTTTGAGCACTTTCTCTGGAGCCGGAGGTGTAACATTGCCTTGGCCTCTCCTTGCAGCCCTTGCTCTGACCCAGCACTGTTTTCTACGAAACAGAGACAGGACCCCAGTCTCTGCTTTCAGAAGCACCACCGCACCCTGTTACTTCCTGCTGCTCTTGTACAGTAGGATTACCAGCAGCTTCCTAACCGCACGGCTTTTATAAACTCGTGGAAGCTGGCAGTTAGCTGCGGTTCTTGTAACTAAGGGAGGGGCATGGAGGCGCTCAGCCCAGCTGCAGCCCGTGAAGGCAGCACAGGTGCTCGAGATTGGCCCGCAGGACAGCAGAGGTACGAACGTGTGCTGAGCCCTGGCTCTCCATTTTCTACCTATAGAGGTCTTCCCTTAAAGCTGTGTGCCTCCTGTTAGCTTTAGCAGCCCCGTGGCTTCCTTTTGTTCCTCACCTGGGCATGCAGTGTGGGAGGAGGGCAAGTGCTTCAACCCTGGCTACGGCTGCGTGCTTCAGCAAGGTGTGGTGCTGTGCCTGAGTCCTCTACCTGGTGTGTCACAGAGTGTGCTGCTAAGAGGAGGCTGCAGGAGGGAAGCTGCCTTCCCCAGGTCAGGTTATCCTGCTCTTCCTGGCTCTTGATTCAAGCAAAGGCATCATCTTGGCTGGTTTTTTTTTCCCTGAGGGAGTGAGTACACTCAGAATCTCATTTCTGCACTTATCTGTATACTAAAGACTTCAGTATGTTGTTGTGGCAAAACAGTACTGCTGCTATGAGCATACAAGTGAGCAGGTCAGAGCTTTGTTTGCCTTTCATTTCCCTTTCACTTCTGTGTGCCCTCTGCTCTCTAATAGAAGCAAGTCCATGTGCAGTGGTACAGCTGGCTTGGGGATGTTGATTTATGGTACTGCTCCAGCCTGTAACTTTCTGAGTACCTCCTGGTTGTGGAAGATGCTACTTTAAGTTATTGTAGCGATAGGATATGAGCCCTTCAGTTAAGGAAAGTAACATAGATCTCTCTGAATGTTTGTATTCTTGCAAACAGGGCTGCGTTTTCTCTTCCATTTAAAAAAAAAAAAAAAAAAAAAAAAAATCAGTAGCGCTACTTGTAAACTGTGTTCTGGTTGTCCAAAGGCTTACAACAGGGAGTTAGAAAAGGTGTATGTATATTCTGTAGAACCCAAGGTCAGCAGAAGCTGTAGCTGTTTGCCCTAAGGGTGCAATAACAGCAGTATTCCCACAGCTAACTTTATCTCAGAAGCTTGAAGTTAAGCTAGAAACATATCATGGGTGTCTGAAAACATCTTTCTGTAAGAGAAACTTGTTTTATGAGCTAAAAGAATGACATGTTGTACAACTCCAAATTCCGGAGATAATCTGTTTCTCTCCCTGTCTGGGCACTGATGCTATGGAGGGTCCATTACTGTGAGTTTCTCTTTCCTTCTGTCTCAACAATGCTACTCCTACGTAGGAAGCAGGGAATGCAATACCAAGTGCAGTCAATACACACATAGCTCAAGTGCAAGTGGCTTGCTGTGGTTGGTTGCTAGAATGCAGCAGCAGAGACCTACTGTGAGCATGTAGTCACTCTGGAGAAACAGACTCAGGCCTTTGTAGCAAGCCAGAAGGCTCCCCTAAGAAGACTTATAGGGTAAAATCTCATAATCAAACAGCTGAGAGAGCAGGATGGTGCAAAAGTACAAAGAAAAGTGTTTAAAGCACATTGCTCTGCTATGCAAACTGTTTACGTACAATAAAGAGGTTCTGTAAGTAACTGGAGCTAGGAAAGGGAGCCAAGGCTGAAGCTGAAAGATTTGTTTTGCTGTATGTGAAGACAACAGCTGTGGTTGGATAATTACAGGGGAGTCTGAAGAAACTCTTAGAGGGCAGAACCTTGAAAGGCCAACCAGACCATATCAGTAATGCCATATAAGGCTGAGATTGCCTAGGTAACGGTATCAGGAGGAGTAGGCTTGGTTATGGATGTAGCAACACTGAGACCAATGGGGAAGGAGTGCTTAGGGGTGGATTGATTGTTTGGGAGGAGATCTTCTGGAGGAGCGGAGGCATGAGCAGGGCAAAAATGTGAGTACTGAAATGAGAGAAACTGGATCTTAGACGAAAGAACTAAGGAAGGTAGGATTGGCTAAATGCAGGAATGCAGACACCTATGAATGGTGGAAGAGCCTGAGGACCCAAACCTGCTAGGATGAAGAAATAGCCCAGCTCCTTGAACAGCCTGTTGGACTCAGTCAGGCCCCAGTCGGCAAGATTTGGTGTGGGAGGGCAGAGCAAAGGAGTGATGGTGGGAGGGAAGGGAGGTGCACCTGTAATTCAGTGTCTGTAGTATGTGGTTTGTTAAAGCTTCTGATAAAGTCTTTAGTTGTGCACAGGACGATACAAATAACAAAGAGTTACTGGTAGTGTGTTGATGAGGTTATTGATTCTTCAACTGACTTATTGGAGTGAGCAATCCGTAAAAGTCAGTCCATTGGATCAGTTTATTGGCACTGTAATCTAAATGAGGAGAGCTACCTGTAGAAGGGACAGCAAGGGGCTCATCCAGGATCTCTCAGCTTGGAAGCTTGAACTAACTGATGTTGAGACCTTCTATCTGAAGAGGTGTGCGGATGAAGGAGATGGGCAGCAAACGAACTTTATGCAATGAACTTTGGGAGGAGGAGGAGGAGGATGGTGTGCTGTGTGCCAGCTGCTCTTTAACCTGGAGGGGACCCTTGGGACCAAGAATGCAATGAAGTGCAGATTAAAGAAAGCAGTGCTTGAAAGCAGCTTTTAGAAACAGGGCTGCCTCTGGGAGAGGGTTTGGGTAAGAAACTGGTGGCTTCTAGGAAGGCAGGCTGGGATCCTGAGATGTGAAGAGACCTGAACTCAGCTGAGGAAAATGGCTTTGATGCCAAAGGTGCCTACAGGGAAGGTGAAGCTGCTGGTGGGACTTATAGCCACCCAGAAACCAAGCCATGGGGAAAGGAGCTGTGCAGAAGGAGAAGTGGGTTGGTGTGTGTGTGTGTGTGTGTGGAGGGATGAATGGCAGTAGTGTTTAGGACTGCTCTGGTTGTAAGCAGAGCTGACTGGGAGCTCTGCTGGTGCAACCCTGAAGTGTGGCTTGCTTCTTCTAGTGCTGGCAGTACAGCTGTTCTGACACTGTTATCCAGCAGCTGCAGCAAGAGGAGGAGGAAGGGGGTGGCTGCTCCAAACCTCCCTTAGCCTGCAGTCAGCTGCCTTTTGACTGCTAGCATGGGCAGAGGTATGCAAGGGAGTGGCTCTTGTATCATCGGAGTCAAGAAGAGGCTTGCTGTGCAGTGACGAGGACTTTTCCTGATGCTTTGATCTCATATGGAGCCTGGGCTTTGCACAGACTCCAGATGGCCAGATCTATACTAGATTTCAGCGTTTCTTGGAATGCTGCTCTGAACAGCTGAAACAGATCTGCTTCCTCTTCAGAAGGTCTTTGCAAGGGATGACCAACATCTTCACTGCTATTGCCATGGCCGCCAGCACCAGCTGGAGCCCTCTTTGTGGTGCAGCCCTCTTTCTGGTCAGAACTCAGAGGAATCTTCTGCCTTGTTGCCTGTCCTGCAGACAAGGTGAAGGTGTCTGCTGCCTTCCAGCTTGGAAAATGAGATAAGGAGGGGCTGCAGCAATACCCACCTCCTTGAACCCAGATTCCAGTAAAATATCCTGATCAGGTCCTCAGAACAAACGTGCAAAACTGCCTGAACTGGTGGGTTTCTCCTGATTCTAGTAATAATGTCACATCTAATCTTTCAAACCTTTTCCACTCTGTAGATCTACTGCTCTCTGGGGGAAACGTTAGGCTTTCATTCCAAGTACCTGTGTGTCTCTGCAAAGCCCTTTCATGCCTGGCGGCTGTTCTCAGACTGCTTTCAGTATCAATTCTCTTCCTTCCCACATCACTGCCAGATACTACAGGGGAGTGTGTCAAACAGCCTCACCCCTCTTCTGAGAAGTGAAGGCTGTGTTCTCCTGCCCCACCAAGTTTCCGTCCAGAAATATCTTACAGTAATTGGTGTGGAGGGGCACTGCGTAACAGCTGCCTGGAGGCTGATTGCTGCTACATGCACTGTGGCTTTATAGGAAATGTGTTGTGCATATTTCTGCATGCCCACATGATATCCAGGGCACAAGCTTGAAGCAGCAAGCTCCTCCTGAGTTGCCTGCTTGGTTTCAGCTGCTGCGCTGCATCAGCTGGGGTGCCTGCCTCCCCTGCTGCACCAAATTCCTTTCAAGATGCTACAAGAGTTCATCTCTTCCAGAAGTACATCTTCGTGATGCCGCAGGGATGATGTGGGAACCTCTTGGGAAAGTATTTACTGCCCCTTGGAGGGCTTTGCTGGAACCATGCGGGTTTACTGTTGTCTTGGAGAGTGTAGAAAAAACCTGTGATGCTGTTTTTTTTCCTCTTGGGAAAAGGGGCAAAATATGAAAGTGCTTACAGGATGAAGAAAGCGTGGGAATTTGTGCTCCTAGTTAAAAATTAAGACCCAGAAGAGCCAGCTTGCCTGCTCTGTACCAAGCTGTTGTGCTTTACTGGAATTCCTGTGTTGCTGCCAGGCACGTCTGGCTGAGTGAGAGCATTCCCTCTGGGAAGATATCCAAGTGCCCTGTCCTGCCAACTGGTCCTGCTGATGGAGGAGCCAAGTGTTGCAATGTGCTGCATGGGCTCTGTGCTGCTTCCTCTCCTTTCTTTCTGACTAAGAAGCACCCAAGAGGCCTGTCCTGGAGTAAGATTTTCTTCTGAGACCTTGACCAGAGAGAGTGATCTTTTCTGGCAGGCGGGAGAAGGAAATGACAAGGGAAAAATAAGACGACTCATTGCTTTAATCCTTTCTCACAAGCTATTTCTAGCTACCAGGATAAGCATGTGAGACTGTCACCAGAGCTTTGGAGTGCAAATCTGAGCCCACTTGCTGGGTGCACTGTTCCTCTGGGCAGGAACAAGCTGCTATGATCACCCTCGAGTGGAAAAAACCAAGCATGCTGGGATGCTGAATTGATCTTGACACTTGGGCAGAGTGGGTCTTTTGTAGGGACAGGGCAGAGCTGCCCATCCTGGGGTGCTGGGGAGATGGGGATTGCTCTGCCCCTGCTGCCTGGAGCTGTGCTCAGTCTGAAAGCAAAGTGCCTGCTGCACCTGTGTGCATTGATGTGCACCGTGCTCAGGTCCTGGTGCATGCTAACATGCATGGCTCTGTTGGCTGGGAGCACGTAGGCAACCTTCACTTGTCTATTTGAAATTAATGAGTAGGTTTGATGGTAATGTCTCTTTTCCAGAGACACTGAAGCTTCCTTTAAGTTTTCTCACTTTTTTTTTTTTCTCCCAAGCAAGGCTTCTGTGACTTTGCCAGATGGCAAAGATTTTGCAGAGTCTGCTCAAAAATATAGAGATTAACTGGAAATAACTTACGACTTCTTCATCCTCTTGGTTAGGGGAAAATGTTGCTCTTACTGTGCTCATCCCTGTACATTTGGGGGATGCCTCAGAGAAGTGGTGACAGATCTGTGGATTTTTTTTTTTATTTTTTTATTTTATTTTTTTGGTGAAGTGGAGAGGAGATCAAGGCAGGAAGAAAGCCAGAATGGTCTGAAAGTTGGGGTGCTGGAACAGCTGAGGACAAAAAGCAGCTGAAGGGAATCTCCTGATCTGCCTTGATGAAAGCAACCTGCAGACATGCTACAGATGCTCCTGTGGTGGTACAGTGGCACAACCTCTATGTTGGTCAGTGCTGCTGTCAGGCTCGCTTCTCTCAGAGGCCGTGCAGTCCGGCATGGGTTTGACTGTGTTCCTCGGGTTTCTACAACTCGCACGGTTGTGTTTTCTTGTACCCCAGAATCAAGAAGCCGAACAGCTCCCTGAATTCAAGCGAGCTTTGGTAACAGTGAAATTCTGCTGTGGGGAGTGCCCAGCAAAGCCATAGGCTTCTCTGGTGCTAGGAGGTAACTGCTGCTGCTACAAACACAGAAATGCCGCAGGCCGGTAGGGCCGTTCAGTGTTATTAGTGGTTGATTCATCACCTGTAGCAAGTAACTGTGTAACACAGCAGTGAAACAGTTTTCTCCGCACTTGAGCTACCAAGCATTCTGTGGCTCTGTACTGCGAATGTTTTGCAATTTCCCCGTTGTGGCTCTGCCTGGGTCAGCTGGCACTGAAGCAAGCTTTGCTCGGCAGACCAAGTATTTTGGAAGCTGTGGTGTTGTGTTGGGCTCTTTGAGCTGCACCAGGAGTTGTTGGAGTCAGCTCTGGCAAAGCCGGGAAGAGTCGGAAGTAGGGCGCTCTCTCCAAACCCAGAGAGTGGTTGTGTTCATCTGGCTGCGACCTTCTCGGGAACCTTCTCATTCAGCTCCAGCTAAGTGGGGCTGAAGCCTCTTCTAGCAAGGTCAGAAGAGCTGGAAGGGCTCGAAGGGGGAAGAACCTTGTTTCTTGCTGCTACCTTTCTTACTGGTTTGTTCCTTGTTGCTTCCTGCAGGTGACTGCAGCTCCTGGGCGCAGCAGTGCCAGCCCCTCCACACCTCCCCTGCGCTAGCAGGAAGCTGGTGAGCGCTGCTGGCTGCTCCTGGCTCAGGAGTAGAGAGCTGAGCCCAGCTTGCCCTTTCATGCTTAGGACCTCCAAACCCCAGGGAACAGGCCTGAGGGTTCTACTGAGGTTCTGCAGAGCTTGACACAAACGTGAAGGAAGGGAACAGGTAGCAGCCTGAAGAGACAGGTCAGCCTTCTTGCCTTTCCTTTCTCCCACCACTGCTCCTGAAGAGCAGAGGAGAGAGGTGCATGCTGTTGGGTGCTTCCTTCCCGCAGTTAATGCTTTCCCAACAATGGAAGTAGAAACAGCGAAGAGGAAGAGGAGGGATGGATAGGGGCTGGACCCCTCTTCCAGGGAGTGCTACTTAAATTCATATTTCAGTTTTCAGCACCTGGCTTTTGGTGCCTTCTGGCTACAGGTGGTCTAGCCTTCCCTGAAGTCTTACTTGCTCAACTTCCCTATGAACGTGGGAGAATTTTGGGCAGGCTGGCACTGGTTCTGAGTGCACTTGATCTGTTGTATTCTCACTCAGCTCTATAGGGTACAGCACGACTTTGGTCCAGCTGTGTTTTCTAAGCCAGCCTCTGGAAACTGGAGCAGCATGAGGGTCAATGTGAGCAATATACACTGATGCAATGGTGAGATGAGCCACATTTTCAGCCCCTGAGGGTGTGAGGCTGCAGACAGGCTGGAGCAGGAACAGGACAGCACTGGGTTGCTGTGGAGCAGAGCTATTGACAGCCCCTGCAACTTGCCCAGGCAGCTTTGCAGGTTCCCCTGGGGCTGGAGCACTCTTTGGGTTATGTCAGCTGTCAGCACCCTGCTCAGGGTGATCTGCTTCCAGGGATATGTCCTCAAGTCTGTGGTTGGGCATGTGATTGCTGTGCTGGAGCTTTCTCATCTGCTCTCAGTCCCATCTTGTTTTCCCTGTTATCTCTTCAGTTTGCTTCTTTTTGTCAGCTGTCCTGCCTGTTGCCAGCACCATCTCACAGTGCTCAGGCTGCTTTTTGTGCAGGAGGCCCAGGAGCCTGGTGCCTGCTCTCCTCTTCCCAGACATCTACTGTGCTGGGTAAACCTCAGTCAAGGCAGATACAGGAGTTATTGTATTGAAGCAGCTTGAGCCTTTATTTTTAAAGGGCTATGACAAAGTACTGTAGACTTCTTTTCCTGTGTTCCTTTTTGGGGAGTTTGGCAGTTGTGGTGAGCTCTGGCTCCTGGGTTGCAGCTGTGTGAAAGGGGCAGAGCCTGGTCCAGGACTGCTCTGCTGTTCAGGGGCTGGGCTTTGGTTCTGCCCTGAGGCAAAAGCAGGCTTCAGCTAATGCTGATCGTGGGCTTCCGGGAACAGGAACACCTTGTGCTGGTTTAGAAAGGAAAAGCTGCCATTGTGTAGCACCCAGCATTGCTTCTAGCAATTTCCTGGGGGCTGTCAAACCTCCTGCTGGACTGGAGGAAAGCACTGAACAGAGGGATAAGTTTCATTTACCCTCTTGCCTCAGGTGAGAGTTGCTGGCATGTGGCAGCTCTGTAGTTAAGGGTGAAGGTTCTGAGCAGTGGGGGAAAAAAAACTTGTTGCTATGTGCATGGTCTCTCCCCGTCTGGCAGCAAGCTGTTTAAAACAAACACAAACCCTAAGCATGTTGTATGTGTGCATTCCCTTCCTGCTCTTGGGGGAGAGAATGAGTCATGGGAGGACATTGCTCAGTACCCTGGAGGGTGATCTGGTCCTCTGAGGGCAGGGTTGGGACAAATTGAGCTGTGGGCCGGAGTTCCTCAGGGTAAACGCACCCTTGAACATGAATGGTAGCCAGTGAGACCAAAGTGAAAAGCCTCTACATGAGGACTTGCCAGAGGAGTTGTGGATGTGGACACAGACCTACCTGTTTGTGTGATAACCTGCATGAATGGGGAGATCCTTTGATTAATCTGTTGGTTTGCCTACAGTGCAAGGTGCACCCCCCTATTCAGCTTGTTTTGGGAGCATGTAACAATGTAAAGTTTTTCTCTTCCACTCCTGTCCTCACAGCTGTTGAAACTCAGCAACTGCTCTGGCCAAGTATTCCTCGGGTAAAGCCCCAGCTCCTGTACCATGTACCAGCCCAGCTTTGTACCACGGGACTACTGTCCAGCCATGATCCCATCTCCTCACACCTACCTGCCACTGCGCCCTGCGAGAGCGGAAGACCCAAGCAGCTCCACGATGTTCCCTCCCATCTACATGCACAACTTCTACAGCCGCCCCATGACCTTTGTGATAGACAGAAGCAGCTACCCTGACTATGTGGGCAGTCAGGTGGAGTACCACCACTTGTACAGTGCTTCCAACCCCTACTTCCATCCGTACTATACCTGGCATTTACCCCCTGTGGTCCCTCTCCCACTGTATAATCCCTATGCAAACTACAATCCCTATGCTGCCTACCACAGGTCAGACCACTATCGAGACACGTGGCCAGATGGCTTCACCATGAGAGGGGAGCTTCAGTGGGGGAAGCTTGCAAAGGTGTTTGGACCAAGGAAAGACCTCCCAGAATTTGTGAAGGATGATCTCCGGAGGGTTTACGGCACCTACCCACGGACCAATGTCTCCATCACCTACCGGAAAGGGGAGTTCTTAGTCAAAGCGGACCCCAAGGTAGGAGAGCAGGAGTACACAGTGGAGAAAAATGTCATCCAGAGGGCTCTGACCCCCAGTGCCAGTGAAGCAGATGACAGCAGTGAGGACCGGAACAGGAAGAAGAAAAAGAAACTGAGACGTTGATGTAGTTGGTCACACAATAAACATGCTCTGCAGCTCCAGGGAGTCAGCTGGAAGCTAGGAAGCAGCTCAAGCAATGGGTGCCACTGCTCCCCATGGCTTTTAACTCCTCTGTCCCTCACAAGCTTATGGTAGCTTCTCCTGTTTGATGCACAATGCCCGTCCTGTGAAGAAACCACCTGGCACTTGTCTGTCTGTCAGATCAGCTCTTTGGTCCTGGTTTTGGAATCCACTGGTTTGGTTGGGTGGCCATGGGCTGGGAGGGGATTCCCAGAGAGCAGCCCCTGGTGAGATGGCCCTCTTCATACACTGTCCAGGGGGAGGTCCTGGGAGCTGGATCCCTTTCTGGCACTCACCTGAGGAGATAAAACTGGATTTCCTTCAAGTTGAAGGCAGTGCAAGTCCCAGAGGGGAGAGGGGTGCTCTGGAACTGTAAAGAATATCTGTGTATCATCACTGCTGTTTTATGGATGTAGCACTTATGTACTTATGGTGTGATGCCCGCACACAGCACTTTGCTGCACTCTGGCAGAAGATCTCCGTGTCCTGATCCTCTTACACTTGGTAACCTTGTGCTTGATCCTCCTGGCCATGTGTCCTGGCTGAAGTGGCTGCCTGAGGCTCTCTCCTGGGTCTGACCCAGCTCTGGCTGGGGGTGCTGCCTTGCTGCAGATAGCAGAGCTCTGTGTCCTGTGGCACCTCTGCAGCTGCTCTCCTGGGTCTGAGAATGACTTGCTTGTAAACCTGTGCTTTTTAAATGATTATAAATAAACAATTCAAAAAAGAATACAAATAGTTGTTTCTGCTTTTTAACTGTGAATGTCTCTCAACCTGTTCTGGAACCTTTCTACAAACTCAGGATTTTGACCTGCATGGTTTGCTCCCTTCAGGCGTAAGTCTCCTTGCCTTGATGGCTGGTAATTGAGCCCCACTCCCAACAGTGGGGTGCCCCAGAAGTGTAGCTCTTTTCCCCCTGTAATTTTCTTCCAACAGGCTGTATGGGAGATGAGCATCCCAATGGAAGGAAAGAAAGGAGTGCTCCATGTCAGCATGTGGATGGAGACAGCCTCTGAGAGTGCATATGGAGACCCTTGCTGGCTTTGAATTACTATAGAGAAAAAGCAAGTGGATTTTTTCTTTTTATTTAATGTAACTTCCATTTGTTTCTCTGAAATGGGTGAGCTCTGCTGCTACATGAAGCAGTGAAAGCTCTGAACCAGAAAAGCTGCTACAGAAACTTCAAGCTGCTGCTGCTCCCTAGCTGTGCTGTGAGCAGTGGGGCCTGCTGAGCGGGCAGAGGTTGGCTCTGCCGATGGCTGGCAGTTATCCCTTCTGAAGGGCAGCAGTTTAAGCAGTAATCCCAAAGCTTGCACTTCAGATCCTTGTGTGGCGATGCAGCAGTCAGATATGGTGCTGCAGGTTTTCTCCAGCATCACAGAGCTGGTGCAGGTGAGGCTGGGCTGTGTTAGGTGAGTTCCTGCAGCAGGTGCAGGCGGCACATCTAAGGGACAGAAGGGGAGCAGGGGGTTGCCTCCTGATGGTGGTCAGATGCTGCATGAATTGCCAGGATCTGCATCAGTTATCTGGGAGAGAGACATTTAGGATGTTTCTGCTGACAGTTTTGTAACATGGTGTAATGGAAATTGTTCCCCAAACTTGGCTAAAGCCTCCCAGAGTCATACTATGGACGGGTGGAAAGAGCCAGTTGTGTCCAGAAAAGCTTTCTATGGAATAATGCTGCTGATCTGTGTGAACACTTGGCAGGAGCACTGCCTGTCTCTGCTCCCACAGCCTGCCATGACCTGTCCTGCTGGGGACAGCCCAGGGAGCAGGCATGGCCCATGGCTTTAGCCTGGTCTGTTTGTCTTCTCCATGTTTTATTGGGTTACGCTGCCCGGAATCTGATTTCTAGGCACACCCAGGCTGCTGTGTTGACAATGAGTATTTTTAGCACAGGCTTACAACCATCAGGAGGCAGTAACGTTTATTTCCTTAAGTTCCATTCCACTTCCAGATGGAAGAACCATTTTATAGCAGGGCTTTTTAGCCCTTTGGGGAAGCCTGCAACAAATGACCGCTGCCTCGAGCAGCTCTGAGTGCGGGGCTTTCCGCTGTGGTCATAACTCACCTCCATCCCTGCTGGGATCTCTGTGTGTGTTTCTGCAGACACAGCACTCGGCTCCTCTCTCTTCCTGAAGGCTGGAGGCTTATTAGCTGCCCAACTGCAGAACTGAATCCATAGGGCATTTTCGGATGCTTTAACGCCTATGGAATTCAGTTCTCAAAGCCAAGCAGCCAGTCCTCGCCGACTTCCCACTGCCCCGTGCGGCTGGGTCTCCGTCTGCAAGGAGGAAAAAATAGCAAAGAGCTCACAGTGCCGATGACGCAGTGCAGGCAATGAGCTGACACAGATTTTGCACTGGGGAGCTGCTGCGAGGAGGGGGCTCTGGCACTGCTCTGCCCCAGGTGCAGCACAGGGAGCTGCAGCTTTATTTGGAAATGTTGCTGAAGTTGGCTCTTTTTTTTTTTTTTTTCCTAGTGCTTCCACATGTCACCCTGTCATTTGGAGCTGCTGCAGAGCTTCAGGTCAGCCCTGAGCTCTGCATTATGCTGGGAGAATTACTGCCTCTTGTAGATGTGGATGTTGGGAACAGGTGCCTTAGGAATTTTGTCTATGTACCTGCTTGCAGCTTGTGCTGCTGCTGATGCCACAGGTGGGCAGCGAAGGGGAAGACAAGGGGACCCTGGTGAGCAGCACCAAGCTGCTGCCAGCAGACGGGGCAGAGCCTGTCCTCACTAAATGACATTTGTTTTCAGCCCAACCAGGAGCTGGCAGCCGAATGCACGGGAGACATGTTTTGGCTCAGCTGTGGCTCAACGCAGTGCTGACGGCAGCAGCTCACGGTCACTGGGAAGGAGCACAGCTGGGAGGGTGCATGCGGGAGTCGAGCCCCCAGCTCTGACAGCTCAGCTTCGGGATGGGAAATGACACATGGCCTTGAAGCACCAGCAGAGATTTCAGTGAGGAAGCGCCCAGCAGGTTTTGGCACAAGGAGCAAGCTCTGCGGTGGCTAAGCAGCCTGCCTGGGCATCTATTTAAGTCTGCCTGCAGGGAACCCAAGTTCAACTGGGGCAGTGCAAATCCCCCATCCTGGCTGGGTGCCTTCTGCTGCCACTGTGTCGGTTGGGAGAGGTGGCTCAGGGCCCTGGCAATGCTCTTTCAGGCTGTCTCCGGCTCTCAGCCACTGTGAGCAGCCACTGCTTTGTGAGACTGAAAGGCAAAGGAGAGGGAAAAGCTTTCTCTAGGCTTCCACTGTGTGCTGATTTCCAAAGGAAAGGGAAGGGTTTCAGGCAGAAAAGCAGGAGGGAGGTCAGCCTTGACATGTCCTCCCTGTCATGTCCCAAGAGATGTCCCATCCCTCTCTGTGCAGTCTGTGGAAGCGATGGCCGTGGGGCCACACAGTATGCCTAGTGGTGTACTCTTACCTCTTACCTATCCTGTGCCCTGGCATGCCTGGATGGAGCAGGGCAAGCCCCAGCCAATCTGGTTTTGGCATCCTGACTGTGGGGCCTGGGCATCTCCCACAGTACTAGGGCAGTTTGCCCTGAGCATGGTGGGAAGCATGTGGGAACTGAAGCACGAACAGCTCCAGATGCTTCATTTTGCCTGTGGCTATTCCTGCAAGCTGCATCCCCACAGTGCAGCATCCCTGAGGCTCTACCGCAGGCATGGCACCGCAGGCACCTGCAGGAAGCAGGGGCTCGTCTGGCAGACACTGGTTCCTACATGGGGTTTTGGGGAGCTGAGACACTGGTGCATCCCATGTGCTGCCTGTGCCAGGCTCCTCTCTGAGCTCTGCCTTTCGGTGTCCCATCTCCAGGCTAATAAGGAAGCTCTGCCCTGGTGTTGGCAGTGCCAGCTAGTTAGTATGGGAGCTACTGATTAGAAAGGATGTTCCTGGGACCAGGCAGCAGCATCACATGGGTGTTGCACACCCTTGGCACAGGACATTCATCCAGACGGTCCTGCTTTGTCTTCTCAGGAAGTCTGCAGAAATAGTTATGCACAAACACCCCCCTCCATGGTTAAATGTCAGTGGGATGGCTCCAGTTCCACAGATTGCTCCAAAAGCTGCAGCTAGAACTGAAGCCAAGCTGGAGAAGCTCAAACTTGTGGATCTGCCATCTCCTTCCCTGCAGCCTGTGTTGGAGCAATCAGCCTGACAGCAGCAAGATGCATCCTTGCTGCTCACCCTCAGCCACAGCTGGGCTTCAGCTCCTGGAAGAGCAGCAGCATGGGAGCAGCCCTCACCCTGGCTCTGGCATAGCCCCCCCACAGCACTCGACCCCAGCACTCACCGGCAGCTCCCGGCTCTGTCTCTCTGGCAGCAGGACTGTGAGCCGAGCCGCAGAGGCACCGTTAAATACTGCAGCCGTCTTACTCACTTCTCTTCCTGGATGGCAGCGTGCGGGGTTCCCACCCACTTCTTTCACCTTTGGTTTCCAGGCTTTCTGAGAAAAGGGGAAGCCGTGGGAGGGAGCGACCGGCATCCCCGTTCCAGGGAGCCAGTTGTGGGGAGATGCGGCCTCCAAGAGGCTCTGACACCCTGGAAAAGGGCAGATGTGGGAACACGGGCTGCTGCCTTGGGCACAGCCAGGAACCACCAGTGCTATGGGGCTGAGGGGCTTCTCCTGCCCTGGCTGAACTTTGCCCCCCTGGCACTGCTCAGGAAACACTCAGCTGTGCCTTTGGGGACGAGGTATTCCCTCTAGGACTCAGATGGGACCTTAGCATCACCCGGCCTTGGGTCAGCCACCTCCTCTCCCACTGCTCCCAGCCTGTAGGTGACACCCGAATCACTCACACGTGTGGTGAGCGGTGTCTGGTCTCAGCCTGACTGCTGGCTGCATTGGGGCATGCATGTGCCTTTTAACCCACTTGGGACACCTCCAGCTCCACAGATGTGTGCGGCCCTTGCAGCCACTGCTGGCTTTGGCGGGGTAAGGGAGGGCTGCAGGGACTTCTTTTCCTCAAGGTGACACTGACTGCTGTTCTGCCCCCTTGCACCACCGGGCGCCATTGTTCTGCTCAGACATGACATCAGGTCCCCCAGGGCTCCCCTCTGGGTTGGAAGAGAGAGCGTGATGCTGGCAGGGGCCGCAGCACTGAGCCGACACTCCCTGTGCTCCTACAGCAACGGGCAAACACGTCAATATGGGAAAAGGGTACACGGGTGGAAAGCAGCACCAGCGCTCCTATCTGCCTGGGCTGTGAGTGCCCGTGAGCTCTGCTAACAATTGCCAAACGTTTGTGCCTTTGGGGGCTGTGTGTTTCAGGGCAGGAAGCACCCGGAAGGCTGCAGGGCTGAGATTACTTAGCTGCTGGCGGCAGGGCTCCTGCAGCTGCTTTGCACCTGAGTGCATGAGATGGAGCCAAGGGATTTACCACACCGATCCCTAATGCAGCCAGCATCTCCAATTCAGAGAGCCTGCACAGCAATGGCTCTGCTCATACTGCAGCCCTCTGGGCTAAGCTTCCCTCCACCTGAAGAGTCACTTCTTTCCCATGTCACATTTTCAAATCCTTGGAGAACTTTTGGCCACACAGACAGAAACTGGGGGACATTTCGTGAGCCCACAGGAATGCAAAGAAATGGAAATGACTGGGGGGACACACAGGATAGAGGAAACGAGCAGCCTCCTCACGCTTGCTGCACTGGAAGCACAATCAGCGGGAAGGGAGTTTCTCAGGGATTGTTTTTCCCCTCCAGGTTCCTGTTTTCCCTCCAGCCCTGCTGGGAAGGGCTGGTATTTTCCCTGATGGACAAAGCCGTGTTTCTGCTTGAAAGAAGCCTCAGCAGGGTCAGGAGTTCTGTGTGGCCAACCTACAACAGGTTCAGATCTGCGACCCAGCCAGTGCCAGAGCCCCAAGTGCCAGCTCTCAGCTCCTGCACCCGAATCTAGTGGCAACAGCCCCTGAGCTGGGCTGGAGTCCGGAGGACCCTTCATCAGCAGCCTCACATTGGGATGTTGGGCGCTGAGCCCTGGTCCCACAGCTGGGTTAGGGGCATGCAGTGTGCCAGTTCCCACAGCACTCCATGCTCACAAACATCTGACAAGAAATGCCAAGGGAAATGTCAGCATCGCTAGGCAAATCCTTACAGCTAGCACTGCAATCAACACGATATAAAGGCTTGGGGATTGGCCAGCATCGCTCTTTGCAAATCGCAATCTTTCCTTAGACGTGGGGGACACTGAGAGGTAAGAGCTGGCGTACTCTTACCGCTGTAAGCATTGCACGGGGCAGTGGGATGCAGGCGCTTGGTGGTGCCGGGCTGCAACTCCCCAGACCGGGAACTGGGTCAACACTGCTCCCGGAAATCCAGCGGGGATCCACCCACTGGTTACAGAGGAAAGTTCAGTGAATCATCTGTGCATGGTAGGAAAACGCACCAATCGTTGGGGGTTTTCAGACCTTTCCAGGCAAACAGAAGAAGCAGGAGCCGGGCGTGGAGGGACTGAATCCTACTCAGCATCCTGTGGGGTACCCAGCTTGTCCCAACCACCCTACAGGGCAGCCCTGTGCTGCGTGCTGGCAGGATGGAGGTGACAAGCAGTTCTCTGCTGCAGCTGCCCACACGCATGGCACGGAGCCCTGGGGATGCCATATGGTGCTTCACCGAGCCTCCAGGACGCAGAGCTGGGAGGGCGCCCTGAGGCAATGGGCACGGAGTGGTGGCTCATCGGGGCACGGGAACACGCCGGCAGCGGGCACTAGGGGGCTGCACGCTCCTGCTGTTGCTGTCGGAGGAACTCAGAGAGCGGCCGTTCTGCTATGGGCTCGATGACCCGATGGAGAGAGCAGCATAACATCGGAAAACCATCCACTGCGTACCTGAGGTGGTGGCTTTTTTTCCTAAATATGAGTTCCTCTTACAGTTATCAGGAGGAAATTAAAACGCCCTCTGGTACAGCATCTGCTTTCTGTTGGAAATGCAGGATATGGTATGGTAGTTAAATCTCCTGTTGGTGTGTTGGGTTTTTGTGTTTTTTTTCTTACTTGCAATGCAAGGGTTTGGTGCAATCCCTGCTAGGGGAAACGTTGTTGCTGCAGATCCCAGCCCCCTCCAGCAGCTGTTTGTGTGCAGGGTGCACACCAGTGCAGTCCTGTAGCAAAGCAGCAGGTTGGGGAACTCTACTGAAATGTGTAAGCTTTCCTCTTGCCTATGGAGGTGCAGTGCAGAACCCAGCATGGGATGGGATGGAAGGTGTCCTGTGCTGGATGCAGCTGCAGCAGTGGTCCTTGGACATCAAAACTGCCACCTAAGCCTCAGCTGTGGGATCTGCACTGCAGCAGTTGCCCTTAACTCAAGGCTTGATGTGCGGATCAGAACAGGCTGTTTGTGTACAGGCAGCAGTCTTTCTTTGGTAGCTTATCTGCAGCTGTGGGAGGCTGAGGGTATCTGCCCAAACTCACTCTGAGATTGAGAAGGTCAGGTTTGGCTGGAAGCAGGAGGCTGTGGTAGAGAGAGGCTGCTCTGAGATGAAAACGTGCAACAGAGCATGAAGAGACCCCCACTGGTGCTGCAGCCAAAACTGAGAAACACGCTAAAACTTCAGTACTGCCCTTCTTGGAACCTGAACATGGTCACATTAATACAGTGCGACTGAATTAACATAGCTGTACTCAGTTGCCCAGCAAAAGAGCATCACACTTGCTGTTAACACAGGCCATGGTTGCCAGTGCTGAGCATACAGCATCAGCCCCATGGTGTTGCATATCCACTGCTAACTTCGGATAAAGGTGTTAAGGATGGACTTTCTTGAACGCATGAGGAGCTAATGTGTAGTGACAATGCTTTGTAATGCCTGAAAATCCTCAGTATGAAGAACATCAATGACTGCTGTAGAAATGCCTGACTTTTCTTAGGTGGGAATTGTTCCAGTGGGAATTGTTCCAGCCAACCCTGCATATTGCCCAATTTTGTGTATTTCTAGCAGCAATTTGGCTGTAGATCCAAGAAAAGCCTATGACTCATTTCAGCCCTGTGGTATGGGCCAGCAGTACGGGAAAGCTTGCTTGAGTGCTAGACTGGGAGGGTGCAGAAAAGCATGCGAGGCGGGAAGTGAGCTACGCTTGCTGCCCTGTGCCTGCAGGAAATGAACGCAACAATTTAACTTGAACTCTCAGGAAGGGTGAAGTTTACTTTAAAGAAAACTTATTTCACTCCTATTTTCACAAGCTTCATACGCTCATCCTCCCACACTCATGGATGCCAAGGCAAGGCCAGAGCTACCTGACCAGCAATGCTCGTGTGATGCAGTGGATGAGATGCTGCTGATCCTGTGAACAGCCCAAGCCCAGCTTTTGAACCAGTTTTGGGGCAGGCCTCTTACCAGCCCTTGCTTAATTGTTTTGGTTCTCTTACAACAACTTTAGCTTTTCTGCTATGAATCTCTGCGTCGCTCTATGAGTGCCTGGAATAGGCAGGTGGATGTTCTGCATTTTGTGGGCGTGAGATGACTCCCAGAGCTCCAGTGGGTGGGAGCAGTCATTCCACAGCCTGTTCCACAAATGTTGCTGCCGCCCTGGTTTTAGACACAAAACATAGCTCCAGATGGACACACAGGCAAGCTGTAAGAGACCTGCAAACTGTTGGCTTTCCCAGCCTGCTAAGTCCCTAAATGAATCATCCTACTGGAGTAATCATGTTCCTTCTGAAAGTCAGCTGGGATTTCATGTTTATTCCTGATAGCAGCAGAGTTGAAGGGGGAAGTAATAACTAAAAGAAGAGAAGGAAAATCTAAACATTCCCTGCTCCTGTCTATTCCTTGCCATATACACATGCAAATCTGTCACCTGTTTTCTTTTACCTGCTGTTTCATCCTCGTATATGCCACATACAAGGAGATGGAGCTGGTCTTTGCTTCTCGTCCCTCTGCTACTGCTGTATAGGTATAGCAAAATAATCCTAGGCAAGCTCGAAGGAAAAGAAGTCTCATTCTGCAGCTGCTCAGGTGGGATACGGAGAAGCAGGGCTGAGAAGCAGGCAGGTGCAGGCACCAAACTGCACTGAGCACGCAGGGTGGTAAAAGATGGGTGTGAACACAGCTGTGGGACAGCCAGCCTGCAGCGCTGGTAGCTAAGAGCCAGGCATAGCTTAAAAGCACGATTAGCTCACGTGTAATCAAAAAGACTGATGAGAAGAAATGCGATAGCAGTGAAAGGAGCGGTACACCCAAATAAGCATGGAGCAATTCTGAATTCGGCTCTGTTTTCCAGCTTCTCAGTGTTTGGTTTGCTTGGTGCAAACAGATGACATGAAGGGAAAGTAAGGCTCCACCTTTCCTGAGTGCAATTAGTAGCTGCAGGGGTAAGAGTTATTCTAATTAAGAGAAGTTTAAAGTCGTTCATATTCTGACAGCTGTACTTGCGCGCCCAGCGAGTGCTGCTGCGCATGTACCACCAACCAAGGCCTTCTGAAGGGCGCACACAAGCTGTATCCGCACCCAGAGCGCCAAGCTGAGGGCACCGCCCCGCGTTCCCGCCAAGGACTGGGCCCGCCCCCTCCAGGCAAGCACCAATCAGAGCGCCGGACAGCGGGGAGGAGCGGTGACCGCTCTCCCCTTCTTTCGGCGCGGAAGGCTGGTCCCACCTCCCGCTCTCGCCGCAGCCAATCGTATCTACGCTTTGTCTCCCTGTCCCGCCCGCGAAGGTGAAGAACCAATGCGAGGCGCGAGTCCTTCAGGCGCTCGGCCAATCGGCGAGCTAGCCTAACACCGCCGCCGCCTCACGCCTGCGGCTCCCGGGTGAGGGTCTCGGGCGCGACCGTGCTATGGTGCCGGGGTAGGGCGGTGATCCCACATCTCCACCCCTCCTCGCAGGATCGTTCGGCCGCCGCGCGCCATGACCCGTCCGCTCGGCGTGGGCTCGTCATCACCGAGTCCGGCCTCTACCCGCTCCGGGCGCCATTTTAGGCCGACAGCGGGCAGGGGGTCGGCCCAGGACTGCAGGTACGGGTGAGGGGCGGCGGTCCCGCACGGAGGGAGAGATGGGGGCAGCGGGGCCGGTTCTGTGCGGAGCCGGGAGTTGGTCTCGACGTCCGGAACGCTGCGTGCCGGCCGGGAGCGCTCAGCGCGGGGAGGGCGTGGAGCTGTTGGGGCGGGTCCGGAGGAGGGTACGGGGATGCGCGGAGAGCTGGAGCCCTGTGGAGGCTGGGCGAGGGAGATGGGCTCGGAGGAAACGGCTGCGGAGCACCTCGGCGCGGCCCTGCAGTGCTTGAGGGGAGCTGGCGGGCGGGAGGGAAGCGGCGTCGTGTGCGGGGTGACGGTGGCGGGGCAAGGGGGAGCGGCCCTGAGCTGACGGGGAGATGTGGGTTGGATGTCAGCAGGAAATCCATCGTCAGAGGGCTGTGAGGCACCTGCACCGCTGCCCGGAGCTATGGGTGCCCGTTGCTGGAGGTGCTGGTACTGGGTTGGATGGCGCTGGGCTGGTGGGGCATGCAGCCTATATTGGAGTGGAGCTGGGTGACCATTAAGATCCCCTCCTACGCGTTCTGTGATCCTTGTGTGGCCCTTCCAGCTTGGGACTACACGTGGTTCTGTGATTTTTCTCTGCTGTGTGTGTGACTGCTGGCTCTGGTTGCACAGAAAGGTTGGGCCCAGGTTAGCCCCAGCACTCCCTTCCACCTCAGCTGCCTTGTGGTGGGCAAGCAGCCTGGCAGTGACAAAAGGAGTTGATGCTGGGTGGTGTTTTCAGGTCATCGTTCAAAATCTGTGAGTCCTGTAGCTGCCTGCACGCCCGTCGTGTCTCTCACTGCTTGCTGTCAAGCCTGTCTGCAGGCTTCAGCAGTTGTACTGTAAAGAGAAGCCTTAGGTTGCCGCTGGTAGTGCCCCCCATTGTAAAATGTGCTCTCATAGAAGTTTTGTTAATAGCACAGTTAGTCTTCAGATCTGATGAATCTGCCCGTGTTCTGAAAGTCTTAATTCTGCTAAAGACTTGATAAGGCTTTTCAGAGGCTGCCAGATCAAGGAGGTTTTGCTTCTAGCTGTATGAGGCAAGTGGCAATTGTCTTACACTGTTAGCAGAGCCTTATTTTGTTTGTTGACACAGATCCTCTGTTTTGGTAACCCTGAAGGCTGGAAGAGAGGGTGGAGCTAGAAGGTCAGTTCCTCTTCTGTTGTTGCCTGCTGGTGAAAGTGAAAGTACTCACATGGTTCAGTTTGGCTGCTCATGAATATTTAAAAACAACTTTGATCTAAGAAAAAAAAATACATTCTGCTGTGTGACAGTCCTCTAAAAGAACATTGTGAGGTTTTATGCATGACTGTATAGCTTTTTTTTATCATTAAGATGGTACTTTTCAAGGTTTTTCAAGATAAGGTTGCTAGGTAAAAAAGCAGTAGATAGTGATTAATGTTGATTCATCAGTTGTTCCTCTTCTTAGGGCTGGTTTTTGTCCTTCTATTAAAGCAGTAATGGAAAGCTGCTTGTTACAGCCCTGTGCTCTTGGGAAGTTGTGTATTTTCATAAGCACGAAGATCAGAATGGAAAGCGTGATGGTTTTTCATCTTTTTTCTTCTGCTGTACCATGAGCTTGCTTGCTTTCTTCTCGCAACTCATTTATTTGCTTGAAGTTTCTGGTACGTTTCTGTGCCCAAGAGACATCACATCACAATGCAGTCAAGTCCAATTTCTATCCCAAGCAAAACAAACAAACGAAAAACCAACCAACAAACAATCCACTTTTTATTGATAGCACCTCTGGTCTCTCAGCTGTGGATTTACAAGGCTCTGCGTGATTATGGTGCAAATACGGTGCTTGTTACAAAGTACTTGCATTCAACTGAAGGGCAGCAAAAGGATTCCACTGAGGTAGGGATGTGGTTGGGGAGAGGATGAGCAGAGCAAAGGTCTTTGGCTTTGGTTTATCTTCAAGTGCAGAGAAGGAATCTGTGCAGTAACTAGAGATGAGATTCGGTCTGCCCAAGTGGTTTGTATTGCACATACCAAGGATATAAGGATATAAGCCTGGTTAGGAGCCAGGACCGTTCTGGGAAGCTGGGCAGTGCTGAAGCTGTGAGCACTGCGAGGCCTCTGAGCTGCAGGAGTGGCCCCAGGCAAGTGCTGAGTGCTCCCTGCTTGGAAGCAAAGCCGCAGCCACAAGCAAATGGGAATTTCAGCCTTTTGATTCTTCTGTTGAGTTGAAATTGCCCGTGAGGGGGTGTCCATGTCTAACAGCGACCAGATTGTCTGAGTGAGGTATGGTCTGAATACTGAAATACTGCTCTGCACTCAAGAACTGTGAGCTAGTGCTCGCTGATCTGTGTGCGTGTAAAAATAGATGGCTGCAGGTGGCTGTCCCTGTTGGGAGCCAGGAGATGCCTGCAGCTCCTGCTGGAAGCCGTGCTGCTGATGAGACTGTTCCCACTGAGGAGCTGCCACAGCACGATGAGCGCAGCTGGGCTGCAGCCAGGACGGGCCCTGTTCTCTACACCTTCCTGCTTGCTGGCTCTGGCCTCTCCTCAAACACACTGCATTAATCTGACGGCAAAACTCATTTGGTGGGATAGTGAGTTGAATTAGCAGCTGATTTGTTCTTGGGATAAGCAGTCTGTGTGATTCTGACCTTAAAGCACAGCATTTTCAGCCAGAGCTGCCAGCAGCAATGGAGAGGTTGTTAATGCCATGGCACCGGGTGCTGGTGAGGTCTCTTTGGCTTTAAGCTGGGAGGGTGGTTAAGGCTCACAGGGTTGATAACAGAAGTGGTGTTTGAGAGGAAGCTGACAGGACGGCTTCGTTAGTGAGGAGTAAAGGTTTGCTTGTTCTGATCTGTCCAAAAGCTGAACTCCAGGTTGAAATAAGAGCTGCTGGCATTAACAGCAAAACAAAAAAACCCACAAAACCCCTCTAAAAATAAATGTCAGCTTTTTGCTTTATTGGCTATGTGGGCATGTAGGTATTGTTCTTTCAGACGATAATATTTATCTTTTCTCTTCAGAAACCAGTCTATTACAGAGTTCTTCAAACCAGTTTTAAAACAAGGTAAATATAAATGTCTTCCACTAACAAAATAAAAAATATAGAGTTTTAATTATCTAGATCTGCATAAATCCTGACTCTTTCCAATCTGGAGCAGTGGCACAATGACTTCAATTTGCCAAATATGTCTAAATGAGCACATTTATACTTTTTTTCTTCCTTAAAAACATAACTGAATAAATAACTTCCTGCTAAAATGAGCACGTTTAAGTAGCAATGTAATTAGTAAAGTCCTTTTATCACGCTTAGGCTGGGTGGTTATAACAACAACAGCCATGTGAAAAATCATGCAGTTGTGATTTGATACGGGAAACAGGTTGTGTAGTACTAACAAATGCTAAGTGATTGAGTAAATTCACTTTAGGCTGTGTGGGAGAGAGGTGAAATACCAAGCAATGGTGAAGACTCTTTCCCCCTCCCCCCAGTATTGTGGTTGTGAATGATAAATCTTCTCTTTTGCTCTTTCAGACCTTGGCCATAGAGACAGAAGTGTGCTGTGCTCCTCAGACACAGGAAACGTAAAAGATGCAGGAATTGAACTGTCTGTTCTACATGCTGGATGCTTTGAGAAGCAAACGACTCCTGCAAAGAAAGTTAGAAGGAAAAAGATGCCAGACCCAACACCAAAAACAAGTCCTATATTAGATGCCTTCTGGAAAGGAATTGAGAAAAAAGGCACTGTAAACTTATTGGAGGACAACGCAGTATGCAAGGCACCGGGTTCAGCATGGCCAAGGGTTGTGATTCGGAAACTCTTTGTTACTGCAGCATCTCCCAGGAATATGTTGGCTGAAAAAGATAAAGGTGTCAAGCCTGAGCAGGGAAGAAGTGAGAAGTATCTGGATGTAACAAGAACACTGCAGTCTTGTGAAAACAGCTGGGAGCAGAAAACTGACTGTATGGATACAGAAGAGACCAGCTCAGACTCGGATGGATGGGTTTTAGCAGAAGCTGATTCTTGGAAGGCTGGCGCCAGAAATAACAGCAATGCAAACAGCACATCTCTGTGCCACAGCTCAGGGCTCCTCTTGAAGTTGCCGTGCACTCCACCTGACTCCAAGTTTAGGTTAGCACTGGGAACTCTGCACAGAGGAGGAAAGCAGAAGACGCGCAGAACGAAGCAATCTAAGGCACATCACTTAAAGCCATTTTCAAGAACAAGTGTATCACATCAGGTGTGTTTAGAAAGGTGGTTAGGATTGAAACTGGAGACTGCTGTGCATGCGGCTGAAATTCTGAGTGCTGCCTTTTGCATGTGCAACAAAGCTTTTTCTTCCTCTGTAAACGTTGCGTTGTGCCATTAGTAAGCTGGTTCATAATTGTTTCTCAGTAAATGAGAAATTCTGGCTTGAGAATAAAAAGGCTGATGTAGCTGCAAGCATGCAAATGCAGTGTGATTGATATGGTCGTTATTTCGTAGAGCAGATGTCCTTCTGGGAGTGGTGTTGTGTTTTCTTGTGTTGTAACATAGGGAACAGCCTGGCAGATTTCTGCTCTTTAGAAGCTGTGGTGAATATCAATTCAGATTTATGAACTTAAGCCACAGGGGTTGGATAGAGCTGGGAGTAACCGTATCAAGTATGTGGTATTTCAATACAAATTGAGTTATATTCTTGTTTTGGACAAGCAAGAAAGTCCTTTAAAGAGTAGGTGTTTACTTAGGAAATCACTGTGCCTCCACAAGGTATGAATGAACACAAAGAAGATTAAGCTTGTCTTTTTTCTCCTTAGCACCATTCATTCTGCATCTGATTGTCTGTGCTTACTGCAGTTTTGTAGTTGAAGTTCCTCGTGGATTGTTGAGGAAGGTCAGCTGGCCCAGAGAGACAGGTGGCTAATGGCCTTAATTATTACTGCAATACAGTGATTTAGAAACAGGTCAATCTGAAGAAAAGTTGGGGGGAAAAAAAAAAAAATAGGGTGTGGATGAAGAGTCCTTTTGATGAGACCATTGCTGCTGCATTTTAAGCTTGTCGTGAAGTACATTATTGTATTTCTGGGAGTGTGTGAGACTGAACGTATTCCGGAGCCGATGCTCAGCTCAGGACATCAACACTGTTTTTAAAACGTGTGCAATTAACATTTTATCCTCTCCCTCTTTATTTTTAGGGAAATGGATATTCAAGAAAAATATCACGTTCTGCTTCGAGGGAGGCTGCCTCAGGTAGATGCAGTGCTACTCTGATGGGATTAATTAAGCTGCCAGGTTCATCGCTTACTGTCTTTATGTTTTTCTATTGCATGCATGTAGTTAAAATAGATTCTCTAGCTTGTGATATGTATTATGGTAGTTGAGTGCAAGATAAATGAATGTGGAAGTTGTCTCAGAAAGAGGGTTGTTTTGGTAGTGGGATTCAGGTGATTGGGACAATTTGCATACAATTGTATGGATGTCAGTGATAGTGACAGCCATTAAAAATAGTTTGTAACTCATCAGAGGAAGCAGATTCAAGGTATGTTTATTGAAATGATAGGAGTTTCCTGTAAGGAATAAATCAAGTCCCTGCCAAAAATCACTGCTGCTGTGTAGTCCAAGCTATTTCTAATATATGGCAAGCTTGAAGAGGCTTAAAAGTAATTTGGGATTTTAGTGAAGAATGAATTGTTTATATGTTAGTGATTACCTTTTTGTGTTAAAGGCCATAAAACTATTCAGAGGTTCATTTGGAAAATCTGTACTCACTGTGGTGGTTAACAAATTTTGTCTTTTGACTTAAACAAACAAAAAGCAGCAGAACAAACCCACTGAACAGAACAGTAAGGTTTAGTTGGTATCCTTGCTGATTTTTGCTGCTTGTAGCCAAGTTATTTTGTTCTAGGGTAGGTAGAAGTAGGTTTGTAAAGCTCATGTGAATCAAGCTTGAGGTGGATTGATAAAACAAGTATAAGATCAGTGAAGTAACTTCACTGTATAAAAATAACGCTCTGAAGCAATGTTCCTGTGGTTTGATGTGCCAAATTCTACATTTTTCTACTATGTAATGCTAACTGAGAATGGCAACATTATTCTTAGAAAGGATCAGGTCTTGCTCTACTTGCATGGCCCACCTCGCTCGATTTAATAATTGCCAAGCAACCACGCCGTTGTTACTGGCCCAGTCCAGGATGATTGTTCTTAAAATAAGCTAAAAAATCCAGGGATTGCCATGGAGTGGTTCCTTGGCTGTGCAAACCTACTGGGCCCTGTGCTGCCATGAATCCCTTCCACCTATGCTAGCACTGGAGGTTGGCCAGTGCTGCAAGGATCTGGCTGGGAGCTGATGGCAGTTTGTAGAAGTGGTGTTCTGCTGTAGGAGCTGAGCTGCTTCTAAAATCAAAGTATTTCACTTCTAGGTTAGTTAAGATGAGTGGCCAGGTAAATCTGAAGCGTGGTCTTTTGTGTTCAAGGAGAATGGATGTGCTGTTGTTCCTGGTCAAAAAGCTTCAGTTGTAGTTGATGTAGAAATGCTTGTTGTAAGTCAGTTGTGGGGTTTGAGTTTTTCCTTTTTTTTAAGAGTAAACTGTTACAGTTTTGACAGCTTCTTGAACAGCAGTAGTGGTTTATTTCTTCTTGAATGTTTTTCCACAGGTGACCCATCCCAACCCAAGCAGGACTCAAAACATGATGTATCCTCTCCAAATTCATTGAGAATGTCCCCTGAGAAAGCTGCCAGTGTGTGGAAAAGCCAGTCTGCTCCATTAGTCGGCCGTAGAGCCCAGATGTCTTCTGGGAAGAGAAAACGCACTGTCATGAGTGTGTATGCAAACAGCTCGAATCAGTGCGAAGAAGCAAGTTCCAGTGACCCTGCTTTGAGAAGGTCCTCTGCAACTGGGAAAAATCAGAGGTCTGCTTTGGTTAAAAACATTGTGCTGAAGTCTCCGTGCGTGGATGCGCTGCAGCTCGTGGAGGCTGCTGCTCTGCCCAGACGGGATTCTCCTCACTCAGAGGAATGCCTTGACTCAAGCCATGAAAATGAGAAAAATAATTGCTCTTCTGGGGGCTTGGCATCATGTTCTGCACAGCGTCGTAATGAAAATAGCCGGGTTTCTGTTGTAGACACCAAAGAGAATCAATTGCAGGTGGCCAACTCACACTTCTACTTGGACGTGTCCCTGCCTTCTCAGGAGAAAAGTGCTCTCTTGCCTTCTCCACACCATGTAAAACAAACAAATACTGTACTCACAAAAGATGTGAAATCTCACCTCCAGAATGCTGTCTTCTCTCAGGTAATACCAAAAAGATGTACGCTCAATAGAGCTGATGGTATTTCACCCAGCAGCACTTCTTCAAGAACAGAAGAAAAGGCTTTAGAAGATGTTTCAGATTTTTGTCCAGTGGAAGGTTCTAAAAAGCTTACGGTCTTGGAAGAGAGTGATAAAAGGGTTCAGTGTTCATTGCCTTTTAAACAAGGATGTGAGGACAACGATTGTGTATCTTCAGAACTCTCAGAGTTAAAAGTTGGAAGCACCCGTACAGAGATGTGCCATATGAATGGCAAATCAAAAAGCAGTTTTGATAGTGAAGATGAGACTTTAGAGTGCATTCTAGATGATGATGATGACGATGAAACATTCATACCATTGCAAGAAATCCTGTCTTCAAGTGGCAGGCCTCAGACAGAAGCCCTGGAAGGAGACAGTTTTGATGATCTCCTCAAGGGCACCACGGCTCTGACAAATCATGTAAGTGGATTTAAAAAAAAAAAAGCATTGTCAGCTTTTTTAGTATCTTTTTAGTATCTTTTTTTTCAATGACTGTCTTCCTTTGTTCTTGATGTGTGTAAACTCAGTTATTTCCCTGCAAAGCTGGGGACTTGGCTTACTTGAGGGTCCTGTGCTGTGCAGCAGAATGCAGTCAGTGTAAGGGTGCTTCTTGCCCTTGAGAGGGTTCAAAAATCTGTGTCCAGTACTTGGTCTGCCTGGTGTTTTCCTTGAGGTTGAATTTTGTGGAAACTGAAATACTTTAGGATTTCAAAACATGGAATGAATTCTGCTCACGAGGGATGAATGACAGGGTATTATGGCAATGAATTGATTTGTCTTTTAAAAGTTACCCTATTCAGTGGCAGTGTGTCAAATAAATTGTAGCTTTGCAGCTCTACTGTAATGTTCATTAGCAAAGTCTTGCACCTGTGCTGGGTGTAGCGTTCCTACAAAGCTGATGTAGGTTTGAATGGCTGTACTCAAGTGTGTCTGGCAAGGCTGGTGTTAACTTTCTGCCCAGCAGCGGGTGTTTCAGTGTGATGTGCTTCGTGTTTGTGACCAGAACACTGTTGGTAAGCCGTTGGTTTTTCAGCTGTTGCTGAGCAGTACTGGCACAGTGTGAAGGCTTCTTTCTGTTCTCCGTGCTGTGGCCCTGAAGTGAGGAGGCCAGAAGGGGGAGAGAAGCCATAGTGGGGCACAGGCAGGGCAGCTGGCTGCAGCTGGCCCATGGATATCCTGGCACGTCGTCATGCACTGCCATGAAATGAAAGGTGCTGCAGAGCTTCTGGCAGGCAGCTCTTAAGGCTCTGCTTGGAGACAAGGTAGGTGGTGGCTTGCTTCTGGGAGCTGATGGTGAGGGAATGCCAGGTGCATCACTTGTTGGTTTGTTTTCCCTTCTCTTATTTAACTGTTATCTAACCCCAAGAACGTGCTCGCTTTTGCTCATCCTGCCCTGCTGCATGGTGAGGGAAGAGTGAGCAGGTTCTGTTGCCTAGCTGCTGACTGGGGGAAACCCACCACGGTTTTACACCACAGGAAAAAAACTTGTTGGCAGAATAGCTGTACTCTTGTCCTACTCATCTCCCATCTATAAATCTCTGGAATGGTTTCTTTCGCTGAGTTTCTTTTAAAATGTTTTTCCATAAGCAAGTGTTAGGCAGCCAGATTGCTTTATTTGTCCTTACGAGTAATGGAGCAAGCAAATTATAGAATGGACTTTGATGGTTACATACATATTCCACAATCTTAATCGACGTGGCTGTGTAATTAATGGTCAGGAATGATAAACAGATACAGCCCAGGTCAAGTGTTTGTGGATGTGACTGCATCGTTTGGTGTATCCTCCTTCTGTGTAACTGGTGACCAGCACAGACAAAACAACTGAGAACTGTCCCAGAATTTCCATGACCATGGTTTCAGCATGTACTGGCATTTTTGTCTTTTGTAAGAAGGAGCACATGTGCAAGTTGGAGTACACTCTTGATTTCTCATTGTTCACTTTGGTCATGTTAAATGGCTGTGAAGTAAGGAAAGTGGACTTCAACATTCCCATGTTTTCCCACTGATTTGTTTCTGTGTTAGGATTCTCACCTGAAGCTTTCCCTTATCTGATGACTTAGGAGGCGATGTAACAGAGAGATGTTTTGCACTTCAGGAAATGGTGAAAGTAACACAGATGCACTGAATCATTTTCAGTTGAGTTGTGCACAGGAGTGGGGGATTCCTGGAGCCTCTGTGGATTGCAATGAAGCTGTGCAGTAAAGGCTTCTGATGCAAATGTTGTTCACAAAGACTTAGCTGCAGGTTGGCTTTAGGGAGAGAAACAGAGGCTTGCTTTGCTCTTCAGATTCATTGTGAAGCACGATCATTTCTGAATTAATCACTGAGAGATTTGACTACAGAAAGTTGTCAAGGAACTGAGAAATCCAACTATTAATTGTTTGGCTTTTCAGGGTTTCTTTTGAAATTTTACCTTCAGGTCAAGTGTATTTAAAATTGGAAGAGGCTAATAGTGATTAGAGCAGAAATGCTGAGCGATGGCCTGAAGCAGTGATTGAGGTGGGAAGGCAGGGCCAGCCCAGGAGAGGTCAGGTGCAGGCAATGCAGAGTGACTGGATTGTGTGGAGCCAGGATCCATCCCTTCCCAGACCTCATTTAAGGGTTGGCAGTGGAGCTGGAGGCATCTCTTAGTGCAGATCCCTGCCTACCTGAGGCCTTCCAAAGATAAGCAGCTCTTTTCCTTCATTTCTGTATCGATGGCTGCTGCATTTGGGCTTATTCTCATTTGCTGCAGCTGAAGACTTTGCCACCCTGCTGTTATCACCCATAATAGCATTACGGCGACTGATAGAGTAGTTTGCAGTAGTTTTAAAATGTCTTACTATTTCCTTTGCAGCTTTCTAAGCCTCCTGTTGGTACCCAGGTGTCGTATGTGAACAGCTTAGAACATCTCTTGAAGGAGAAGGAGCAATCTAAAAGGTTTGCTGTTTTTAAAGCTACTTTCAAAAGTTTAATATGGAGTTGTAGAAGCTCAGACTTACCTTGTCTCCCCAAACATGATGGGATTTGAGTGACAGCAAGTTAAGCTTTGCCTCCTGGCACTACTGCCATAGGTCTGATAGGACCTACCAGCATGGCTTTACTTGAGAAGCTAAGTGACAGGCTCTCTGCAAGCAGTAGTGAGTGATATATGACATATCTGTCTCTCGCAAGAGCTGGATTAAATTTACTGCTGCCTTTGCTGTAGGTCACCTACCAGCTAATGGCTGCTGGTTGGGCATGAAATAAAAACTGTTTCTGTGGGCTGACTACACAAGTTTCTTCAAAGTCATCTGCAGCTCAGTTTTGTTTTCCAAAGTTGTGTAGACTGTCAGTTTGCACGCAGGTACGCAGTTCAGTGGGTAGAACTAATGAGCGCTCTTTCAGGGCAAAAATGTAACGTGGTGTGTGTGCTGATGGCAGTCACTGGTGGTAAGCAGGTGTATGTGCTAATAAATGCTTTTTCTTAAGTGGTGTGAGTCTAGTAAGTGATGCTTAATGGTGATATGTTTTGCTGTTACTGGTATTGCAGGCTGGGTGAACTGGAAAAGCGGTTGCGAGAAGACGTACAGAGAAAGGAAATTGATTCTTCAGATGGAGAAAATGAAAATGCTGTGGAGAATGGAGACCTCTCAGAAGAACACAGGTCCTTCCTATTCCAAAGCCAATTAAATCCAGTTCTTTTTTTTTCTTAGTCTTTTTCTCAAATCTGCCCCTTGTTCATCAGCTGTTGTTAATATGTCTATCATGAGCCATTTCTGTCGTCTTTGGGGGCTGAGTGGATTTTCTCAGATGTCACTGTGCATTAACCTAACTCAGCTTTCACATAAGGCTGATGTGTTCATCATCTGAAAATGACTGTCTCAGACAGCAAATAGCCTCTTGTTCAAATTCATAAAAGCAATTTTGGATTTTACAGGGCATTTATAAAGAGATTTTCAGTAGTAGCTCATGCTATACCTGACTACCATCCTGGAGAAGATGTATTTGATTTATCAATCTCTGGGAAAATCTTCAATCAACATGACCTTGACTTGAGGAATTTCCATTTCATCCCTCAAAATCCTATGGAAAAACTTCTTCTTAGGTAAGAATAACCTCTTTGTTCTGTTGTGTTTAGTTGTAGGATTTTCACAAGTGTTAGCAGTTCTTAAGTTAAAACAGCATCTTGGCATGCAAATGAACTGTAGGCAAGATTGACTCGTTTCCTGAAATTGTCCTTTCTAGCTTAGTTATATGGAACAGTGAATAGCTGCTTGACCCTTCCTTCTTTCCTCTTCAGTGATTCTTACGAAAACATCTTAAATGAGGTGTGAGGAAGTGCTCTGGCCTCTTCAGTGCTTATACTGAAGGCAGCAAGGCTTGTGAAGGGCTTGGAGAATATGCCCTGTGAGGAGAGACTGAAGGAACTGGGGCTGTTCAGTCTGGGGAAAATGAGGTTAGGGGAGACCTTATTGCTCTCTTCCAATATCTGAAAGGTGCTTACAGCAAGAGTGGGGCTGGTCTCTTCTCACTGGTGACAGGACGAGGGGAAATGGCCTGAAGTTGTATCAGGGGAGGTTTAGGTTGGATATCAGGAAACACTTCTTTACAGACAGGGTTGTTAAGCACTGGAATGGGCTCCCCAGGGACTTGGTTGAGTCACCATCCTTGGATGTGTTTAAAAACTGTTTGGATGTGGTGCTCAGGGCCATGATTTAGTGGAGGGTAGTTAGTTAGGGTAGTATGCTCAGTCATGGTTGGACTTGATGATCTTTAAGGTCTTCTCCAATCTGAGTGATTCTGCGATTCTACTGTGCTGGGTACAAAAGCTTAACTGTCCCAAGGCAGAAAGAGAACCTCAGTGATGAAGTTGCGTTATGCAACGTTGCATTATGTCTGCTTAAGAATGTCCTGTGCTGAATGGGCCTGGGACCTCAGATTCCTCATAGTTAAGATTGCAGGAAGTCAGTTTATGGCATTCAGTTAAATTCAGTCACTGAGCTCAAAGTGCAAATAATGCGCATGTACAGCAGTTAGCACGCTGCTAAGAGGTGTGTTCTTGAGGCTGTCAGGCTGCAGGTAGATGGACAAATTCTTCTGTAATACCTCAAGTGCAAATCCTGAAGAATTCCATTGATTTCAGTTGGTGATTTACTGCCAGCTGGCTCTGTCAGACTGAGAGCATTGATAACGTGCTAGAGGATTTGGTGTGTGTGTGTGTGTGCTGTTGTGGGTGTGAGGAGGAGAGAGGTTTCTGTTTGCCTCCTGAGGATGTTGTGTTTGTGATGCCTTCTTCTGGATTGGGGCCTATCTGTTAATATGATTTAAAGATCACAGGGTTATAAGCTTCAAGAAGTATCTTGTAAATCAGTAACTGGAGGAATGAGAAGTAAATGAATCATCCGTTGCAGTGATGATTGAATTGCTTAGGTGTTTTGAAGCCACCCAGCTGTTACATACTGGCTCTCCAATTGACAAATGGAGGTCTTCCTAGCCACCTCATCAGTCAGATAGGTGCATGGTTTATGGAGAAGTCAGGACTTGGGTTTCTCAGGAGACCTCCCAGTCCCAGTAGTTACTGAGAACAGGGGAGACTAAAGAGGTGTACGTGGGAAATTGGCTGTTGTTAATTGGGTATCATTAGTTCAGCTGCTTAGGGCATACTTTACTTTCTAAGGAAGTTTAAAATAGTTTACTACAAAATCTTACCGATTTTCTGTTCTCCCAACAGTTATTTGTGCACTTCAGCAAAACAAGGCAAAGACGAGACCATTTGATTTTAGTAGCTTAATTTTTACCTCCAGATTACTGAAAATGAAGATTCTTTTTTTAAAAAAAAAAAAAAAACAGTTGAGGTTGTTTCAACTTCAAACATTCTTTTCTTTACCTGTAAAAGAATGTGCAAGTTTCATTGAACAGTGAAGGGAAAAAAGGTAATCTTGCTGACCTGATGGAATCCAGCAGCCTGTCTGTGTAGACAGGCATAACAGTTCACAGTACAGTGATATAAATCAGTGTTTGTTTGCTAATATTGTTCTCCAATAATAAAAATGTTTCCAAATCTTGTGGTATGGCATTTTGGAGATAATGATAGCTGTTCTCCACTTAGCACTTAAAAATTTTGTCAAGAATAAAGTTCAGTTGCTACAGCATCTCACAGCAGGTAAGAGCATATGAAGGGTCAACTATGAAGATAAGATGAACTTATCTGCATCTGCTGTTGGTGATCTGAGGGGTGGGGAAGTTCTCAGTGCTTTTGTGAGATTGCTGCTGCAGTCACTAATGGATTGTTCTCTTCTCCACTTTGTCTTGCAGTTCTGATGTAACACAGCAGCTTTTTTTGGCTGTTCATGGTTTTCTGAGTTCTTACAGTTGCAGTGTGTGTCCCATTCCAATTCTGAAGTGGCTTTTTCAGGTAAGGCCATACAACCTCTCACTGAGAATTTCTGAAAACCTTACTGAAAAATGGATTGGGCATTTAGCTATTTATGAGAATCTTGCTTTTAAATTGTGAGAAGAAATTGTGTCTGGATAGACTGTTCTTCCTGAAGGCTGGTCACAGTACAGATAACTGGTACCAGTGAATCTGTTGCATTAGGTTAGCAATTCTTTAATCCAAAACAACTTTTTTTATGGGTTCTGATATATATATTTTTTCCCCTGCAGTCTGAAATATTTTGTCACTAGAAATGAAACACTGGCAATGGCTTTTTTTTTTTTCTTTCCGTTTCCTGAGTGACTGCAAAACCTCCTAACCTTGCCTGTCTTTGTACACGGTATTTCGTGTGAAAGTGGCACAACCCATGCTGGGTGAGGAGGTATTTCAGGATGTCAAGTGTGGGGCAAATCAGAAGCAAACATTAATTTGTTTCCTTCCACCCTCAAAAAAAAAAGTGCACTCTGCAATTTGTACAGACATCACCTTGCAAATCTAAGTACTGCATTTTGTATTTGTGAAACGTTGGCTCAAAAAGTCTAGAGACACTCGAAGGAAGTGTGGCAGTTTTCTTTTTAGACGTCTGTGTTGGGAATTTGCATCATTCTGTTACTCTCAAAAATGCCCCTGTCCTATCTTCATTCTATTACTATTTGCCAACCATTCCTAAAATGAAAAATAAAACTGGACTGCCTGTAGGATTGCAGCCAGTCAGTTGACTAACTTTCTGCTTCTAGCAAAAGGGGAACATTTTTGTCCTCTTACCTCATTTTCCCCAGCTGGGGAAAGATTGCCTTGCACTGCTTATATGAGCTCTGACATCCTTTAGACAAGGTGGGAGTGTGAGGCAGCTCAGTTTGCTCAGCCAGCACAAAATTGTCTAACACATGGGGGGCAAAATGAGGTGAAAGACACCAGGAAGCATGATGTGTATTTCTCCGTTGTATCTTTGTAGTCAGGCATTTGTTGTTTTGGCTGAGTATTGAAGATGCTCAATTTACCCGTGATTGGTAAAGGATGCAGTCAATTCTCAGTTGCCCTCGCTTCTGTTTAAAGAGTTCAATTTGATCCCAGGTAGAAATGGGTTCCAAAAGGATATGTGATACCTCCATTCTCTTACTCCTCAATACCTTCTTATGACTAGATGGATTCAACTTGGGGTTGTAGCATTCTGGTACTGCAAACAACTGCTTCTAATGTATTCGCAGAACATGTGTGCTGCTTGAAATGATCCATAATTATTCTGTTTTCGTTGCTGAAGAGGGCTTGGTATTTATTTGCTGTTTTGTTGTTTTTATTTTACTAAAGAAAACTGAGGTCGTGCAGCTCAGTATTTGACATACAGCTCTCTTTTTCTCCTGCACAGATGATGTCTGTTCATCCTAGCTATTGTGTTTCCACCCAGATTTTAGACAAGTTGATAGAAATAACACTAAACAATGGTGAGTATTTGAGAGATGGAGAACTTACCACTGAACAAAATCATCTCTCTTCTGCTAAACAGAGGGGGAGGAAAAAAGCACTGGTTCTGTTCTGTGTTTCTGACATAAGCAACAGAAGTTTCTGGCTCATGTCTTGAATTGGTCCTCAGTAAGGGTGTGCAAGCTTTACCACAAGATGTCGTCCTGGTGTATATTTGCCTAGCTGTGCATGTGGTACAGAACCTTTTGCACTTGTTCTATCTTTCACAAATGGGATTGACCTGAGGAGGAGTCCAGTTTGATCAAAAGTCCTTTCTGTCTTCTACATTAAAAGCTTTTTGTAGTTTGGGGGACTACAAGATGGTTTTCACCTAGTGGCACCCAACACTGCATAGTTCACTTTCCAAATTAATGATGAAAGAAGCTGTATGCATGCACAACTGTATACATGCACAGAAACACCTTGAAGGGTTGCTTGTTTGTGTGTTCTGCCTTCCTTCATCTGTACTCTAAAAACTTCTTGAGTTGCTACTCAAGATCCTTTGTATGTTCCCCATGTCTTCATTTAGATCCATCACAGTCACTGTGACGGTTTGCCAGTTAACATCATTATAGTAATCAAGTTCACTTTTGAAGCACTTGGTCAGATCTATTGAAATTTTTCTATGTGTTCTGAATGTCACTGGAAACAGGACTTGTTTGGTATGAGAGGGATTGTAGCCTCTTTTATTGCTTTGTTGGTGCTCAGGTTGTTTTGGAAGGAGTCACTGAAACTGATCAGTGAGTGCTCAGAGAACTCAGAGGGGTCTCAGCACATCTCTGTATCTCTCTTGAAACAGGACGAAGTCACCTGCAGTTATTCCTGAGAAGTTTGTTAAACTACAGTGTTGCCTCCTGTAGAGTCTCCAGGATGTTCTGAGGCATTCTGTTCTGTTGCTAAACTAAAGATGCATTTTTTTTTTTAACTGAGTAGAACACTGAGATCTGAAACTACAATGTCTCAAGTTTTATTTGTTTATATTTGTGGATGTTTTTCTTGAAGTAATAGCTGGATGTCACACTGAGTGATGTGGTCAGAGCCATCATGGGTGTTTGATGCTTGAACTTCATGATGTTCCTGGTCTTTCGAGACTTAATGATTCTACAGAGGTGTAGAATTTAGTGTAAAATACTGCATTAGACTACTGTAGCCCTGCTGTGGTTCTGCAAGTAGCAGCAATTCTTCTGAGATCAGAGCTACTAAAATGATTAAACTTCTGGGAAGGAGTTAATGCAAATAACTCAAACTAATATGTCCCATATCTCTTACTTGTAGCCTCCATCAGTGATGAGCAGTCTAAACCGTGGATCCCTTCTCTAGCTGATGTCACAACTGTTTTTGTCAATATGGGTATTATGTTCAGGTCTCTCTTTCCATTGCAACATCTTCAGCCCAACTTTAATGAGCGGGATATTTTGTAAGTGTTTTCATTTTGATATCTATTGCTTAGGTCCTTCATGACCCTTTGGTGTCTTCTGCTTGGAGTCAGTGTCGTTTGTTGCCCTACGGCTTCCTAAGGGGGGTTTGCAAGAGTTGTAGCCTACCTGTAAATAATGAGTTACAAGTTTAAGGTGTGTGTGCTCTGTAGCTGGGGACGGTTGTCATTTGAAGGTGCTTAAAACATGAGGGGTTTTTTCCTTCAATTTGATGCGGATAAGGCTTTGTGGTCATTTGAATTGCTGATTGCTCCAATTAGTGTCTCTTTTATTAGAAGTCAGAGGCAAGGAACAGTGAGCAAAGAGCAGCCGGGAGGATTTGCCGACTCTGCCAGTCCTGCCTTCTTCTGTTTACCAGAAAGCAATCTAATGAATGTCATCAAGGTGAGAAAACCCCACTTAATGCACACAGGGTTTTTTATTTGCAAGCAAAAACCCTGGTACTTTAATTTAGCTTTGAGCATGGTCCTTGGAGTAGATAAAACCCTAGCATAGCATCTAGCTTCATGTTCAGCAGGTGATCCTTCAGGAGCTGCTTGGGGGGGAATAGAATGCAGGCAATTACTAGGAGATAAGCTATGGATACATAAGTGTTACAGTGACAAGTTGTTGCTTGAAGGAAATTTTAACGTGATGGTGCAAAACTTAAGTTCTCATTACCCTTTAATAGAACCTAATTTCAGATTTTAATGTTATTTTTGTTTTTAAGTTTTTAGACTTCTGCACAACAGTAATTCAAGATGGATATACAGATCAAGAAATATTGCTGCTGCTTCTGTTGCTTTTTAAAATAAGCTTGGACAAACAGCTAAAGCAAGTCTCTTTAATAGATTTCCAGTGCCTTCTCACAAAGCTTCTAATAAGTATTAAAGACTGGGATACAAAGGTAACTTTGGAGTTCATTTTCTGGTATTAAGTTTATGGAAGTGCAATTTAATTTTTAAGAAGCTTGTTTCAATTTTTTTTTTTTTGTTCCTTGGCATAGTAGAAAAGAACTGCTTGACAATGTAACATGAACAAACTGAGGGCTTTTTAGCTCTGTGGGATTTGGGAGGTGATTGGTCGTACTAGGAGAGTGTTTGCCCAGTAACACTCTGCCTGTCTCTTCTGCATGGGGCTGTTGTACTGAGCTGGCAGTGATTTGGGTGGATACTGGTTAAAGACAGCTGTTTGACAGAATGAAGCCAATGATTGCAGGGAGCAAAAGCAACCTGATCACAGCCTACTGCAAAATGCTCTTCAGCAGGGAGTGGGAGTCAGTGGGAGTCTCTTCATGGGCATCATCTCTTGCTAGCCCCATTTCTGTTAACATCTATGCTGTGTATTTTGCTTGGGAGCAGATGTGTATTTCTTAGCAAATAAAACAAACACCTGCTGTATGCACAACTCGGTAATCTGGGGATTTCTTGAATTGTTTTTGTTCTTTTGCAGATGCCTGAGCTCTGCCTGGGGGTGAGCGAACTCTCCAGTCAGCACCATAATCTGCTGTGGCTGGTTCAGCTGGTGCCCAGCTGGATAACACGTGGACGGTAATGGCACTACAACAGCTGATTTCTTTGTGTAAACCCAAAGCCTGAGAAATGCAGTAGCTGTTACAGAAGTGGTGGTTCGGGTTGTTTTTCTTAATACTTCAAAACAAGCAAAAAGCCAAAACACCAAACAAGCAAAAGCAACACTGAACCAAGTATTTGGGTTTTCTTGTGTATTTTGGTTGTTCTATGTGCAGTTTTTGTTTGAATATCGTTTCTTTATCACCTCTTCTGTGAAAAAGGGTTGTTTTCCATTTCATGGACTGCAGACTTCCTGGTGCTTTATGGTAGAAAAACGATTGACAGCTTCAGATTCAAACATCTATCACCGTTTTTGTCTGAGTGACCAAAAGTTAAATGTTCTTTGGGTGATGTATCTGATTTTTTTGTGTCAGTCTGTTATGAGTTCTGTGTGCTGAAATAAATATTGTAGTGTAGCTGAGAGATGACAGTGACTTTGCCCCTTGCTTTCGGAGGCAAGTATGTAGCACTATTATGCATAAAAAGCTGCATTAAGGCAAGAATGTTTATGTCTTAATGGCCTCCTTTCTAGGTTAGTAACATTCTGTAATGTAGCTTTGCTAGGCTTTGTAGCAGCAGTGAATGTGAGATGTTACCTGGGAAATGAGTTTTAAAAAATCCCGTGCTTGTTTTTCAGGGAAGTAAGGCGGCGCCTGAGCCTTGTGATAATTGCAAAGCTGCTTAACAAAAAGCACACGAGGATACCTGATGACTGTGACCAGCAGGTACTGCACGTCTGGGTGTAGAAAACATCCATGTTGTTGTCGTTGTGCTCGACTGTACTTTGTGTGGTTCCATAGGCCTAGTTTCCTGTTTAAGAATGGCCTGTCACTGACTTTTGTTTAGATTACTAATGGAAGTGTTTGACATGTGAAACCAGTATATTCTGCACTTCAAGTGCAATATTACTTATGTGCCTAAGTGTTCACTTTGAACACTGAAAGAAGAGCAGACTTCTCTTCAGTCCTCCTCTTACATATCTGTGTGGAGTCACTTTGTTTTCATAGGAGGGATCTGCTGGTGAGGATGTGAACACTTTATAAACATGTAAACACTTTGGCAGTTCTTGACTATTCATAAACCAGAGCTTAAAAGCATCAATGTTAATTAAGTCCCTGCTATAGATGTTCTTGTCTTAGATAATATGATAGTGGTGCTCTGTTTCACATTCTCCATTGCCAGTAAAACAATCCCACTTGTAAATGCACATGTATCTATAGATGTCTCTTCTGCATCAGTATCTGGTGTACATGAAGCCTTCTAATCTGCTAGAGAAGATGAGAAAAGATGAGCAGCAGAATGTCAGTGAAGAACATATTAAAGAGCACATTAATACAGAGCTGGAACAGGAGGTATGTAGCCAACAGGACTTTTTTTTTTTTTTTGCATTTGTGTTTTTTACACCTGCAATTTTGAAAACAAATCTTTTATTGTAAACTAATTTAGGAAAACTTCCATTCAGCTGAAAATTCAGAATTGGTTTGGTTATTTGAGACTATGAAATGTATTAGCAAGTATTTTGGTCTGGATGTAGGTGATGGGGAAAATGATGCCAAATGTGAATTTGATTTTCTGTAACTGAAGGCCCAGAAAGCTTTGTGGGCTATCTAGGTAACTTACAACAGCATAATATTGTTTTTAAATGTTATGATATATGAATGTATTACTTCCAATTATTTAGGAACAAAAAAGTCTGTCCTCTTATTTGTTTGTTGAAGGTGCCACTGAAGTCATGACACCAAATTATTGAAGCAGTGAGGATGCTCTGTGTTAAGATGGTTTTGGCTGCTACAGCTCTGTTTGTTTCTCTACAGGTATATTACCTCATCTACATCCTGCTCCATCTGGTCAGTGAAGCTAGTTTCTTTGACACTGTAAACGCTGACCAAAGGGTGAGTAACTTCAGTGACCAGGTCTTTAGATTTTGATATAGTAATTATCATTAATAAACTTCTGCTCAGAGGCAAAGCAAAGGGCTTTTCTCTGCAGTAAATGCAAAGGAAAACTTCTGCGTTTTTCCAAGTGGAATTATGGAAAAAGAGAAGGCTGTAGATCAGCAGATGTGTTAATTTTCACAGAATAAATGGAGATTAATACAGATTCTCAGAACTTCAGTGAACCTGTGTAAACTTTATTGTGAAGCTGAAATTTTTCAATCTAGAAGAAAAACGCTTTGAAAATAACCAGTAAAATATGCTGAAACATATAACAGCTGTGTTGGGGTGCAGTCGTGTGGCAAGTGAAGGCTAGGACTGTATCTCTTCTGCTCTCTGTAGCAGTATTTCCCTTCTTGCAAAGAGTGAATATCTGTTAACCAAGACCTTCTGTTTGGCCTTCTGGTAGTCTTGATTCCGATTTCTGCAAGCATTTGCTGTGAGTTGCTTGCTTCATGGTGTTTGTGCAAGTCTTCTGTCCCACTGAACCACTCCTGGCTCTTAAGAAATGTCATATGATCTCGTGAAGATGCTGGTAAAGCATTATGTTTGCTTACATTTTACAGAGTCATAGAATGGTTTAGTGACCGCTGGAGGTCATCTGATCCAACCACTCTGTTCAAGCAGTGCTGCCTAGAACAGGTTGCCTAACACTGTGGCCAGACAGCTTTTGAGTATCTCCAAAGGGTGAAGCTGCCTAACCTTTCCTGCAACCAGTTTGAGTACTCAGCCACCTCCACAGTGAAGTGTTTTCTCATATTCAAATGAAACCTGTGTTTCAGTTTGTGCCTCATCCCCTCCGTCACAGGAGCCTCTATTTTAAAACAGCCTCTTTGCAGCCTCCCATCAGACATTTTTAGACATTGATAAGATCTCCCTGAACCTTCTCATTAGGCTGAACAGTCCCAACTCCTCCAGCCTTTTCTCAAAGGAGAGGTGTTGTAGCCCCTTAATCGCTTTGGTGGCCTTTCATTGTACTCTCTGCAGTGTCACTCTGTGTTGACTGGGCACCACGCTGCAGGGAGGAAAGGATCACCTCTCTCAGCCTTCTGGCTGATGTCCTGCTGCACTGTCTTTCTGACAAGCAGCCAGGTGGTTGGAGTCCCGTTTTAAGATCAAAGCTTGTGAATGTGAAGCTGCTCTTCTGTCTGTAGAGGGCCTCATCTGCTTGTTCTTCCCAGTCAGGTGGCCTGCAGCAGGTACTGCTGTAATGTCACCTTTACCTTTCCTCTCTTTAATTCCAACCCATAAGTTCTCAGTGGAGTCTTTATCCATCCTCAGGCAGCTGCTTTTACTCATAGAGAGCATCACACCCTTGTCTTCCCATCCTGTCTCCCCCTGAAGGCCGTAGGGCTTCAGTTTCCTACTCGATTGCAGAGAGGTGGTTGTGTGCTGTAATATGAAGTCAAACCACCTTTGGTATGGAGAAAACTTGTTTTGCAGTGACCTTTTGGAATTTGATCTTTATAACTGCCTTCCTGAAGATTTATGACGGGGATTTAAAATTCAGTTAAAAAATAAAACAAAAATCAAAAACCCTGCAGCTACATACACAAACCACTTGCATTTCTGAATTTCTTGATGAAGAAATAGTCTGTTCTTGAATGTGAGATGTGGGGTGGAATTGGACAGTAGCTGGATATTATGCAGGTTGGACGTTGGGTGAAATTGGTATTGTCATTTCAGTTCTACTTACCTTGCAGTTGGATGGGGTGAACTGTCACTGAGGCACCTGAAAATGTTAATAAGTGGAATTTCATTGCATTTCACTTAGAGAGTGCAGCTGCTTTGCAGCAAGTCAGTGAGAGACTGAGAGCAGGAATTTTATCATGAAATTCAGAACGTCAGATCTTAGAGCTGTTACTGGGGATGGTGGAGTTACAAAACTGTTATTAAAGCCATCAGGAGCATAGAGAGAAGTATCAAGATCAGTGCTTAAACCTTGTGCATGTTTTACCTTCTCAGCTAATTCCTATGGACTGCCAAAGGAAATTACCTGAATCGTGGTTACTGAAGAGGTTATTTGTAGCTCTTGTAACTTCAGAACCTTTTTCCATCAGTGAAAGACCTGAATTGTATTTTTCTTGCTACTTTGGGAACAGAGGGGATTTACAGATTAGTTAGCAGGAACTTCAACATTTGTGATGTGTAGCTGTGTTCTAATGAATCTTTACAATTGCTTATTTAAGCTCATAGAACTTTTAAGTCAGGTGCATATCAACAGCTGATACAGGATCTTGTAGTCTTGTTTTCTTTCTTCTTCCCCCTTCCTTCTTCCTAGTTTACAGAAAACTTCAGGTTAAAGCATGTATTTTTTCACACTGAAAGAAATATTTGAAGTAAATATTTTAGTTTCAACATGGTCATTTAAATAGCCATACTCTTTTTTTATCTTTATTTAGCAACACTTACTGAAGTTTTGTAGTACCTTGGATAAGCACATAAAATGTGATATTAGGGAAGATGCAAGGCTGTTCTATCGAACAAAGGTAAGACCCCTTTGCTTGTTACTTTTGTTTGGTCTTTTCTAGTGCTGTTCCCTCCTCTCAACACTGGAAGTTCCAAGACTTCCTCGTGGATTTATTTTTCCTGGTTTTGCTGTCTGTCTGTACGCATAAATGCAGGTCTGTTTTAATGCACTGAAAATACTCTTTGCTAACAACAGGATGCCGGCAACACTAAGATGTGAGCTTGTCTTCCTCTTAGGAAGGCATCTCAACTTTCAGACAACAGAGTTGCTCCTTTTCTCTCCCGTGGCAACCTCTGATAACTGACAGGAATCAGTCTTGTACTTTCAGGAATGGAGGCAATATGCAAAGCTGGATACAGAGAGCAGAAGAAACCAGCCAGACTGTCTTGTGTGTCCTTTATTTTCAAAGTAGTTAAGTTGGTTGTTAAAACGTTGTGTATTTATGCCAACACTGTATGTGGTGTAGCATCAAGCTTGGCTAATTGTCTTTCATTTGCTTTGTGGCATGTAGCTTGCTAATGGTAGTCCTAACTCTGACTTTCGTGCTCTGCATGCTGTCATAGCAAGCTGAATCTCAGCGTTGAAAAGCATTGCCTTCTTCAGCTTTATGTCAGATGTTTGCAGTTGTGTTCATAACTCTCAAAAAGGCTGTGGGTTTTTTATTCAGCCAGATGGGTTAGAGCATGGATCTATCAATGAGTTAATGAATCTTGCCTTGAATTTTTGAATCTCAGTTCCCTATTCTGTTTGTTTTCCTTGCACTGGGAGAGGATAACCTTGCTCTGTTTTTCCTTATTGCTACTTCTGTTTTTTCACTGTAGCACTGCAGCAGCTACCAGAAGAGACCACTGTGCTGGGTTTTACATTGAACGCAGAGCAAATCTCAGCTCTTGTATTTCACACCTGCTTGTGGTTGGCTCTGAGGAGGAAAAAAAAGAGCAAAAAAACAGCACCACACCAGGTTTCTGTATAAGGAATTCATTTTGGAATCGTGGTGCTGCATTCTTGGTTTCTGTGATTGCATTGTCAGGCACCTTTTCTAGTTAGAAACAAGCCCCATGTCACAAACCTAACTGAAAAGGAGCTGAGAGAGTTTTTGGAGGCCAGAGACTTGTGTGGTGACAGACACTAAACATGGAAAATCACGTGTTTGTGTAGATACCTGAGTTGGGGATGTCGTTGGAGTGCAGGCAGTGATGCTCTCTGCCTGTTGTCAAACTGTTCCCTCCCAGAAAGCCTCCAGCGTTGGGTTTTTGGTTTGGGTGGTGGCATTGTAATTTGTGACTTTTCTTAACAGAAGGGCTAAACTAATCGCTCTGAATTTGCAGGTGAAAGACTTAGTTGCTAGGATATACGGCAGATGGCAAGATCTGATACAGAACAGCCGGCTTACTCAGGTAACTGAGGAAACATTCCTATTTGTTTTCATATTGCAGAGCCGTTTATATTGAGTTAAAACTCCGTCTTTGCTCGCTTGGGTATAACAGAGATATCACCTGGATCCTCAAAAGTGCTGTTCTTTCCAATGGCTTATGTAACACCCTGAAGTGCTGACACTGAGTCAAGTTGCAGGGCCTGTCTCTTATTACAGTCATTAGCAGATGCTTCAGAAGGGACTTTTGAGTGGGGCAGGAATGCAGCGAGGCACTTCCTGCTGTTGTCTGGCAGTTTGACTTGGAGGCTACTCCAATCCAGTGCTCTAAGCACATCTGTTTAACAGCTCTGGATGAACATAGCCCCTCCAATCTGTCTAATTCTGTGCAATGATTAGGAAAACCCTTTAATACTTTGTAATCTGGTGAATTTCTAACAGGAAGTTTAAATTATACGTATATGCTTACTACTGATTTCAATTAAAAACTGTGTAATTAACGTTTGTCTCTAAAGCATATTTGATCAGTCAAAGCAGTATTCAGAAAAAGACCTCACTTGTAGTATCTAAGGTTTCCTGCTACAGGAAGGGAAGTGAATTAGGTGGCAGATGTGGTTGCAGAAGTTACTTAGCAGATGATGGAAGCTGGTAAGGATACAACTCTTAGAGACATTTGGATTTGATTCACGTATGGGGATGGTGTTTCCAAATAACACTGTAGGGATGTGCAAACTGATGTGATCTTACACTAAGCAGTTGCCTGCTCTCCTCCTTACTTCAATGTTTGTTGGTTTGTTTTGAGTTTTCTATTTTGTTTCTACTCTTCAGGGAAAGCTACATGACTTCTGGGAGCCAGATTCATGAGATCTTGCCTAGATCAGGGAAATAACAGCAAAAAAACCCAATCTGAAACCGAGGAATGTAGAGAAGGAATGGAGCTTCACCTTGATCAGAATGCAAGAATTACTGGCCGCCTGAATTAGAACCTGAGCTTGGTTTAAGCAAATACAAAAAACACAGTGATCCAATTTGATTGGCATTGCTTTTACTGTGAACAGTGTGGCACTTCTGAAAGTGGGTGAACTGAAGCAGCAGCTATTTCTGTAGCTCTGTCTAGATTGAATTTTATCATGTTGAAAGTTGAAGGAAGCTTTATTTCCGCTGTTAATTGTGACACGTCTTTGGAAACTGTGTGTATTGGTTTTCTATAACCTATAAGTATTGCTTTGGGATGGCTGGAAAAGAACTGCCCTGTGATGTGAAATGAGTCTAGAAACAGTATTATACCTTCTCTGTTGTAAGCAGGTGAGGAAGTGCTTCGCTACTGATCTGAATAGCAGAGCTGCCCACACATCTTGGTCTGCAAAGCAAGATTAATTGGTCTGACCATCCAGTCTCTAAATAATAAAATGGCAGTGATGTGTGCACAAGTGATGGGGTGTTTTGTTCACTTGAGGGTGGAGACAGCTGAAGAGAGGCTGTGCCCATACAATGTAAGTGGATGCTGCTTTGCTCTGTTGTCTTCTAACAAATAACAAAGCAGAACTTAATACAAATAACACAGTAGCATTTGCTGTTACTGCAGTGCATTCGTTTTAACTTCCTCATCTTCAGATGTTATTTATGCAGTGAATGTGACTGCACAGGAAGTGATTTTGTAAGATCCTATTGTAAATAAGCTCCCTTACACGAGTGGCCTTGTGCTACTCTTTAAAGAAAAATCCCTTTAAGCGCTTTCTCTAAATGGAGAAAATGCTGTTCCTAAAATATCAAGTTTGAGGATTGGAGGAGAGGTGGCCAGTGCATGTGAACGTTAACTGAAAGCTGTATGAGTAGTGAATTCCTTTGTGCAAAGTCTTGCTGCATACACAGCGTGAGCTCAGAGCTCCGTGGGCTGTTTGCAGTAATGGGGGGAAGATGTAATCCCTGTGTGTGTGCTTTCCGTGTGAATGCTGTAATTTAAACGTACACTGTGGGCTCTGTGGTGCGTGTGTGTGTGTGAACAGGAAGTCACAGTGGGTAGAATACCAAATGGGAAATCCAGATTTTTTTAATACTGCTACAGTTGTGTTTTATAGTCTTGTTTCCTTTTAATTTGTGTAGATTGACCTATCTTCTCCTGTACAGTAAACTTCCTACCGCTTGACAGGAATGTAAAGTAAGGTTAACGTTAAAGTTAAATCTGAAGTCTGCATGTTGTGTGTAAAGGAGCTGCTGTGAGTGGGCCGCAGGCTCCAGGGAGGGGGTTCTGTTGGGGAATCGGTGTTTTGTCTTGCCTTTCAAATGTAGGCGAAGTCTGCAGTCTCTGCACCCTTCACAGGACTGTTAACTTCTCTTTGTCTCGGTGAGTGTTACATCGTTATCTGAGGGCAGAAAGAAGTCCCTTTTTTAATCCCAGCGTGTCTCTTCGGAATCGGTTGAATCTACCTCAAAGGGAATCTCCGACAACAGGACTGTCTGAGGCTGAAAGTAGGAATGGTGTGTCGGTATGCAGGTATGCACTGCCCTCTGCTCTGCCCAGCGCTCCCTGTGGGACAACATTCCATCTGGTTGCAGTTGCTTCTTATGTTTGAATATATTGTATGTGATTTTATTAATGTTCCTATCTTTTTCTCACTAATGTTGTATACGGTTTTTAAAAGTACGCTTACTTTAACGTGTATATATTTTCTTACCATGTAAAATTGAATTTGTGGTCCTGTATATTTTGGAGAAGGAAAGGGGTGAGATTTAGATCGGCGTCTTTCTTTGTTCCTCGTGTTGCAGTTTGGAGCACCTTGAAAGTGCTGGGGATGTTTTTCTGTACAAAATAACCACTTTGTTACTTACTTTTATTCAGTAGACCAGTGAGAAATAAAACCAGACTTTTCTAATCCGATGTCTGTGCACGAAGTCACCACATCAACCGCTGCGCAGAAATACGGCTGCAGGTCCTATTTGGGTCTTCCTGCAGTGCTTAGGTTCACAGCCGATTAGCTTACTATAAATGGAGAAAGTCTTGGAGTAATTCTTAGCTCTGCCAGTTCTGTGTTTTCATGCTTCATGCCTGTGTATACATTCGGGCTTTTTCCCTCCTCCTTCTTTGTCTGGACTTCCTTCCATCTGTCTGTAGCTGAGTTCCAACCCTTGGTTGCTCCTTCTGGACTTTGGTTGAATTGGAGCTCATCAGTACCCTGGCAGAGGTGAAACCAAAGCATTGCTGCAGTGTCTTGAATGGGGCTGCTGAGCTGAGTGCTGCTCCAGGGCTGCGAGGAACGGCCCGGCAAACCTGCTGCCATCTTGTTTCACCCAGCCAGAAGTTACATGCATTGAAAAAGGCTGTTTGCACACTACATGTCTTAACTGCTTTGGTTGTCTTCAGATGTACGTTTTTGCACTGAGGTTTATCTTTTGATATTATGTTGGTTGTACTAAGAACCGTGTTATCTTGTCTCATGGGCAATTGGGTGTACTTCATTGCAGTAATCACAGATAAAAATTAAAAGTGGACTATAAAATATACATTTGTGGCTTTGATTTATTTTCTTTCTTTCTTTTTTTTTTCCTCCTGACAAGCTTCTCCATGGCTTTAAAAAAAAAAAAAAAAAAAGTTTGTTCCTAAATTGAAGAAACCTGCCTGCAAAGCTATTTGCACATCTCGTGTCCTCCCAGAGCTGTTGTGAAACTTGGTAATGGAAGGGGATTTCAAAGTGCTGAACGGCCTGCAGGCAGGGCTGGCTGGAGGGCAGTGGGATGCGGATGCATCATTGATGCAGTGGCTGCAGGAGCTCTCTGAAGTCCCCAAAGCCTGGAGTTGAGCTGAGAATACCTCTGGGAAAAGGTGATGAACAAACACACTGCTCTAAATGGCAGAGCAGCTGGGGAGATGGCTGCCTGATAGGATTGGAGAGGTGATATTTACACGTGGAAGACCTTTGTCTCATGAGCGATGGATACTGCAGTGGTAGCTTTCTGAGCACAGGCAGGCGAGCTCTGCCTGCAGCCACGGGGCTGTGCCTGCCCTTGTGCTGCAGCACTGCCCTCACCGGCTGAGCCTCCAGAGGGAGGCTTGGGCTGATGCTTCCAGGCACTGGGCTGAGGGGATTCTCCTGCAGGATGCAGTACTTGAGGGTGTGACATTGCAGTGCTCACCTATGTTTGTTCTACGTGATTCCTGGGCTGAGTTTGGGTGGTTTTTTTTGGTTTTTTTTTCAGTAGTTGTGCAAGTTTGGTGTTTCATTATTTTTTTTCTCTACTGGAAAGGGCATCTGAGGCTGTTCGCTGGAGGCAGCCCTCCCATTCCTTCTGCAAACTCGTTCCATGGGCTTACAAACCCTTCCAGCCCAAAGTTCCCTGGTGGGAACCACCCTGCCGTGCCAGAGGGGCCCGCTGGGTTATTGCTTGGCCTGCTCGAGGGAAAAGGCTCCTGGGATCGACTCGGTGCAGGGAGCCAGCCCGCAGCACAGCAAGGCGGTGTGCAGGGCGTGCAGGAGCCTGCACGGTGCGATCCGGCCGCGGGGCTGCTGGGGGGCAGGGCAGGGCCACGCTTATGGAGCACGGCGTGGATAAGGGGCTGCCCGGAGGTCAGGCGGCCGCGGACGGCTTTAGCTCGTGCCTTGTGGTTTATATTAGCCGAATGCTCTCAGTGACGTTCGGATTGCGATTCTTCCCGTCTTCCCCTGGGCTGCCAAATGCCTTGATGTTCTGCCTCGTGGATGTTTTGCCGGCTTAACTGATGGGGCCCCTCTTTATCTGGTGTTGAAAAGGACTTTCCGTGCTGGGGAACGGCCCGGGCTGCTGCTGGGAAGGCTCCTAGGGAAAGTAAATTCCTCGAAGGGCTGGTCTTTAGCAGGCGCTTTTAGTTCTGTCTGACTTCTTTCAGCCGGCATTTCTTCGTCTTTGTAGTCCGGAATTTGAAAGGGAACGCTTTACCTGCTATCAGAAGCGGCGCTGGGTGGTGAGAGAGGGAAAACATCCCCGTCTGCCTGCCTTGATCCTTTGCCGTGGGTGCTGAAAGCGAGTCCCCACGTCTGCTGTGAGCGCTGCCTGTCGAGATGTGTTTCCAGGTGGGCTTTAAGCAGCATTCAGCTGCTCTTGCAGCTCTCTGCGCGTCTCCTTCAGCCCGGTGAGCAGCACCTCATCTCCTCCAGCCTCCCCGCCCCCTCCCTGCTCCCTTCAGGGAGGTAACGGGGGAGGAGGTGGCGGCTCAGCTGGAATCCTTCCTGTGTCCGTCATCGGGACGGCCCAGGCTCTGCCACCGGCCCGGGGCTGCCTGAGGTGGCTTACCCCATGTGATGTGGGGAGGAGGGCTCCTGGCCGTAGCAAATGGGGCCACTGGCACACACCCTTTTCCCCGTGCTTTCCTTTGGGCTGACGCTCACTGCTGCAGCTGCTAGAAGCCGGGTGAGCCACGCTCCTTTCGTCCTGCAGGGTAAATAAGATCTCTGCTGCTTTGGGACTGCTGGGTGAGGGTTCTTCACCAGGGTTGTGACTGCTGGGGACAGCTTAAAGGCTCCAGGGCTTTGCCACTTAATTCCAGCTCTTTTCTCAAAGCCTGCTTAGAGATGGAGGTCCTGGCTGCTGCAGCTCAGTAGCATGAGGTCCATCTCCTCCTAGCTGACCGGAATAAAAATAACAGCTTAAGGCTGGCAGGCCCGGTGCTGGGGAGAGGAAGGCTAGGAGGTAAGTTTGGTGCTCTCTTCACGCTGCAGGCTTTAAAAAGGCAGCATAAATCATGCGGGGCAGCTGTGGGCTCCTCAGGCTCACAGAACTGATCTGCATGCTGGAAACTCAATCCACTTGAGTTTCAATCCACTTGCCCTACACCCATCCAGAGGGAGGCCTGGCAGGTGTTGCTCACCCAGTTGCTGTGTCGCATATCGCTTCTCTTATGCAGCCGTGGAGCACTGCCTGCCTCCCCTGTGTACTAACCTATTTTGTCAGCATTTGGGCTCCTACATTGTTATGGTAAAGTTTGCACAGCTCAACGTGTTTTTCATTCCAGTTGATTTTCTCTTCCTATCAGCCCATTTTTTTTCCTTTGCCCTCATTCTGTTTTTCCCCGCAGTACGCGGCTGCTGTTTGCTGAGAAACTGTGTCAGCCTTCCTCGTAATTAAGAGCCTGGCAGGAGCGAGCGCGGCGGCCGTTCTGGAGATGTCACCTCTGGCACGGAGCTGACCGTAAGCTGGGGATGCGGGGTGGTGCAGGGGGACCCACCAGGAGCCCAGCACGGAGCAGTAAGTAACCCCCATCCCTCACAGCTGGGACGCTCCAGCTGCCCATGTCCTCTCATCGAGCAGCTCCAGCTGCATCAGAGCCAAGGTTACAGCCTTGTCTGGGTTCAGCCCTCTGGGATGGAGCCCGTGTGCTCGTATAGGGGAGGAACAAAGCAAGCTGCTATCGTCTGCAGGCTGCATCTCATCGGCTGGGAAATAGATAATAGTTGTGATGTTGGAAAGTGAGATGGATGGAGAGCTCTCTAGTCAAATGGCCTGAAAATGGGTGAATAGAGTGAAGTTACTCAGTGCTGCTCTGTAATTTGGCTTCAGACTCTGTAGTTCTTTTATTAGCACGAAGGCTCAAAGCCTCAAAAGGAGATGGTGGAGCTGGGGATCTTCTTGCCTCAGGATGTTGTGGAGGCTGAAAGCAGGGATGTTCAAAAAATGTTTAAATGGCAGAAAAATCCATCAGGCTCTGTGAAGTGAAAGCGGCCATCCCTGGCTGAGATCTTCCAAGCTGTATCCTGCAGGGTGTGGGACGGGGACCCAATCCCATCTCCCACCCCATCCGATAGATGATGTCGGCTAGCAGAGAAGCAGAAACAAAGGAATGTGAGGCTGGATTTTAAATCTTGTCCATGTGATACCTTCGGGACAGAATTCAGTATTTCCGTCTATAGCTGCTGTGTCGGGTTTGCCTCTTGGGGGCAACCTCGGCCTGCTCCAGCCTTGGCAAAGGCGAAAGGGAATTAACGCGCTGGGGAGGGGATGACTCACTGCGTCTCTCCCTGGCTTTGCTTTATCAGATAATTTTTGGCAATCGATGCAGTTATTTGCTGAAGGGGTTTAAGGGAAGCTGTCTAGGTTGGCCCGCTCACTGCTTTTCAGAAATGACCCAGTTGCTTCTTGAAGGTCCCAACCTTGCAATCTTTCGAAGTTTGCGCTGCCTCGCTGTCCTTCGGAGAGGGTGGCATGAGAGGACTGCTGCTCTGCAGCTCCGGGCTAATGGGCAGCACATAAATCCGCTCTTGTAAGATTTACGGCGCTCTCCCGCTGCTCTTTTGCCAGGGATCCCTTGGGCAATCGCTAATCCTATCAGCGCTGTGGTTACCCTGACTTGTACGTAGGGGAGATAGCAAACTTATTGCTCCAGCTCCGCTGGAGTCCCGAGTTTGTGAGCAGACGTGCCACACAAACCCTGTCCGTAAATAACCATTTACATTTATTTAAAGGGCGTTGAGGTATACGGTGGAATAAAAGGAGTATTATTCATGCTTCGTGCTGCGGTTCCTAATGGGGCTTAGCACGCTGATATGACCTACAAAGCTTGTTGTTTCGTGCCCGCAGTGCTCTGATGTTCTTCCTACCCCGAGGGTCAGAAATGACGAGAATAAACGATGGTGACGGGTGTCTGGCAGATCCCCGCTCCCTCGCCTTGGAAGTGTCCTTGCAGGGAGCTGCTGGTGACATTGCCTGGCAGGCAGGGGGACGCTGCTTGCTCGGCCGGTCACGCGATGTGCACGGAGCGGCCTTGGCGTGCCGTACAAAATCGATGCCTCCTATATGCATAGCAATGCATCCGTGGTCGGCTTTCTTTCCCCTGAAGTGCAGCGGGAGGGCTGGCCGGGCCACCCGTGTGCGATGGCGGCGAGAAGCCCCGGTGTCACAGGCTGCATGCAGCCCCACAGCCCCCAGCACCTCGGTGCAGCCAGGGCTGCGGGTGCCCAGAGCTGCGTGCTCAGGCTGCTGGGCTGAGTCAGTCCTGCTGGGACAGCGGCCCGGCTCCGGCCAGCCGGCTGCTCATTAACCCAGCCCTGCGGTGTGCGCTTTGCTGGCTTTGACACTGGCTTTAATAGCTCCCTCCTCTTCTCTTTTCTTTTTTTTTTTTCCTTGTTGTTTATAAAGGTAAATTAGCTGTATGGATATGCATGGACATGAATCAAAGGAATTCAGCTGACTCTTAAGAAGCCCCATTTACACCGTCATGTAATAGGAGATGTGCTAGAACACCAGGATGTGATGAATGTTGCCCAGTCCATAAACACCTTAGGACAAAGGCTGTTTGTGAGTGAGGCATTTCGGTGTAACTTCCCAAAATCTGACTGCGTAGGGGGAAATCCATCAGGCTTTGGAATACATTAACTTGGTTGAGCAGCAGAGGTAGTGGTGAGATGCAGACCAAAGGCTGCAGAAAAACTGCACTGAGCTGCAAAGCCTATGTTTGAGAAGTTGCATATCCACACAGCATGTGCCCAAGGCTCCTCTGACATCCCTTCCATGGGTTACCCCAGAGCTTTAACAAACAGCACTCAGAGGGTACAGCTGCCATCTTCCTCAGATGGAAGCAAAATTCACCACGTCACAGAGGCTGGGCTGCTTTTGAGATGCATGCTGATAGATGTGTTGTTTGGAGGGAGATGTTTCCATGGCAGAGCATCACCCTCAGTGGGGCTGTGATCCTTGGGACCATCCTGTGCACTCACAGCATTGCTCTGGAGGAGTGAGGGAGCTGCAGGTTGTGCAGGAAGGCCTCAGCTCAGCCTTTGCCAGTCCTCTGACTTGGAAAGAAAACTAAAATCAGAGGCGAGACTGAAATAGCTCATTTTGTCTCAGCAGACAAATAATTGCTTTGAGCATCATTGTCGCTCAGTCTAAATTACTTTTAAATGTTGCTTGGGATTGGGCAGCCTTTCTCAGCCGCTCACTGTGCAGCACCCCACTGGGGCAGTGCCTGTAAGGCCGAGCACTCGGATATCACAGTGATTCTTCCTGACGTCCGCTTGGCTTCATTTTCTGACCCATGATTCCCCACCGAGGAGATGTCTCGGCTACATCCCAGCTGCACGCCCCTCCTCAACAAAGGCTCTGTGCCCAGTGGAGGCCGGGAGCCATGGGAGGGTGGATGGATGGTCGTCTTGGGGATGGAGAGGAGAAGCTGCAGGCAAGAGGAGCTGAGAGCCCGACCGGCTCTGAATGGCAGCTGACGTTGCCATAGGGCTGGAGGGATTTTAGCACCTGATTTGTTGCCCCTACCTCTTGTTTCACAGGAGCCTTGTCATGCACGGCACGGACAGGCGCCACTTGCAGTGCAGTCCCCCCAGGGCACTCTGCTTTCGACACAGCCACGCAGCTCTCCCAGCTCTGCCGGCTCCCTGCTGCGCCTTCCTGAAGGCAGCCTTGCAGCCGCCCTCCTCCCCATCTCTGCAGCGCTTCTCTAGCAGATGTATTTTTAAATCCCAGCTCATAAATTTTGGAAGCTCCTCTCCTTCCCCCACCCCCTCGCCCCTATCAAAGTGTCAGAGGCGAAGAAAAACCGTGAGAGTGATGTACGCGCTCAGCTTCGGCTGCCAGCGCTTGCAGGTTATTTACGGTGCTGCCGAGGCTGCTGCTTAAATCGTGCGGATGGCGGCAGCCTGGGCTCCGTGTGCAGGAGGGAGAGGTCGCAGCCCTTCAGTTGGCAGTGTGTGGCTGCGTCCCTGCCATCGCTGCTCACCCCTGGAGTGTTTCTGCTCCCTCCTGTCCCACTGCTGCTGACCTGCCCTTGCCGTGTGCTGTCTGTCCATCCGGACCGGCTGGGAAGGCTTCCCCTGCCTTTCCCTGGGGCAGCAGGGCAGGAGAGGGCAGGCGGAGGCTGCCGTGACTCAGCTGCTGCTCCCTGCAGCCAACCGGCACCTGGGCAAAGCATCCCCATTTCCACTTGTAAACGTCGGCACCGGCTGGGGGGAGTGTGGCATCCAATTGTGCAGGGGCTGGGGGCAGTGACATGCGCTGCTGAATGGAGTCAGGGAAAAGTCTCATCCATAAAAGAAACTGAGCCCTAAGTGCCCGCTGGAGCCACAGCAGCAAGGGCTGGCCATGCCCCTGGCTTCTGGCACATTACAGCTTTCTCAGACAAATCCTGCAATTGTAATTTTCCTTGCTGGCTCCCGGCCCCAAGGAACGGTGGTTCGGAAACTTTGCTCAACACTTCAATGGAAGAGGATCCTGTGCCTTTCATGCTCTGCGCCTACTGGAGCATTCATCCCAGGGCCGATGCGCTTGGCGGGGCTCACAAGAACTGTGCCGGGTCAGGATGACCTGAGCACCAATGGCTCCGTGTGTCCAGCTCTGTGCTGTGCCTGGAGGGATGCAGGGGAGCTGGGGGAGTGCTGCTGCCGTTCCTGCGCTGGGTTCATCCAGAACCAAGGGGCTCTTTCTGCACCCCTTTCAGTACAGGCTTGGGGACTCGAGCCAGTGGGCACCATGCTGGATTAGCATGGATTTCACAGGGTTTCATAAATCCCCAGCTCCCAGCATGAGGAGGTTTTGTAACTGGCGGCGCTGAGCCAAATCCCTGCAATGGGGCTGCATCTTGCTGCTCTTGCTTGGAGCGAAGGAGGAGCAGCACCAGGAGCAGCCTGGCCTCTCCACCAAGTGCTTTCTGACCAAAGGCAGCAAACTGGGGGCAGCCTAGAGCACCCTGTGTGCCAAGGGCAGCGGCACTCTCCACGTTGTGAGATGATCCCAACAGTAAATGGAGCACTGTGGCTGTGTTCTTGTTAGCGGTGTCGCTTGGGATGGGGGTGTGGTGTGATGTGGAAACCATCACCATGCTGGCTGGGTGTCAGAGGGGCAAAGCGGGCTGCAGGCAGGCTCACTGGGAACCAGCTGGGTGTTCTGAGTGGCACAAAGGGCAATTACGGAGCAGCCAGGCTGGGCTGGACAGCTGGGCACTGCAGCGGCTCCTCTTCTCCCTCCCCACCCAGCTGCACTGCGCCGCACGGCTGGAGCAGAACTGCACTGTGTTGGGCCCCCAGCTCCAGCTGCAGCCCCAGGAAGGCCTCACATGGCAGGCAAGGCCCGGCGTCTGCACCAGCAGGGCCCTCCATTGCTCCGGAGAATCTCATGGGGGCAGCAGAGCAAGCGGAAGCTCTGAAAATAGATCTGTTTCCAGCTGCCGATGACTCGCGTTAATTAATTAAAGCCTCGCAAGCTCAGGCCTGTAAATAGGCAGTGTGGAGCACACCGTGCTCAGCTTGCTCTTTGCTCATGCACTAATTACCCCACTCCAAGGCCAGGAGCTAGCACAGCCTGAATTTGGGCTTGGGGCCACGTGGGCGGACAGGAGTGCTGCTGCAGGACAGGACGGGATGGGATGGGACCTGGGGAGAAAGGGGTTGAACCATGGCTGGTGCTTGCAAACAGCTCTCCTGTGCCCATCCTTGTACCAGGAAGGCAATTGCAGGCAGCAGAGCCTCCTTGACCTCCCCGTAGGGACGGCTGGCATGCAGGTGGTTTCCCCCCTGCCATGCCACAGTGGAGTCGGGATGCAACCCAGGGGACTACACGCTCTGAATTCTCCATCCCAAAAAAGCTGTGTGGGCAGCGCTGCTGCCCTGCTCTGCTCTGGGTCTGGTTGGCTGTGCCAGGCAGGGCTGCGGTGAACCCGGTGCGCAGGTGTCTGTCTTCCATGGGGTGGGCAGGAGGCAAGGCGAGGTGTGGAGGAGAGGACGGGAGGAAATGGCAATGAGCCGCTGGAGTGTGCAGGCGTGGCGGGAGAGCGGCCAGCAGCCTGGGGAGAGGGCAGTGCGCTGGGAGCGGTGCTGCACGGCTCTGCCAACACGGCAGGGAGGCACAGCACCCACCTCCCGCTCCAGCCGGCTTCCCAGTGCCCTAGATGCGACCTGCAGATTGCATGTTGCGCTTGAGCTTCGCGTCGTAGTGACGGATGAGGAAGGAGGGCTCAGCCACGTGGGGCAGAGGAGGCTCTGAGGGGCTCAGCACTCCCAGCACGCCCCACGCACAGGGTGCCAGCACCCCCAGGGCAGCACACCAGGGGATCTTTGGCTGCAAGCTGGCCGTGGTGCGATGAGGTTGTGCTGTTGTTTCCCCCATTGAGGACTTTGCCCTCACACAGCTCGAGGCCGGGCACGGTGCCCAGCTGGGCGTGTAGGCTCCTGCACCTGGCTGCTGGCCGTGCTCCAGGCACCCACCCACCGGGTTCGGGGACCGGGGTGGCCTCAAGCCGGGGTGCTGCGGGACTTGGAGGGCACTCCCGCCGCTCCGCGATCCGGCCCCCGCAGCACCGCAGGTCCGTGGCCCTCACAGACCCGGGGCGGAGCGCGGCGCGCAGGGCGGCCGGCAGGGGGCGCCGTAGTGCGGGCGGCGCGGCACGGCCCACGGCGGGGCCGCGCACAGCGACCTGCGGAGGGCAGCTCAGCCAGCGCCGCGCCGCGCCGGGCGGAACCGGACCGAGCCGAGCCGCAGGCAAGCGCCGGGGAGATGGGATCGGGGCCAGCTACCGGTGGGGTGCGGGGTTCGGGTACTGGATTTGGGGCTTTGGATCCGCAGACGAGGTGCTGCGTGCCCCAGCGTAGGGTGCGAGTGCTGAGCACGGGGTGCTGGCTCATCACCGGGCAGGATTTGGGGTGCTGGGTGCGGGCGCCGGGTGCGCTGGCTGCGAGTGTCGGGTCTGGCACTGCGTGCACAGGTACGGTCCGGTGCCGGGTCCGGTGCCGGTGCGGTTCTGTGCGCCGGGCCGGGCTGCGGAGAGGCTTCGGGACGGAGGTGATAGGGGGTCGGGGGGCACTGAGAGCGGTGCCGGCGGCAGCAGGGCCCGGGGCAGGATGGAGGCGGGGGACGCCTGGCGGGGATTTTGGGGAGACTACAGCTGCGGAGGAGGAAGGGACGTGCGGGTCTGGTGGCGGTGCAGCCCATCCTCCCGGCCCGTTCCGCTCAGGGTTTGGGGCTGCGCCGCTGGAGCTCGGGGACGCCCCGAGCAAGGGGGGTTGCATCGTGCAGGGGACCGTGCTTGTGCCGGGGCAGTGCATTGCGCCCTGCTCCCGCTCCTACTGGGGCTGTGCTCGCCCCGCCCGCAGCCCAGGTGGGCCCGCGGCTCCTCCATCCCGGAGCCTGAGGCGGGGATGGGGGATGCGGCAGGGATCCGGTGGTGCCAAGGCACCGTCTGTGAAGACAAAGAGGCTGCCCAAAATGGACGAGGAGCACAGACTCCCCCAGAGGCAGGGATCTGTTGCTGTGAGTGATGCCCGCTGCCGGCCCCCTCTGTGGCTGCGGCCCCCACCCCGACGGTCGTGGTGACGCTGCCGCCGCCCCCCATGGGATGTGCCCGACGGGTACGGGGCAGAGCTGCCCCCGCCGTGCTGCGATCCCTATCAGCGCTTTGTTTTTGTGTTGCAACCGGAGGGGAAAGAAAAACACAAAATCAGTGCCAACCCTTTCAGCTCCCACGAGCGAGGGCTGCGCGGCTTTTCCTCCCCCCACCTCCAACGTCCATCTGTTGGAACCTTTCCCTGCTTTCCCCGCCAGGAATACCGGCAGTGAATTTGGGGTGAGGGCAGCCGGGTGGCTGCAGCAGGAGGAAGGTGAGGTTTTGGGGCACCTTTGGTACTGGCTGGGCTCAGCCCCATTGCTGCTCCTCTGGGGACTGAGGATCACTCCATCTCACCGCTGCCAAACCCATGCAAATCCACCCGGCTCTGATGTGAACGTGGCTGCATGCAAACCACATTGGGAAAGGCCGAGTCCCACACTCGTGGGGTGTACAGGAGTGGGATGCAGACTTAAAGAGCATCAGCTGCAGTTTGACCCCAAAGCTGGAGTTGTTTTGGAGGGAAACTGGAACAAACAAGACGAGGTCGTTAAGCTGGAACCAATAAGAGAGCTGCCATCATCTAGTTTTGCTGGACTTTGGGGAAAAAGAAATAAGGAAACAGTTTATCTTTGGAATAAATAAAGCATAAAGGAACAGGCGTGCAGGGAGCGCCCGCAGCCCCATGGGCCGGGGCCCCTCTTCCCGTATCTTACAGCCATGGGAGTAGTGCCTGAAACCTGAGCACCAGGGAGAACCCCTGTGGCAAAACTCCGAGCAAATCCCGTGGTGACCAATGGCCCAGCAAGATGGAGCGCAGTGCGTCCATGGGGATGAGCAAATGGGCCCGAGTTTGTCCCAAACCCCAAATCTGAGCGAAGCTGCACCGGCAGCTGCTGGCTCTGCAGCGTCCCTTTAAATTTAGGGTTGAGGCTTTGAGTTGGGTTGTTTTTTTTTCATTTTTAATTGTTCCTGGGGGTTTAATTCTAAAATTATTCTCCTGCTTCTGCTGTAGAAGCAGTGTGCTCTGACCACAAATCCTTTTAAGGCTGAGCTGCACAATGAGCCACGGCGTGCAAGAGAACCGGCACGGGAACCTCTGCTGGGAGCTCTGCTGGGCACAGAAGGCTGTATGCCTGTCTGTCTGTCCATCTGGCCACGCAGTCTTGTTTTGCCACAGCAGGGAAAAAAAAAAAAGCAGAGAAACTGTTTTTTTTTTCCGGTGGAGATTTTCCCAGCACTGCCTGCCTCTCCCTCCCAGTAGAAATGTGGGGCTGGGGCAGCGATGCTGAGGATGGAGGAGGTGGGATGTGGAGATGGCTCATCCCTGTGATGCCCCCAGGAAGATGGAGGTCCAGCACCTCGCATCCTCATCCCCCCCTGTGTGCTGGTGGGGGGAGCTCGGCGCCCACTGCGGTGTCTCAGCACACTTCTCAGTTCCTGTTTGGCTCCCATGGCGCTCTCCCTCTGCTGCGCCCACATCCCAAATTTGGGGAAAGGAGAAGCATCGCGTGAGCCGCGCTATCTCGTGCATCTCCTGGGAAGCGCCTCGGGGTCGAGCAGGGTTTTGTTTAAAGAACAAAAATAAACGCAGAGCGGTGCTGGTGGAGGTCACTGCGCTCCTTCCCTCCCCGGCCCAGCACCCAGCGCATCACAGATCCCCTTTTCCCGGAGGACTTTTGCCAAGTTGGCGTTTTTCTTGCTGCTGTCGGCAAAGTCCTGTCTGGCTGAGGAATGGATTGCCTCCTGCCCTGGGTCGCAGCCGCAGGCGTGTGGGAATGGAGCTGGGTGTCCCTGCTGCGCCCCGTTTGGGGCCGTTCGCTGGCGCTGCACCCATGGATGTTTTATGATCTGCTGCAGCAGAGGCATGGGAGGGCTGTAAGTTGGGGAAAAGCTGCAGAAAGTTGCCTGGCAACCCTCATCCCACCTCTGCTCGCTGGGTACCGCGGGATCTCGCAGGATTTCGCTGCCTTTCCAAAACCGAGGGCTGCTGGAGCTGCATGACCCTAAATGAGGATTGTCATTTTGCTTGGCTTTCCCTCATCTCCCTGCCTCCCTAAGCCCATAGCTGTGTGGCTCAGGTGCATGCACAGCTTTGCAGAGCGCAGCTTAGGGATGCTGATAACTGGGGGAGCTCTGGGTGCTCCCCAGCTCGTCCAATGCTCTGGGTTCAGACTGGGAGCAGTGTGGGGAGTGGACATGGAGTGCCCAGGTCATTGTGGCATGGAGAGCACAGCAGTACTCTGATCTGAGTTGGACTAGGGATGCTTTCATTTTCCTACCGCTCCTTCCCCCATTCTGTAGGTATTAGAAAAAAAACAAAACTAAAAAAAAAAACCACACACAAAAATAAATAAATAGAAAAGAGAAGCTCAGAGCAGCTCTTTCCTTCGGGTAAAACATTAACGAGCTCTTGGAGCGAGCTGCTTCATTTCCTTCAGGACAAAGTTGATCTGACGTGGGGGTGAAGGAGCCTTCGTACATGGGCGCAGCCGCTGGGCTAGAACGGCACAACGTGCCCAGCCCCAGCACTGCCTGGGCTCTCCCGGGTAAAGTCCGGCGGCGGTGTGACGAGGGCAGGGTGTGCACGCAGGAGGTGCGGTCCATGCGCGTGGCCGTGCTGTGTTTGTTCCCGGTGGTGTTTGGGCTGTGCTGAGCTCGTAGCGCTGAGATGTGACATGGGCAGGAGATGCTGTGTGCCTGCTTGCTCGTTTCTGTGCCCTGCTGGTTTCCTGTTGTTTCCCTTCTCCCTCCCCTCTGCCCAAAGCCCGGTGCGGTATTTGCTTTAGGGAATCTGTCTGCAGCAGGCGTGTTTGAACAGCTTCGCTGGAGGGCCAGGTATTTAGTGTATATATAAAAAAAGCCCTAAGCAAACAGGTTAATGCCAGCTGCTTTGCGGGGAGGTCTCCTGTGTGGAGATATCCTATGGTCTCTGTCCTCGGCAGGCAGCTATGGGGTGCTGGGATCCCTATCCTCATCTCCCCCATGTCTCCCCATCCTCCTGTCACAGTTTCAGTCCCTGTGGACGTTGGTGTCCCCGTGTGGCCACTCAGCTCCATGCCTCCCTGTGGTGGTTTCTTAGCCAGGATTTGCTTCTTGGCTGGGAGCTGAAGATGCTGAGCTTCGAGGCAGCTGTTGATAAAAGGGAAACTGAAATATAGTGGAAAAACACTGGGGGGAAAAGAACACAGTCTTGCTTGAAAACACATGGTGGAGATACCAAGTGACTTTGTATTGCCTTCGCTTTACCCTGTGCTGCATGTGCCTGGAGCACCCCCCCCCCAGCCCTTTGTCCTCAGCAGTCCCAGTCAGCTCTCTACACGTTTGGGGTTTCCTTTACTTCCTGCCAGCTCCTGGCTTGGCTCTGGGGAAGGAACAGAGCCCTTTGGTTTTCAGGTCACACCGGCTGCCCTGTTGCCTTCTTTGCACATGGGTAACCTGGGGACCACCGAACTCTTGTGCCCAGCAGCCCCTCTGACCTTGGCTCTCTGTTCCAGAAGGTTCCGGGGCAGCCCATCCCCAGCAGCAGCTGTGCCGGCTCCTCCAGCCAGGGGCTGCCCTTGCTGGGCACCAGGGATTGAAGATGTGTGGAGACGCGGTGCGGCTGCTGACCGCCCTGCTGGTGGCCGCGGCCATGGGCTACCCCAACCGGCGCTCTGCCACCGACCTGGATGCCACCCCCAGGATGACAGTCACCTTTGACGGTAAGAGGGCTCGGGGAGGGAACAGGAAGGAAGCTCACTCTGTTTGGGAGCGTTTCACTGTGAAAACCATTTTTCTCCACAGAGCTGTCAGGTGTGCGGCGGTTCAGCGGGCACAGCCTGAACTACACCACACTGCTGCTGGAGGACGAGCGGGGTATGCTGTATGTGGGCGCCAGGGGGGCCATCTTTGCTCTCAATGCCAGCAATGTGGCCGATGGCTCGCACCGCATGGTGAGCTGCTGTCCCCATTCCCAAGCAGCCTCCAAGCTTTTGGTGTGGGGTTTCATGCTGTGATGGCACTTCTCCCTGTACAGATCCGTTGGGAAGCATCTCCGGAAAAGCGGCTGGACTGCCTGCAGAAGGGCAGGAACAACAAGGTACGGCCATTACCGGGCAGTGAGGGTCCCGTGGTGTCCCGAGGCTGTGTCCCCAGGCAGTAATGTGCGTCCTGTCCACCGTAGACCGAGTGCTTCAACCACGTGCGGCTCCTACAGAGGCTAAACACCACGCACCTCTACGCCTGTGGCACCTACGCCTTTCACCCGCTCTGTGCTTCCATTGTGAGTCCTCCTGTCCCCATCCGGCGTGGCTTTGGGGTGGCAGCTACCTGGGCACAGTCGCTGTCACACTGATGCCACGGGTCCCTGATGGCCATGTGGGCTCCTGCATGTCCCGCATCCCTCCCACAGCCATGATGTGTGTCCCCATGTCCCCAGCTGTACTGCCAGCCTGGTTTGTCTCCAGCCACTAGAGGTGCCACCACACTTGGCTCCATCATTATTTAAAGTGCTTTGAACTACAACCCTCAAAGAAAATAACTCCTATGGGGACACAGATATTGCAGGGAGGACCCAGCCCGGCTGAGGACAGCATCGGGTGGTGGTGTTTTGTTGGGAACTCATCCTGCCTGGAGGGGATGGCCGTGGGTGTGGCTTTGTCCCTGCCCTAATGGGCACAGGGCTGTCCCCCGTGCTGATGCCCCCGGTCCTGCAGGATGCTGACAAGTTCACACTGCCCTCCCGCTTCGAGGAAGGCAAAGAGAAGTGTCCGTACGACCCCTCCCGTGGCTACACTGGCCTCATTGTGGGTAAGTGATACTTCACCAGGTCAGGACACTTTGGGCCACTATGGGGGCGGTCAACCACATGGACTGTGCTTGTGGAGGGTGCAGTGAGATTGGGTATCCTCCTCCTCTGCCTGGGGCACGTGGATGTGGTGGCTTTTGGGGCTGTCCCCACAGTCCCTGGGGTATGGTGGCCATGCTGACGGGTGCCTGCCCTGTGCAGATGGTGGATTGTACACAGCCACACGCTATGAGTTTCGGAGCCTCCCTGATATCCGGAGGAACCTGCACCAGCGGCCGCTGAAGACAGAGGAGTCTCCTCTGCACTGGCTGAATGGTAAAGATGTCTCTGTCCCCTGGGATTGGTGTCTGGGCTTGTCCAGAGTGCTGTACTGCAGGGGAAAGCTGAGGCAGGGAGGGACTGGGGACCTGGTGAGTTCTCAATTGCTACGTCTCGCTCCATTTCCCCCAGATGCCGAGTTTGTGGCCTCCATGCTGGTCCAGGAAAGCAAGGACAGTCCTGTGGGTGACGATGACAAAATCTATTACTTCTTCATGGAGCGAGCAGGCGAGGAGACCACATCCTTCTTCGATAAGAGCCAGGTGGCTCGGGTGGCCCGGGTGGCCCGTGTGTGCAAGGTAAGGCTGTCCCTGAGGAGCAGGGGATCCAGGCATGCACCTGGGGGCAGACTTAGTTGTGTGCTCTGAGGGGTTCCCCTAATGGGGAATGGGGACTGTGAGGATGGGGACTGGCTCTGCACTGGGGGTGCCGGGCTCAGTGCACCCACGAAGAACCCCTGCCCACCTTCCCAGAGTGATCTGGGGGGAAAGAAGATTCTGCAGCGCAAGTGGACGTCCTTCATGAAGGCACGCCTGGTGTGCTACATCCCCTACTATGAGGTGCTGCGCAGCGTCTGCAGCCTGGACAGCGGTGGCTGGGCCAGCACCGTCTTCTACGCCGCCTTCACGCTCTCAGCGCAGTGGTGAGTGGGGCCAGGCGTGGAGCTGGGTGGAGGTGGTGGGGGGGGATAACAGGAGGTCCTGCACCCAGGAGGACGATGGAGGCCTCGGCTGTGTGCCGCTACGACATCTCCGAGGTGCAGCGTGCCTTCGAGGGGCCCTACATGGAGTACCAGGACTCCTCCCGCAAGTGGTCCCGCTACGATGGAGCAGTGCCTGAACCTCGGCCGGGCTCTGTGAGTGCTGGGGATGTGTGGGTTTTGGGGAGGGGGCGCAGGTGGGTGAGCCCCCACTGACAGCCATGTCCTCCTCCTGGGCAGTGCATCACAGACAGCTTCCGCCAAAGGGGCTACAACTCATCACAGGACCTGCCAAACAGCGTGCTGGACTTTGTCAAGCTGCACCCGCTGATGTTTGAGGAGGTGCAGCCGGCGGGTGGTGAGCCGCTGCTGGTAAAGAGAAGTGTGGCATACAGCCGCCTGGCGGTGGACCGGGTACAAGCCCTCGATGGGCGCTCCTACGACGTGCTCTTCATGGGGACGGGTGAGTCTAGGACATGGGACGGGTCCCTGCGTGCTGCTGGGTGTCCCGCATCCCCTCACTGCCCCGTCTGCAGGGGACGGCTGGCTGCACAAGGCCGTAGTGCTGGGCTCCAGCCTCCACATCATCGAGGAGGTGCAGGTGTTCCAGGACCCGCAGCCCGTGGAGACGCTGGTGGTGTCCCGCAGACAGGTGAGGGGTGGCTATGGGGCTGGGGTGGCACGGGGTACCCCATGTGTGGGGCAACACTGCGAGCCGGGCCTTTCCATCCCAGAGGAGCCTGTATGTGGGGGCTGCTAGTGGAGTCCTGCAGGTGCCCCTGGCCTCCTGCGCCAGGTACAGCTCCTGCTATGACTGCATCCTCGCCCGGGACCCCTACTGCGCCTGGGATGGCGGGGCCTGCCGTGACACAGCCAGCGGGGACAGGTAGGGGCAGTGCTGATGGGGTGGCTGTGGGGCCAGCAGCAGGGCCACGTGCTGAACCCCAGTGTCTCACAGCACAGGGCTGGTGCAGGATGTGCAGAGTGGCAATGTGGGATGCCGGAGCGGCTCTGGGCGTGGTAAGTCATCAAAGAATAACAGAGTGGTTGGGTTGGAAGGGGACCCCAAAGCCCATCCAGTTTCAACCCCCGCCGTGGGGAGTTGGAAGGTCAGGATGCCCAGGATCCCATCCAACCTGGCCTTGAACACCTCCATGTGGGGGACACCCGCAGCGCTCTGGGGCAGCCTGTGCCAGGGCCTCACCTCCCTCAAGTGATGAATTTCCTTCTGACATCTGTCCCCCCAGGCTCCCTGCCGTGGAAGAACCGCACGGTGCTGCGTGGGGATGATGTGCTGCTGCCCTGTGACCAGCGCTCCAATTTGGCACGGGCTGTCTGGCTGCTGAATGGCAGCGAGGTGCCAGGCACTGGGCAGGAGCAGCTGCGCGTTGGGGTGGATGGGCTGCTGGTGACCAACACACTGCCAGGACACAGCGGCGAGTACCGCTGCTATGGTGAGGAGCGTGGGCTGCGCACGCTGCTGGCTGCCTACAGCCTCACCGTGCTGCCCCAGCTGCCTCGTGCCACCATCACCACCACCTCTGGGCCCATAGCGGCCAGCCAGGCTTCTGGAGACACCAAGGTGGTCTATGTGTCTGCTATCGTGGTGCTGGTGGTGCTGTGTGCTGTGCTGGGTACCGTCCTGCTCTACGTGTCCTGCCTGGAGAAGCGCAGGGGGAAGTACGTGCTGGGGGAGCCGCGGGCTGTGAGTCCTGAGCTGCAGACGGTGTCGGCCAGCTGCCTGCGCAAGGCCCACGGGGAGGATGAGGAGGAGGAGGATGAGGAGGATCTGGCTTATCCCTGCCTGCGCATCATCCCTGGTGAAGCACCCACGGCCATCGTGTCCCCAGCCAAGGAGCTGCCGGTGGCCGTGCCCCCCCCTCCGCCGCCACCGCTGCCCACCGAGCTCACCAACGGGGTGGGCTCCCTGCCCAGCGTCCTCCGCAAGATGAACGGCAACAGCTACATGCTGCTGCAGCAGCAGGACGAGCCGCTGGCCTCACCGCTCTACAGCGCGTCCTTCACCGAGGAGCTCAGCAAGATCCTGGAGAAGCGGAAACACATGCAGCTAGTGGAGAAGCTGGATGAGAGTTCCGTGTAGGACCGGGGTCCCACCAGTCCTTTCTCCCACCCCTGCCAGCAGTGTTACAGACTCAGCAAAACTACCTCTGGGACCACAGCGCCGGGCTGGGCCCGGGCTCGGCCATCCCTTTGGCTTTTCACTCACTTTTGAGACTTGATGTACAGAAAAAAAAAAAAAACAATGGGAAAAGAAAGGGAAAAATCCCCCAAAGAAGAATCTATTTAAATATGGGAGCTCTATTTATGTATAAAACCCACCGATGGCGACCACAAGCTGGAGGCAGGAGCTGGAGCACAGCTGACGGTGGACATGGGGAGGGAGGGCTTATGTCCATCTGTCCATCCAGACAGGCAAGACCCTGCCCTGGATGTGTGGACCTGGCCCACCCCATTGGGCATCCCCAGCCCTGGGTGCCCAGGCACTGAGAGGTGGGTGCAGAGCGGGACTGTGGGCTTGGGGCTGTGCTGCAGGGCCACCAGCTGCTGCCTGCTGCACATCTGCTCCCCAGGGCTGCCTGCAGGACAGATGCTCAGCGAGGGACAGCGAAGAAGAGGATAGTTGTCCCCGTAAGTGGGATGAAATTGCCTGTGCCTGCCATCAGCCCAGGGTGAGATGCGGGATGAGTGCTATGGGGAGGGATACCACTGTGGGGAGCCGGACCCTGACAGCATGTTGCCTTCCCACCACAGGGTGCTGCTGGCAGCAGGACTGCTCTCCGTGCGTGAGGGCCATGCACGCCAGTTGGCTTGTCTGCATCTTCGCCATGCAGTGTGGGACTGGACCAGCATCCTCTCGGCATCCTTGCCCTGCAGAGTGGACACGATGCACTTTTGCATCCTCATGCATTGCCAGCAGATGCTGGGATCTTGGCCACTGCCCCCATGCCACGGACTGTCCCCTCGCATGCTGAGGAGCCCTGCCCCAGGCTTTCTTCCTGTGGGGCCTCCAGCTCCCTGTGGCCCTGCTGGCCCTAACTCTCTCCACCCTCATCTACCTCTGCTCCCTCACCCTGGGAACAAGAGGGGCACCCCAGCTCTGTCCCTCCATGTCCCCCTCTGTCACCCCCTGGACTGAGGGCATTGCCCAGAGCGCAGCCCCCTCCCCACCGGGCATTCTCTTCCTTCTCTGGGGTGGACGAGCTACCCCAAGGGCACATCGCATTCCCCCGGTACGGCCCCAGGGCAATAAAGGCGACGGCTCTGCGTGGAAGCAGCGGTGCTTCAGCGTGCGGCTTTATTGCGGTGCCCTGCGGGGGCCGCGCACGGTAAGGGCGGAGGGTTTGTTGGTGAGGGGGTGCCACTGGCCCTGTATGCTGGGGTTGGCGGTGTGGAAGGGTTTGCGGATGCGCACGATGTCCAGGCCGGACTGGGAGGCCAGCTTGGCGGCCAGCTGCACGATCTCCTCGCTCGTCTTGCTGGCGATCACCTCCTCCCGCACCGTGCCGTTCACTGCGGGACAAGACGGACGCTCGGTGTGGCCACGCCGTCCCCGCGGCGCCTCCCGCCGTTCCCCTCCCCGCCCCGGACTCACGGTACTCGGCCTGCAGCACGGGCGCGGGGCAGTCGCACGGCCGCACGTACACCACCACGTCCGGGTGCCGCCGGGCGAAGTCCACCGCCTCCTCCTCCACGAACTGCCTGCGGGACGGAGGAGGGATCCGAGGTCAGGGCTCAGAGGCCACGCGGCGGGGCGGCGGGCGGAGGGCTCACCTGGCTCCGCGGGCGTCGGGAGCGGCGGGGCTGAACACCACCTGCAGCCGCTGCAGCTGCCGCACGTAGCGGCCCACGCCGTTGTGCAGCACGGCCGTCAAGAAGCGGCTGGCCGTCCCGCGGCTCGTCATCTCGCCTCCCGGAAGCGGAACGGCGCTCCGCGAGGAGGGGAAAGGGAGAGAGCGTCCGGCTGCGCCGCGCGCCGGTAGTGACGGCGAACGCGGGAGACATGGCGGCGCCCGCGGGGCTCCACGTGGGGGGGGCGGCCTGAGCCGGGCCGATGCGCGGGCGGGATGGCGGCGGTGCCGCTGAGGCCCTGCAGGGCCTCCGGGCGGTTCCTGCCGCTGCTGCGCGGCGGGGCGCGGAGCCGCGGGGCCTCCCCGTGGGCGGCGGGGCCGGGCCGGGTGGCGCAGCGGCGGTACAAGAAGGACGTGCTGCCTGAGCCCGGCGGCGCCGCGCCCGCCGTTTCCGTCACCGAGATCCGGCGGTACCTCCGCGCGCAGGGCATCCCGTTCCAGGACGGCTACAGCTGCCTGCACGCCCCCAGCCTGTTCGGGCCAGAGCTGCCGACCGCCGCCGCGCCGCCCTTCACGCTGTTCATCGACAAGACGACGGGCAGCTTCCTCTGCACCGCCACGTTAGCCGAGGGCGGCTGGCAGGACCTGCAGGCTGCCGTGGAGCTGCGGCACCGCGGGGTCCCGGCACCCGGCCTTGAGGAAGGAGAGCACGAGGAGGAGGCAGAGGCAAGGAGGATGCGCGAGGATGCGCGGCGCATCTGGGAGCGGGCGCTGCCGCTGGGAGAGCTGCTGGACGAAGAGGAGACGCAGACCACCAAGGCGGCCTTCGGCATCGTCCCGCTGGCTGACAGCACGCTGAAGCGCTTCGGGGTGCGCTACCTGCGGGCGGCCAAGGCCCTGGTGTTCCCTTGGTTCGCCCCACGCGATGCGGCGCTGCGGGGCCTGAAGCTGCTGGTGGCAGAGCAGCAAGGTGATGCCGTGAGCTACACGGAGGAGACGTTTCCCCGCTTCGACGCTTATCGCAACCTCTTTGGGCTGCCGCTGATCGGCCGTCGTGACACCGAGGTGGTGCTGACCGGAAGGGAGCTGGACGCTCTGGCCCTGCACCAGGCCACTGGCGTGCCCTGCCTGGCATTGCCGCGCGGGGCCACCATCCTGCCGCCTGCCCTGCTGCCCTACCTGGAGCAGTTCAGGCGTGTTACGCTGTGGCTGGGTGACGACCTGCGCTCCTGGGAAGCCGCCAAGCTCTTTGCCCGCAAGCTGAACCCCAAGCGCTGCTCGCTGGTGCAGCCCGGAGACCTCCAGCCACGGCCTTTGGAGGCTTTGAACCGGGGGCTGAACCTCACCAAGATCCTGCGTGCCGCCCTGCCTGCTGGACACAAAGCCATTGTCTCCTTCCGACAGCTGCGCGAGGAGGTGTTTGGGGAGCTGGCCAACAGCGAGCAGGTGGCTGGTGTCAAGTGGGCGCGCTTCCCTGAGCTCAACAAGCTGCTCAAGGGGCACCGCAGAGGCGAGCTCACCGTCTTCACCGGTGAGGGTCTCCACCCAAAGTCTGGCGTGGGATGCTGCTCATCCCATGCTTGGGTTGCTGTTATTGGGTTGTTCTTTTTGGTATGACTATTGCCATTGTGCATTCTCTCCCAGCTCGCTTCCCAGTTCATCCCAAGCTTGGGTTACTCTCATTGGGTTCTTCTTCTGGTTCTTCTTCTTGGTATGATCATTGCCATTGCGCATTCTTCCCCAGCTTGCTTCCCAGCTCATCCCAAGCTTGGATTGCTCCTGTTGAATTCTTTTCCAACTACCCTTTAGTATGATTGTCACCATTGCACTCATTTCCCTGTTTACTTCCAGGTCCGACAGGCAGCGGAAAGACGACATTCATTAGTGAGTATGCACTGGACCTGTGCACACAAGGGGTGTGCACGCTGTGGGGCAGCTTTGAGATCAACAACATCCGCCTGGCCAAGATCATGCTGACCCAGTTTGCCACCCGGCGCCTGGAGGACCAGCTGGAGCTGTATGACGAGTGGGCCGACCGCTTTGAGGACCTGCCACTCTACTTCATGACCTTCCATGGCCAACAGAACATCAAGTATGGCACCATCCCTTCGTCCCTTAATGGTGTTCTCCTGTGTGCTGCGGCTCAATGGAGTATATGTGGGGCTGATCACACTGTGGTGGTGGGGGTTGCAAAGTGTGACTCACAGGGCTGCACAGTGGCATCCGTCTGGTGGAGAGGGGTGGAGGAAAAAGGAGGGAGGGGAACAGGCACTGTGGTGCCGCCAGCTCCCCCTGTACCTGGCTGGGTGTTTCCAGTGCTCCTGGTGTTCCCCTTGCAGGACAGTGCTCGACACCATGCAGCACGCCGTCTACATGTATGACATCACCCACGTGGTGGTGGACAACCTGCAATTCATGATGGGCCATGAGCAGCTCTCTGCAGACAGGTAATGCTTCTATAGGGGTTTGACATCATCTGGGTGTCCTGTCTGGTGTGGGAACACACATTAGAATCATTAAGAATGGAAAATACCTCTAAGATCATTGAGTCCAACCCCAAGCCCTGCTGTGCCCACTAAGCCACGTCCCTCAGTGCCACATCTTTCTTTTACACCTCCATGGAGAGTTCAGTTCACCACCAGCCTGTTCCAGTCCCTCACTGCTCTCTGAGAAGAATGTTTCCTAATATCCAACCTACCCCATTTTGGGACAGTCACCCCCACGGAGCACTGACACCCATGGGGTTGTGGCACTGCCCCCATTGTGTCCCCTTGGTGTCCCCTGCAGGTTGGCAGCACAGGACTTCATCATCGGCGCCTTCCGCAAGTTTGCCACCGACAACACGTGCCACATCACGCTGGTCATCCACCCGCGCAAGGAGGACGACGAGAAGGAGCTGCAGACCGCCTCCATCTTCGGCTCTGCCAAGGTGGCTCCTCCTGGCCCTCAGGCGGGGACAGGGTGGGGACATCGGCACACCATGACCCAAAACGTGCCGTGGTGGGGCTGGGTGTCCCCTGTTACCTGGTGGCACACAGCTGATTGATGCTTATTGGTTGTGGGTTGGATGTGGCATGAGTTGCTCCATGGGAGTAGGGTGGAGGATGCTGGGTTCACCCTCCGAGCGCTCGGTTCCCCACAGCTCGCTGGATGTGGGGGTGCCCCATGCCCTGTAGCACCCCCTGGAGATGTTCTCCTCCCCCAGGCCAGCCAGGAGGCCGACAACGTCCTCATCCTGCAGGACCGCAAGCTCACGACGGGTCCCGGGAAGCGCTACCTGCAGGTGTCCAAGAACCGCTTTGATGGCGATGTAGGCGTCTTCCCACTGGAGTTCAGCAAGGCCTCGCTCACCTTCTCCTCCTATGGCAAAAGCAAGGCCAAGCTGAAGAAGGTGAAGGAGGAGAAGGCGCCTTCACCCAAGAAGGGTCCCAATGGAGGTGTGGGTGGCTCCAGCAAGTCCTGAGCATGGCAGGGACAGCCTTGGCACTAGGGCACACCATGTGCCATGCGGCTGTGCTCCTCCTGTCAGAGCATCCTCACATTCCTCAGAAATATGAGAGGAGCGGGAGAAGATGTGCAGACTTTGGGGTCTCTGGACCCTGAGCAGGCCATTATATGGTTGCTAAGTGGAGGCTACGGCCCAGGTTTACCTCTCACATGGTATGGTGCTGGTACAGCTCTGCCAGCTCTGACCACAGTCTCCCCAGCCATGGGGTACCACCACCAGCAGCAGCAAGGCCTCGGGGTCTCAGCCCCGGGCTCCTCGGAGCCTCTCGTGGCAAAACACTGTGTCTGAGCCCGTCCTCCCCATCGTGGGGAGCCCCGGGTTGCCTTTTGGCCCCGTGCTGTTTTCTCTACACTTTTATTAAAGCAGAAGTATGAATGCCGTTTGTCCTTCGCTGCTAACCTCGCGCTCCCATTCCCCATCCCTCCACCTTTGGGTCCCCTTCTGCCACGGGCTCTGACCGTGCTCGGGCTGCGGGGCAGGACGGCACTGCGGGTCACACGGCCCCACGCGTACACACCTCCCGCCCCAGCGCCGACCCAGCGCCGGGCACCTCCCCGCCACCGCGCCCCACGGCACCCACGCGCGGGTTCGCCACCCGCACCCCACACGCGTGGGGCCGGGAGAAG